GGGAGAGGAGGTGAAGGACCGGAAGGGCGGAGTGCGGGAGCGGGGAGGAGGGGGGACCGGGAGGGGGTGCGGGGAGGAGGGGGGACCGGGAGGGGGTGCGGGGAGGAGGGGGGACGGGAGGGGGTGCGGGGAGGAGGGGGGACCGGGAGGGGGTGCGGGGAGGAGGGGGGACCGGGAGGGGGTGCGGGGAGGAGGGGGGACCGGGAGGGGGTGCGGGGGGAGGGGGGACCGGGAGGGGGTGCGGGGAGGAGGGGGGACCGGGAGGGGGTGCGGGGGGGAGGGGGGACCGGGAGGGGGTGCGGGGAGGAGGGGGGACCGGGAGGGGGTGCGGGGAGGAGGGGGACGGGAGGGGGTGCGGGGAGGAGGGGGGACCGGGAGGGGGTGCGGGGAGGAGGGGGGACCGGGAGGGGGTGCGGGGAGGAGGGGGGACCGGGAGGGGGTGCGGGGAGGAGGGGGGACCGGGAGGGGGTGCGGGGAGGAGGGGGGACCGGGAGGGGGTGCGGGGAGGAGGGGGGACCGGGAGGGGGTGCGGGGGGGAGGGGGGACCGGGAGGGGGTGCGGGGAGGAGGGGGGACCGGGAGGGGGTGCGGGGAGGAGGGGGGACCGGGAGGGGGTGCGGGGAGGAGGGGGGACCGGGAGGGGGTGCGGGGAGGAGGGGGACCGGGAGGGGGTGCGGGGAGGAGGGGGGACCGGGAGGGGGTGCGGGGAGGAGGGGGGACCGGGAGGGGGTGCGGGGGGGAGGGGGGACCGGGAGGGGGTGCGGGGGGGAGGGGGGACCGGGAGGGGGTGCGGGGGGAGGGGGGACCGGGAGGGGGTGCGGGGAGGAGGGGGACCGGGAGGGGGTGCGGGGGGGAGGGGGGACCGGGAGGGGGTGCGGGGAGGAGGGGGACCGGGAGGGGGTGCGGGGGGGAGGGGGGACCGGGAGGGGGTGCGGGGAGGAGGGGGGACCGGGAGGGGGTGCGGGGGGGGGGACCGGGAGGGGGGGGGGGAGGGGGACCGGGAGGGGGTGCGGGGAGGAGGGGGGACCGGGAGGGGGTGCGGGGGGGAGGGGGGACCGGGAGGGGGTGCGGGGAGGAGGGGGGACCGGGAGGGGGTGCGGGGGGGAGGGGGGACCGGGAGGGGGTGCGGGGAGGAGGGGGGACCGGGAGGGGTGCGGGGGGGAGGGGGGACCGGGAGGGGGTGCGGGGAGGAGGGGGGACCGGGAGGGGGTGCGGGGAGGAGGGGGGACCGGGAGGGGGTGCGGGGAGGAGGGGGGACCGGGAGGGGGTGCGGGGAGGAGGGGGGACCGGGAGGGGGGAGGGGGGACCGGAGGGGGTGCGGGGAGGAGGGGGGACCGGGAGGGGGTGCGGGGAGGAGGGGGGACCGGGAGGGGGTGCGGGGAGGAGGGGGGACCGGGAGGGGGTGCGGGGAGGAGGGGGACCGGGAGGGGGTGCGGGGAGGAGGGGGGACCGGGAGGGGGTGCGGGGAGGAGGGGGGACCGGGAGGGGGTGCGGGGAGGAGGGGGGACCGGGAGGGGGTGCGGGGAGGAGGGGGGACCGGGAGGGGGTGCGGGGAGGAGGGGGGACGGGAGGGGGTGCGGGGAGGAGGGGGGACCGGGAGGGGGTGCGGGGAGGAGGGGGACCGGGAGGGGGTGCGGGGGAGGAGGGGGGACCGGGAGGGGGTGCGGGGAGGAGGGGGGACCGGGAGGGGGTGCGGGGAGGAGGGGGGACCGGGAGGGGTGCGGGGAGGAGGGGGGACCGGGAGGGGGTGCGGGGGGGAGGGGGGACCGGGAGGGGGTGCGGGGAGGAGGGGGGACCGGGAGGGGGTGCGGGGAGGAGGGGGGACCGGGAGGGGGTGCGGGGGAGGAGGGGGGACCGGGAGGGGGTGCGGGGAGGAGGGGGACCGGGAGGGGGTGCGGGGGGAGGGGGGACCGGGAGGGGGTGCGGGGAGGAGGGGGGACCGGGAGGGGGTGCGGGGAGGAGGGGGGACCGGGAGGGGGTGCGGGGAGGAGGGGGGACCGGGAGGGGGTGCGGGGAGGAGGGGGGACCGGGAGGGGGTGCGGGGAGGAGGGGGGACCGGGAGGGGGTGCGGGGATGGGGGACGGGAGGGGGTGCGGGGGAGGGGGGGACCGGGAGGGGTGGCGGGGAGGAGGGGGACCGGGAGGGGGTGCGGGGAGGAGGGGGGACCGGGAGGGGTGCGGGGAGGAGGGGGGACCGGGAGGGGGTGCGGGGAGGAGGGGGGACCGGGAGGGGGTGCGGGGAGGAGGGGGACCGGGAGGGGGTGCGGGGGGGAGGGGGGACCGGGAGGGGGTGCGGGGGGAGGGGGGACCGGGAGGGGGTGCGGGGAGGAGGGGGACCGGGAGGGGGTGCGGGGGGAGGGGGGACGGGAGGGGTGCGGGGAGGAGGGGGGACGGGAGGGGGTGCGGGAGGAGGGGGGACCGGGAGGGGGTGCGGGGGGGAGGGGGGACCGGGAGGGGGTGCGGGGAGGAGGGGGGGACAGGGAGGGGGTGCGGGGAGGAGGGGGGACCGGGAGGGGGTGCGGGGGGGAGGGGGACCGGGAGGGGGTGCGGGGAGGAGGGGGGACCGGGAGGGGGTGCGGGGAGGAGGGGGGACCGGGGAGGGGGTGCGGGGAGGAGGGGGGACCGGGAGGGGGTGCGGGGAGGAGGGGGGACCGGGAGGGGGTGCGGGGAGGAGGGGGGACCGGGAGGGGGTGCGGGGAGGAGGGGGGAAGCGGTACAGGAACCACACATGTTGCCTCAGGCGCACATTCTGCCGCCATACGTCAGCTGAAATCCCCCTCCCCCCCCTCCCTGCAGCCCCCCCCTGCAGCCCCCCTCCGCCCCCCTCACCGCCCAGCTGGAGCGCATCGCTGAGGAGCTGGTGGGCGGCTTCCAGCGGCAGATGGAGGCGGTGGCGGACAACATGCGGGCGGGGGAGGCGGCGTTCGAGGACCTCAGCGGTGGGGGGGGTTAATATGGATGAAGATTGGGGGGGAGGGGGGGAGAAGGGGCGATGAAAGGGCGTACAGGGATGTGGTCATGAGGGTGGGGTTTATGAGGGGTGGGGATTGGATATACCGTGCCGTGATGAGTCCTCTTCAGGTGGGGCAGTTGTCCGACACTGCTTGTCTGCTGTTGCATATCCGGCCTTGCTCCTCAGTTGTGGTTGGGTTCCCCCCTCCACTTCCCGCTCCCCCACCTAACCTCCCCCCCTCCCCCCCTAGAGCTGCTGGAGGGCGGGCAGGGGTTCGACTCCTCGCAGGGGGTGTGGCGCCGCAGTGGCTGGCGGGAGCTGGACAAGCTGAGGGAGGTGGGGGGGGGGAGGTGGGGGGAAAAAAGTAATTCCAAAGTGTGGTGTGATAATGATACAAGTTGCTGACAATCCCTGGTGGAATGAACCGTGAGTCGAGCCGAAAAGGTGGTGAAAGCAATGCGAGCGAAACTTACCGAACTTACCAAGTATGGAGCAACCTTACCATAGTCTTGGGCATGTGTGGAGGCTGCTGAAGGTGAGCTGGAGACCCACCGCGCCGTGGGGCATACGCAAACAGCAGGAACAGCACAACACGAGCACTCATAAAAAACAACACAGACTGATACACGATAAAACACGTACCTGCGTGCACAAAGAGGTGTGTACCGGGAAACCACGTGAAGGGCCAGCCGCCATGTCCAGGGACCAATCCAGAGCGAGGCCAGCCAGGGACGAAACATGTGGGAAGGTGGAAAGGAGGAAACGTTGGTAGTAGTACTAGGGAAGGGGGGAGGTGGGGGGAGGGGGGGGGGGGGGGAGGGAAAGGTTTGTGGTGGGGGATAAGGAGGGGGGAAAGAAGGAAGGAAACTCAATTCCCAGTGCCTTGAACTCATTAGCCCAGACACACCCAGAACCCCACTGCAATAACCCCCCACCCCCACCCCCTACTCCATGATCTTTGACCCCACTCCCCCCAGATCCTGGAACGAGTCCCCGAGCTTCGTGAGCTGGTGCGGCAGCTGGGTCGGGGCGGCGGGCGGGGGCCGCTGCGGCGGGCGCCCGAGGAGCTGGAGGCGAGGGGGTGTCCGCCCGGGGTGATCCGTTCGCCCCTGCAGCCGGAGGAGGTGAGGGGGGCGGGGAGGGGGGAGGGGGGGGGAGGGGAGGGGGGGAGGGGGAGGGGGAGGTGAGGGGAGGTGAGGGGAGGCAGGGGGAGGGGAGGATACGTGCGTTCCTCTATTGGCCTATCACATGTCGCGACTCAGTGTTAAGCGAAAACGGGAGAGAAAGAGAGGGAACGTGCAGGACAGCTCCCTCTGCGGCGTATGTCGCAGTTGCACCCGCACAGCCACCCGGTTGCCCTCCCGACCCCCCCTTCACCACCCCCACCCCCCACCACCCCCACCACCCACCACCCCCCTCACCTCAGTTAGTTGTTTCCTCCTTACACACACCCCCCCACACATTGGAATTTCTCCCCCCCCCCCGCAGGTCCGCGGTCTGACCCGCTCCGGCGACCTGAGTCGCATGCTGCCATCCGAGATGGCGCTGCTGGCTCACGGGTGGCCTCGGAAGATGAGGGGGCGGGGGGGAGGGGGGCTGGGGCAGGGGGGGCAGCAGGGGGCGGGGGCGGAGCGGGCGAGGGGGGATGCTGCTGGTGCTGCTGCGGGGGCGGAGGAGGTCAGCAGCAGCACAGCGGTGGCAGCTGGGTCGGAGCCCCAGAAACCCCAGTCCCCGCCCCACCCCGCCGTGTCGGTCAGCAGCGGGGAATTTGATGTGGAGGTGAGGGGGGGGAGGGGGAGGTGAGGGGAGGGGGAGGGGGGAGGGGGAGGGGGAGGGGAGTCAAAAGACCACACCAAACCATAGAGAGGAGTTGGCGTGCGGGTGGGGAGGCTTAGTGGAGAGGTGCACACGGGGGGGAGGGGTACCAGTGATGAGGTGTGGCCTCAGGCGGCGCATGCAGTGCCCCCCTGCGAAGGTGGGCAGCTGGGGTGTCACCGCCCTCCTCCCAGTGCTCCACCCCCCTCCCCCCTCCCCCCCCTAACAGGAGTACCTGCTCCCCGGCGCGCACGCTGCCCGGCTGTTGCACCGCGTGAGGCGGGCGGAGCGCATGCTGCTCAGCTACGACAGGACGGGTGGGGGGGGAGGAGAGGGGGGGAGGGGTGGGGAGGGGGAGAAGTGGTGGTGCAGCGGGCCTGTGCAGGGGTGGTTGGCCGTACCTGTGTGCCCGATAACAGCGGCGCCCACAACTGGCTTCCATTAATGCCATTGCTTCGCCCTAACATACGGTTTTGGTATTTCGTTGTCCCCCCCGCCCCCCTGTGGTTTGGTATGGTCCTTAACCCCCACCCTTCCCCCTCCCCCTCCGCCCCTCAGGCTGGCTCGACGACCAGCCCGCCCGAGTGACCGGGCGGTTGGAGATCCGCCCCGCTGCCGAGCTGGGTCCCATCATCCTGTGTCTGGACACCTCGGGGTCCATGAGAGGGGCGCGGGAGACGGTGGCCAAGGCACTAGCGCTGGAGTGCCTGCGGGGGGCGCACAAGCAGCGGCGGGCGTGCTACCTTTACGCGTTCTCGGGGCCAAGTGAGTGGGGAGGGGGGAGGGTGTGGAAGGGGAGGAGGGAGGGGGAGGGGGTAAAGAGGAAACGACTGAATGTGTGATTAGGAGGGGGGGTATAGTGGGCGAGGATGAAGATGGGCGGGGAAGGTGAGGGGAGCCGCTCTCACCAGCGCCGGTGAAGTGATACCTCAACCCGCCCCCCTCCGCCCCCTCCCACCTCCCCCCCCACTGCCTCCCCACCCCCCCAGGTGAGGTCCAGGAGCTGGAGTTGTCCGTTGACGCTCCCTCCCTGGACCGCCTGCTGACCTTCCTGTCCTGCTCCTTCAGCGGGGGGACGGATGTGGATGCGCCGCTGAAGCTGTCGCTGGAGAGGCTGGCGAAGGTGGGGGGGAGGGGGAGGAGGGGGGGTGTGTAGCAGAAGGGGAGGGGAGGGGAGGGTTTAGGGAAGAGAGTAAAGAGAAAGAGGAAGGCGAGGACGAGGTACTGAATAGCTGTGATGAGGATGGAGGAGCATGGGGGGCTTTGCCGTACCGATAACCCCCTCCCGCCCCCCCGCCCCCCCCCTCCCCCTCCAGGCCGAGTGGTCCCAGGCGGACATCCTGATGGTGACTGACGGGGAGATCCCCGCACCGGACGAGGACATACTGCAGGCATGTGTAGGGGGTGAGGGGGGGGGGGTAAACAAGCATGAAGGGGGGGGGGGTAGGGGGAGGAAAAGGGGGGGTAGGGGGGGATGTGGGGGGGCAGCTGCGGCGGTCGCGGCCCTGGCGGACCCACCCGCACAACCCCGGAGTGCCGTCTCTTCCCCCCTCCGTACTCCTGCCCTCTTACTCCCCACCCTACCCCTTTCCTATTTATCCCTATTAACCTCTTTCCTATGGTTTGGTATGGCCTTCGACCCCGCCCGCCAGGCCATCTCCCGCGCCCACAGCGAGATGGGTTTGGAGGTGCACGGACTGCTGGTGGCTAACCAGGTGGGGGGGGGGGACAGGGGGGGGAGACACGGGGTGTTCCTGTTGTGCCGTACCACAGTTACCAGACCTCGCTCTCGACACGTGGTGGCTGCATTGGGTCTGTTGCTGTTGCTGTCTACCTGATCAATTCGCCACCGCTCTTTCCCACCATCCCTCCCCCTCCCCCCCCCCAGGTGACTGAGCCCATGCGGCGCCTGTGTACGGACGTGCATGTGTTCAAGAGCTGGAAGGCGGTGCCGGGGGGGAGCGAGTTCGCGTTTGCGTAGGGAGGGGTCGGGGTTCAAAGCTACAACAGAACCACAGGGGGTAGGGGGGAGTGCCGTGTTAGGTAGTGGAAAGGAAAGTAAAGTGGTAGGGTGGTGGAGGAAGTCGGAGTACTGCGTGACAATGTATCTATGGCTAGGGAGTGGGTGCGGCGGAGGTGGCGGTGGGGGGCAGTGGGCTGGAGGAGGGAAGGGGAGGGGTGAGGGGCAGGAGGCGGTTCCGAGGGTGCGTGTTGCGTTTGGAGAGGGGGGCAGAGCAGGATGTGGGGGACACCGGTGGTTGGCGAATGCCCTCATGTTGTGAAGAAGGTCGTTGATCCTCCTCATCATATGGGGGTTGGTGAGGGAGAAACGGGCTAACCGACAGACAGGGCTTGCCGGGGTGTTATGGGAGGTGGGTAGGGAGAAGCTGAGGAGCTGGGGGGGGGGAGCGGGGTGGTGGGGGCGGAGGTAGGGGTAGGTAGGGGTAAGACATGCGGGGATGGCGGGAAGAGGTGGCGGTCTTGGAGCTGTGACGCATTCCCTGCTGGGGGGGGACCTGGTCAACCCCCCCTCCGGGGCAAAGCTCCAAACACCTCCCCGAGCTTGTAACATACTTCATGTGGCGCCCAGCTCCCTGCCTCCCTCTCCCCCTCATGGGATGCGGCGGAGGAGGCGGCGGAGTCATTGGGCGGCAACTGGGGCCGCCGCGGCAGCAGTGGGCCCACCCCCGCCCCTATCCGACAGCACAGACCCCCAACATACCCAAGGGGGCTCCTGCCGTCCCTCCAGCAATCCTGCCACCCCTCAATCGAGTCAGCCTGCCTTTCCGTGCTGCCACAGCTGCTGCGTTGGGCGCTGCTGCTGCTGCTTGCCGCCCTGCCATCACACCCTCTCACACACCCTCTGGGCTCACCACCCGTGCTCCTTTCAGGGAACCATTGCAAGTTTGCAACGGTGGTCCATTCCACCCCTCAGCTTTCTTAACTCACCCTCTCCCTCCCGCAGTGCTGTGTGTCGGTACGCTGCGAGCCGCGTTCTTACAGCTCTGCCGCTGTGCAGGTCCTAAAGGTGTGGCCGTAACAAGCAACCAAGCAACTACGCCACCCCTCGCCACCCACAACAGCGGTCGCCGGTAGCCGGTAGCGGCCCGCAGCGAGCCTCCCACACACACCTGGCGTTTGAGAAAGCCACCGGCAGACACACCACACACAAACACATACACAGTTATTTTAACACACACACCCCGATGCAACAAACGCACGATGGTAGGCCGCATTCAATAAGTAGGTTGCCACCAGGTCACCTGAAAGCACTTGCAGCTACAGCATGCTGACACACACATCATTCATACCCAGAAAGGACGAACCCCGCTTGACCGCCCGCCTATCTCAGCAGGGCAACAAGCCTGATGCGCGGGGTGCGGGGGCGGGGGAAGAAGGGGCGTCACGCACGCACGCGGTAAACAATACACATACTCAAGGTGAGTCAAACCACGCGCCCTTCACAACCCCGCAAGCCGCCCCTCACACCTCACACGCACCACCCCCAGGGCCGCCCCCGGCCCCCCCCAAGCAACCAAGCGACACAACGGCCTGAGCCCGAGTGAGAGGGCAGGGGTGGGCGCGCGCTGTTGACCACACCACACCACACCACACCACACCAACCCAACATGCAAAGTGCACACATAGATATATCACTTCCACTGTTTACACACCACACCATCCCAGTGCACACACTTACCAAGGGCATTACCCCCAACCAGGGGCTGTCAAACCGCGCGCACGCAAGCAGCATGTGCCAGCATCCGATCACTTCAACAGCAGTAACGACCCCTCGAAAGAGTCCAACAGCCATATCACAACATCAGACACAACTCACTATTATTGAAACCAACCAACCAATTCCCATTCCTCAATCAAGCCATCATACGCGCCCTGCGGCCCCCGCTGATGCTGCTGCTGCCACTGCCCGCCTGCGGCCCCCCCCGGTTGGTGCAGCTGTCCAGCCGCTCCAGAACCACATCGTCCCGCGCCACTGCGTTGCCCTCCAGGTTCTTGAACCAGCGGAAGCGGGCGGTGGAGGGAGACAGCAGGTCCAGGATAGCGTGGCCGAAGCTGCGGGAGGAGAGTTGGGGGTGGGGAGATGGGTGTCGAAAGGGTGGGGGCAGGTGTCAAGAGGAGTCCGGGGGGGTTGGCAGGCTGACAGAAGCCGCCGCCCGGGCGTCTGCAGCAGCAGCGTCCGCAGCGCCAGCCGCCAGGATCCCCCTGCAGGCACCCCAGCATGCATGAGGCCCTGCACCACTGCACACACCCTTCCTGCCCTAACCCCACAGCCCCCCACCCCTTCTCCCTCTCGCTTTCCTCACTTCCCCCTCCCCGCACCTGGGGTCCCGGTACGCGGACCACACCGGCTGGCTGCTCTGACAGAAGCCCAGCGGCGGCGTGTTGGGGGTGGAGGTGGCGGAGGAGGTGTTGGAGGAGGCGGAGGTGTTGTTCAGCAGCAGCAGCGGCAGTCCGCCCGCCACCCCGCTGGGTGGCTGGAAGGAGAGGGTGGGGCAGCCGGGCGGGTGGGACATGCGCTGGTAGGCGGGGCCCCAGGCGGTGGGGGCGGAGGAGGACATGGCCACCGGGCCCACACCGCCGTAGTTGAGGGACTGAGGGGGGAGGGGAAGGTGGGGAGGTGTGCGAAGCCGGGGTGGGCAGGTGGACCAGCTGGGCAGCCGCCCTGCAGCAGGAGGGGGGCCTCCCGTCCCTCGGCCTCCCTTGCCACTCCCTCTCCCGTATCCCCATGTGTTTTGCCCGTACGTGGTTTCCTATGGTTGGGTCTTTGTTTTACCCCCCACCTCGCAGTACGTCTTGTTGGTTGCCGGGTTGAGCTCATCCACGAAGTTGCGGTAGGGCCCCTCCACGTTGCCCCCGTCCCCAATGGTGAGGTAGACGGGGCCGCAGGAGTCCGGGCGGTACTTGTACAGCGGGTGGGTGCGCTCGTAGGCGTGCACGTGGCCGCTGAGCACCAGGTCGACTCCGTAGCTGCGGAGGAGGGGGGGTGGAGGTTGAGGGGCGCGCGTTGGACCCACCACTGTTGTACACAAGGGACATACCGACACATACACACCTCCCGCCCCGGGTAATCGTTTCCTCTTTACCCTTTCCCCTCAAAAACCCCACTCCTCCTTCCACTCCCCCCCCTTCCCCCCTCACTTGTAAAACACATCCTCCCACACGCTCATGAAGCACTCCATCTCCTTGTAGTGCACGAAGTACGTGTGGTACGGCGGCGCATGGAACTGTACGAACAGCCAGGGCGTCTTGGCGCGGTCCACCTTTGCAAACTCCGCCAGCGCCCAGGAGTGTTGTGGACTGCCGGGTTGGAAGGGGATGTAGTTGTTGAGTGTGATGAGGGTGACCGCCCCCGCAATGACGGTGGAGTAGTAGAGGGCGGGGGTGATGGCGCCGAGGGAGGCGGCGGGGGTGCCGGGGGCGGGGAAGCGGGCGGCGTAGGACTGGAAGGGGTAGTTGGAGGGGAAGGAGAAGGAGGAGGTGGTGGAGTTGATGAAGGCGGAGATGCCGCTCATTTCTGAGGGGCGGGGAGGGGCGGGAGGTAGGGAGGGGAGGATTGGGTGAGGGGGGTGGAAACAGAAGAAGAAAACAAGCTACTGCTGCGGTTGTGCGTGGGAGGGGGCGGGGAGATGCCACATGGGGCGGTGGAGGGGTTTGAGCGGCGGAGGAGAGGAGCCACGGGCGGTGTTACCAGCCTGGCCGGGGCCCTTCGACGTCCCCGGGGGGAGGGGTGCCGCTGCCGCTGCTGCCGCTGCCGCTGCTGCCGCCGCGATCAAACCCGTGTACTTCCCGGCATCCGTCTAGAGCCGGGCAGCAGCACCTCCAGTTGGGCCCCGCCTCCCCCTGGGGTGGTAATTAGTTTCTTCCTCTTCCCCCACTCACGATCCCCCCCCACAGCAACTTATATCATTATCACACCACACTTTGGAATTTCTTTTTTCCCCACACACACGTCCTCCCCCCCCCACTCCTCCTCACCCAGCTCGTGGTTGCCCGCGCAGTTGAGCACCGGCACGGCGGAGAACAGCGACTGCCACAGCTGCGCGTGGGAGTCCCAGCGACTGGGTGGGGGGTGGGAGGAGCGAGTGGGGAGGAGGGGGGGCAGCGGGGAGGTGAGGGAGAGGCGTTGAGAAGGGGGCAGAAGAGTGCCTCTGCACCAGCAGCAGCGCTCTTGAGCTGCTCCCACAGCGGCCCTCCTTCCTCATCATCACCATCAGCTGCTGCTGCTGTCCCCCCTCCCTCCGGCTGCCCCCCCACCCCCCTACCCCCTGCCCCCCCAACCCCCCTACGGTCAGTTAGCTGTTTCCTCTTTACCCCCATGCGCCCCCCCCACCCACTTCTGGTTGGTTCCCTTGCCGTCCGTGAGGTTGGGGTTCCCCGCGTTGTAGTTGTCCGAGTAGCTGTTATCGCCCACGTGCAGCACCACCTGCGGCCTGTTGGCGGCCAGGTGGTCCCGCGTGGCGGAGCTGTTGACAGTCTGACCCACATCCGCAATCAGGCCGATGCGCAGCGGGTAGACGTTGGTGGTCAGCCTGGGAGGGGGAGGGGAGGGGAGGGGAAAGAAGGAGGTCCATGCGTTTGATGGGGAGGGGAAACATTACAGATAAGTGCAACAAGAAAAGAGGGAGGGAGGTGTGGGGAGGGAGGAGCGCGCGGGATTAGGGGTCGTGTAGCCTCTGAGCCCCCCGCGAGCCCTCCAACCTGACACCCCCCCTCCGAACAACCCATCCCGCCCTCCAAGCTCCCAACCAGCCCCCTCCCTCCATCCCCCAAGCCCCCTCCCCCCCCTCCAGGCACTCACGGCAGCGTTGTGAAGGAGTAGCCCCCTGCCAGCCGCCCGTCCCGGCCCGCCAGCTGGTAGCGGTAGGTGGTGCGGGGGGTGAGGCCGGTCAGCAGCACGTGGTGGATGTAGGGGGACAGGTACCTGTGTGCATGCAGGGGGGGGGGAGAGGGGAGGGGAGGGGAGGGGAGGGGGGGTGTTGAGGAAACTGGCCCCGGGGGTATGTGCGCGGGGGGCATGCAGCAAAGGGGGAGCGTATTAGGACGTGCGAGTCACACGTGAGGGGGGGGGCAGCGGGCAGCAGTCGGAGGGTGCAGCGGTCGGAGGGCGGGCGGGGTCCTCCCCCCTGCCGCCCACACCCACTGCCGCTGGGTTGCTAGCTTCCCCTCCCCCCGTCCCTCCCTTCCCCCCTCCCCCTCAACTGGTAGTTGGCAAGGGCGGGGTCGGAGTAGGTGCGCAGGTAGGTGATGACGGAGCCGCTGAAGCGGTAGCTGGTGCCGCCTGCAGGGGGGGGTGGGGATGGGGGAGAAAAAAGAAATTCCAAAGTGTGGTATGATAATGATACAAGTTGGGGATGGGGGGGGGGAGGGAGGGCAGGGGCCATTCTGTATTGCGTGTTGAGTGTAGCGTCAGCGCAGCACTGAGGGGCCCAGCTGTCTATGCGTGCTGGCTACAAGGCAGCAGGCAGCGGTGTGGGGGCGTCAGCCGGGAGGAGAGGGACTAGCAGCCAGCAGCTCTACTGCACCGGGGGTTTCGCACGTATCACCCCCACCCCCACCCCCACCCTTGGTGAGCACGGCGACCGTCTTGAGGGCGCTGGTGTTGGGTTTGGTGAGGTTGGCGCCAACGGTAGCGGCACCCGTGTACCTTGGGGGGGGAGGCGGGGAAGAGGGGGTGCAAGGAGGGGTAGACGTGAGGCACGGGAGAACCCCTGCATGGCCCAACTCATGAGTGGACTCAGGAAGTGCATGCATGCAGACAGGCAGGCACAGTGCGGTGGAGCAGGTGCCCAAGGGGGTTCGCGTGCGCACGTGCTGGTGGCTGGCACTCACACGCGCCGAGAGCGAAACGCGGGGAGGGGGGGGGGCTCTACCTAGCCCGCCTTGCACATTGACAGGCACGGCAGCATGCATGTGTACCACGCCGCCCCACCCACCAGGACAGCAGGTAGGTGCGTCCGTCGGGGTAGGGGCCGGTCAGGTGCACACCCCAGGGGGAGCCGTCGGTGGGGTAGGCGATCTGGGGGGGGGGAGCGGGGGGAGGAGCGGGGAGCAGGAGGTGTTGGGTTGGGAGAGGTGCGTTCGCGCATGCAGGGCCTGAGTGCGAAGCCAGGGCACAATCCAGGGCACAATCCTGCACACCAGGCCCGCCTGGTTGGGGTCTGGAAGCTCCCGTTGCGGTCGGTGCCAGCCCTCTTACCTGGGGGGAGCCCCAGGGAAAGTCGACATTGCCAACCTGGACGACATGTGAGGGGCAGCTGTCAGCATTGAGCGAAACAGGAAGCGCAGCAAAGGAACAACCTTCCCCCCCGAGGACGAGTCTTGGCGCAGAACGTACCGCAGGAATGGATTGCGAAAAGCAGGCAGCAACCGAGCCCACTGCCTTGGGGTCGCAGGCCACTGCGGGAACGAGCGATGGTGGCTAAATTAAGACCAACAGGACAAGGATTGCTGCGCAGCATTTGGTTTGTTTTAACAACATATATAACAATATCCTTGCCTGTTTGGTGGGAATATGCCGCGGCGCCAACCTGCAAGCGTAAACAGGCCGGAGCCATTGCAACATTAGGTTGACATCCAGCTGCGAAGCGCACATAGACATCCGAAATACCTCAACAATTAAGTTGCGCCGGTATTGTGGGTTAAGCCAGCCATCATCGTCGGTCATTGACGCCGCAGCGGCAATTAACGCCGAGAATATAACGACTCTCAGCATTGTTGCCGAACTATAGTGTAAATACGTGCAATTAAGTGTAGTAAAAAAAGGATGATTGGCAAACATATAAGTCGAAGCCCGATTCCTGCACTTCAAAGATTCCGCATCAACTGCCTTACGAATGGGGAATGATCCTTGCGCGCGGTTACAGGAACGGGCGTAAGCTTAGTTAACATTGCCATTAAACTACTCCATCTATTGATTAATGGTATATCCCCTGGGCAAGGCTATGTATTCACGGCCGCTGTGTATGCATGTGGAAAGGCGAGAGAAATGCAAAGCGGTCAAAGAGCTTGCCATTATGCCCATCGCCCTTTCGGCCTCGCCGCCGAAAGCAGGGAACAACGCGTTTAATCTCATGTATTTGGGTGAAGCCTATGTTTGGTCGACGGATCGTTGTGAGCCCATCGCCATCGCAAATCTCGCATATCCTTAGAAGCCTGTCCTAAAGCTTCCCTAAACGCAACGTATTCGTCGGCACTCTTCCACAAATCATACTACCGGCCATGTTGTTTCGTACACACGTCACCGCAGCCTTACTTCGCCTACCTTGCGGCTGCCCCGTCCTCTTCCTTAAAGCAAGCCTGTTACATGTTACCGGTAGCCGGGCTCGAACCAGGCTCGCCCGCCAGCCGCCCTTCTGCGCACAAAGGAATGAGGAAGACACACAAGCAGGCCGGACGAGTAACACGGGGCTGTACAAACCAAGCCCCTCTCGCTCACACCGTCACACGCCCTCAACACAACATGCCTCCTCCAAGGCACATCCTGCCTCCACTCCGCTGCGCCCTCGCCACCATTTCCATTAAGAATGACTGACCGGACGCGAGCCGCCACCAGACAACCCCTCCGCTGGCCACCGCTAGCCGGGGGCGACTTGCTTCCTCCGCAAGCCAGCCACCTCGCGTCCTGCCCTGCCGCCTGAGTGCATGCGTGTCCTGCCCTGCTGCCACTGCCTGCCTGCTAGTTTCCCCTGACGAAACCATGCCGTGTATGCACTTGCAGCCACCTGGCTGTCTATTTTACTCCACTTGACGTGAAGAAGCGACCCCTGGCTGTCGCCCGTCATGCTTCAACCCACACCCAAGGGTCTCACCCACCTTGGCCCCACCCGCCCTCGTGCTTGTGCCCGCAGGCGCCTGCCCGGTCGCCAGCCGCAGTATGCCACCGCCCCGCATCGTTATCACACCTCCACCTTGCTGTTCCCCCGATAGGTTTGCATAGGTGGGGCTAGCGCAGGTCCGCAGCAGGCGGCACCAGCGCCGTACTAGTGGCAGAATCCAGAACTTTAAAATTTAGGAAACGCTGAGATCGTGTACTCTACAATAGCTATACTATAGCGGTAGTTCCATCCATGCTGGTCGTTATGACATTATGTGACGTTCCTACTGATCATGCTCGGCCACCGCACAGCTGGTGAATCAGAGTAAACCTACTGCTCCGCCATGGGTATACGTGGTCAACCCATTGGGCCCCATCCTTGCTGGCGACAGCTTGAGCTGTACGAATTCCATCCCGGTACTGCTAACGAAAGGATAGATAGAAGTGCTTTGAGAGTAGACTACGATATATTTTCAAATTGCATGACACTATTAGCCAGTTGAATTGGTGACACTTGATACTTATGCGAACTTCGAAAGCAAGCGCCGTGCCTTTCTAGCTTCGCACATAGCTGACAAAAGACAGCAGCAGCCCTATCAACTGAAAGCAGAGAGGAGAATTATCTACTAACTGTGAGGTTTTACTCGATATGGATAGTGACTTGTTCCTGAAACGGCACCATAGCATAAAGTCTCACCTCACGAGCATGCCATCGGAGGTTACGGACGATATGCGAGACGAGGGCCTTCTAGACCAGGAGAGTTGTGGCTTCGCTGACGAAATGCCCACCAGCCCGCAAGGCCGCAGCAGCCCTGGCACCAGCCGAAGCAGTGGCTTCAGCAGCAGCATACTTACGCAGTCGCCAGAAGATGCCCTGTCAACTATGTTCGATCAACGTGTTGCACTGCTGGCGGCGACAATGGAGAGCCTTCGCAGCAAATGCGAGCTTCTACAGGAGCAGCTGACGGAGTCTGGAGCGGTTTGCAGCAGCTATGCGGCACGGTAAGCTTTACAACGTTGTGCATACAAAGGTCGCGCCCGTCATGCCGCAACAGTCAGTATTTCCTAATACTGGCGCCCGCCAAGTCCAGTCCGCCCACCAAGCCCGGCCCGCCCCCGCGTTCCCGCTCCCCGAGCCCAGGTTGGCTCGCAGCGAGGACAGCGCTCGGCGACTGCGGCTAGAGGTGGAGCTGGGGAAGGAGCGCGAGCGGCAGCTGCAGCACGACGTGAGGAACTAACGTAGCAGCAGCACCAAGCCAGCCTGCCTTGTGAATGCCCCCCTCATGAATGTCCCACCCGGTCACTACCTGCTGCATGCCTGCTACTCCAAGCCCGCCTGCTCCTCCTCGCGCGAGCCACCCTTTACCACGCCTAGCCCCAGTCCGCCGATAAGCCCGCTCCCCCGTCCTGCCTCCTCCTCTACGCGCCCTGCCTCCCCGTCCCGCCCTGTCTCTTCCTCACCCGCCCTGCCCCCCCCCTACCGCCCCTTGCCCCCGCCCCCCAGGTAACCCGGCTGGAGGCGCTGCTGGAGGCGGGGAGACTGCAGGCAGGGCGGAGGGGGGCAGGGAAAGGGGGAGCAGGGCGGAGGGGGACAGGGGAAGGGGGAGCAGGGCGGAGGGGGCTATGTGGGACGAACTGGCACCCCTGACACTGCCCCTCCACGAAACTCCCACACACACGCGCTGTTTCTTGCACAGCACGTCTTACGTCTCGCTTCTGCGCTCCACTCCACGAGTAGCCGCACTACAACTTGCCGCTCGTCACACACCCTTTCCCCCGCTGCCCCCGGTTGCCATGCCGTGCCGCCCGCCTCAGGCCTCCGTTGCGGAGGCGCGGCACCAGACGGCGCTGGCTGAGGAGCGGGCGCGCACGGAGCGGCTGCGGGTGATGCGGGATGATGCGCTGCTGCAGGTGGGGGGAAGAGGGGGGGAGCAGGGCAGGGGATGGGAGAGAGGTCGGAGGACTTGAGCTTGACAGTTGTAGGGTTGAAGGCAACTTTATTGTGGAACCTCGTGATAATGCGACGCGAACACTGAAGAGAGGAGTATTTCGGCCTTCGTACTCATCCGGTTGCAAGCCGCTGCTAACGCGCCCTGCAACACCCCCATCCTGCCCTTGGGATTGCGTTGTTGCACTTATTTATAATTTTCCCCCTCCCCCCTTGCAGCGCGACAATGCGCTGAGTGAGCTGTCGGGCTGCTACGCGGACGTGGACGCACTGCAGGTGAGGGGCGCCGGCAGCAAAGGGGGGGTAGAATAAACCAAACCACAAAGTTAGGGCAAAACAATGGGTATTGTTGGCAGGGAGCCACAAAACATGGGAGGGTTAGCAGTCCTTACCGATACCGATGCTCCAGAGGAAGCGATTTTTGCTGCATCCGGTGTGCTGTAAATAGCCAAAAATGGAGTAGTCTATGCGTCGCTGAAAGGGGGGGGCCGAGCTGCATGCAGGGAGTGCTGCCGGGTGAAGGAAGGGCGAGCACTGGGGGGGCGTCGCGGTCGGTCCTAAAGCGCTTTGGCCGGAGGCTGGTACCGCGTACTGAGCTGCCCCTTCTCACCCTCCCTCCCCCCCCGGTCAGGCCACCCTGGCCGACTCTGCGCTCTACGTGCGCTACCTGCGCAAGCGGCTGCTGGAGCTGGAGCTGGCGGCGGCGCGGCAGCAGCAGCAGAGCCAGCAGCAGGAGCGGCAGCGGCAGCAGTCGGCAGGCAGCAAGGAGGGGGAAGGTGAGGGGGGAGCAGCGGGATGCGGGGTGGGGTGCGGTGGGCAGTCCTGGGGGCTGGTTTGTGTCTGCGTGCAGCTGGTGCGTTACGGTACCTGCGAGACAGTACACGCGCTGTTCATTGCTGCGGGAGCGTGTTTGGGGACTGTCGGGGAGCAGTGCCGCGAGGTGCACGGCTGCACGAGCCACCGGTACTACCCGAACTCCCCACAGCGGTCTATTGTGCTGCCAGCGCCGCTACCGCCGCAGCCAACACGTGAGGCATGTGACGCGAGAGCGGTGCCATGCCATGCTCCCCTGTGCAGGCGGCGAGGGCGGCGGCAGTGGCGGCGGCGGCGGGGTGTTCAGCCTGGCCACCATACGCAAGGCCATCCAGGCGGCGGTGGCGGAGGCGGCGCAATGCGGGGAGGAGGAGCGCCGGAAGAGAGTACGGCAGCTGCAGCTGAGGTGGCATCCAGGTGGGTTGGCTGGTTGGGGAGGGTGGCAAGGGGGGGGGGGTAGTTCACGGCTATGGTTGGTTAGCCGGTTTCAGCCGTTGGGTCGCTGGCTGCACATGCGGAAAAGCTGCGCCTGCTGACCATGTCTCCATGCTTGACCCTGCCGCCGCAGACAAGAACCCGGTGCTGACGGAGTTCGCGACGGAGGTGACCAAGATGATCAACGAGGCGGTGGCCGAGATGGAGCGGGCTGCGGGTGTAACGGGGGGAGGCAGCAGCACGTGATGATGTCATGGAGGATAGATGGATTGCGTGAAAGGCCGAATTGGCTCTGGCAGCGATGTGCGTGCGTTCGGTTATAGTATAATTTATTGACAGCATCTCTTTTGACTGCAGGCGTCCTTGTCAGTCGCCTTTCAAGAGAGTGGTTCCACTAGCGACAGCGTACGGTTCCTATGTGTCATTCATCTTTAGCCGTTCAGTTAACTAGATATAGTGGTTGTGCCAATAATTCGGATGCATTGTTTCCAACCTCGATTTTGTGCACCAAGCTTGTCACGGAAACCGAGTACTAGCTAGATGCCACGCAGGCTTTCATCGCGGCTGGCTCTGCAAGCTTTATTGCTCGAGCTTTACCACTCGCGTGTATCAACGTTTTCAGTGACTTTGTTCAATGCTTGCAGCTGCTAAACAGTAATTGCCAGATATGCCATGTAGGTGCAACACAACGCAACTGGCGTTATATGAGAAGCAGTGTACAGGGCACATCAACTTAACCATGCATCGACGAGGCTTTACCTGTGCCATCCAGCGCTGCGTTGACCAATGTGCTGCGGAGAGGTGCAACATCATGGGGACAAAACAGAAAGCGGCAGCACGACTACTTCTCACTTGCGCCCTGAGCAAGAGGGAGGCACGGCTAAGTTTTGAGGTTTAGCAGCAGCACGTCGTACATCGAATGCAGACCAGCAAGCCGCATCACCAAGCCGCACCCAGCCAGCTACCAGGCACCCTGAACCGGACCAGGGTCGTAACCACCAGCAGCCTCGCCCTCGGGCACAGCCGGCAGCAGCGAGGCCCCAGCAGACCCATGTGCACATCCGCACTACGTACGACAGCAACGGCCTCACAAGACAGCAACCATACAAGTGCACCCTCACCCCAACCCTACCGCCCCATGCAGCAGGCCACCACTCCACCCCACCTGGATGATGCCTTATCACACGGTCAGTTAGTTGTTTCCTCTTTACCACCCCGCCAGGACTCCTGCTCTCCTGCTCGTGCCTCCCTGAGGGCCTCGGTCGGGCTCCCCTGCCTCCACACCCGCACCTGCGCCCTCCACCGCAGCAACCCGGCGCCCAGCCAAGGTGTGGCGGTCTACATCAACACCAGCAGCAACAGCAGCGGCGTACACATGCGGCAGGGGGACGTCCTGGTCTTAGAGCACGGCGCTGACAGCTTGTTCAACATGAACTCAGCGAGGAGCCGACATGTCTTCCTCCAGCCTCCAGCGTATCTACCTGCCAGCTTGCGTGCATGCACGTACTGCTGAACCCTATCCAATCCCTCCTGGGCATCCCCCCTGCCCCCTTCACCCCCTACCGCACTGTCCGTAATGGAAGACTAGCACCCATGTACAACACGCGCCTCTCCACCCGCAGTTCAAGTAGGTTTGGAACAAATGGAAGCTTTATTTTTAACTTCTGATCCACCTCCGGTTAGCTCCAGTGGCGCCAAAGCGCGCACTTTGGACCAGCGTAGTCAGTTTCGGAGCGGTCGGTTGACGCCTTTGCTCGTGGTATGCTGGCAGCTGGCTCAGAAGGCATGAATACACAAACGCCACTAGGTTGCTTCTTGTTTGTCGCAAAGCCAGCTAAATTCATATAACCTCATACAGCGTTCCTTACTTCCTTTCCCGAGAATGGTTCCACCTCCAAAGCGCGTGGACGCTGTGGAGGTCCGGAATACGACCAGCAATTCTTTGACTTTTAAAGTAGCTTACGACAACCATAAGGATAAGGTGTGTCGGTCTACAATGTGCGGTTGTTCCTCGGGGAGCATTGCTGACCCTCCTGTCGTTGCCCTGTCCTACAGCAGCTCGTATTGGTGGAAGGGTCTCAATTAGAACCACAAATGTAGGACAGTGATGTAAAACAACTGACATGAGAAGTGCCCCACTGTGCGACAGGCGGAAATCCTCGAGGAGCAGACGGTTGAGCCAGGCTGCTCCCATACGTTCTCGGCAAAGGAACTCGACATGGGAGGCTGGCAGGTGGGGCTATTCGGCGTTAAGCCTGTCGCCTGGTGGTGCACTTGCTGCCAAATTCCAAAGTGGAGTCTTTGGGAGCCCGCCTGCACGCGCGTCTCCTCCTGCGGCTGCACGAGCAGCAGCTTGCCTCAATCGTAGCGCCTTTTGGGGAAACGTCCGGTCATACCAGGCACCTCAAGAGCAACAGTCCTTTCTCGACACCACTTACTTTCCCCCCTCCTCCTCCTGCTCCCCTCTCCCCCGCTCCCTCCCCCTCCCCCAGGCCGTCGCCCCGGTGCTGCGGGTGCACGTGACGGGTCCCGGCGGCCGCTGCCACGAGCTGCAGCCGGCGGTGGTGGGGGTGGTGCCGCTGCTGCGGGTGGAGGCGGGCGAGGAGGCGGCGGGAGGGGCGGTGCGGCTCACGCAGCAGCACTAGGAGGCGGGCAGCAGGGAGGGGAGGGGAGGTGTGACGGAGGGCCAACGTAGATTCCCCCCCAATGCCAGGAGGGGCTGCAGGGGAGGGGCAGGCAGGGGAGGGCAGTCGGCAGCGAGGCTGCAGGGGCTGTGGCACTGGGGTCGCAGCAACAGGAACAGTGACAGCACGGGGTTGCGCCAATGCGGCGCATGCAGCGGGCTGTGCGGGTGTGTGATGCAGCAGTTGACAGTTGCATGCGGGGCCGCCCGAGGGGGGGAGGGGGGCTGCAGCTGGGGGCGAGGTGGGGTGCTGGTCGGGGCTGGAGGGGCGGTTGCACGGCCGTTGTGTACTCACCAACAGGCACGTCATGCAAGTTGAATGGGAAGGGCAAGAGACGGGTCGGCGTTAGAGCAGTTACAGGCGCCCCTCTGCTGTCCGCTCATGTGTACATTATCAGTAGCTGCTGCTGCCGCTCCGGGGCGCTGTGTACCATAACTGTGTGTGTATACCGATAGTCTAGCTGTAAGGAAAGTTGTATTGAAGGTGTTTATGGTGTTGGGAGGTACCGGTATGTGAGGAGTTTTATCACAGAAGCATCAACGCGAGCCGGGGGGTGGCCCCTTGCTGCTGATAAGCTGCAGTTGACTTGCTCGTTGATTAGGGTGTCCGGAGGAGGATCCGTGCGCTGATGGCTATAGGGTGATGGTGGTGGCGGTGCTGGTGCTGGTCTCCCTCGCTGTAGTTGCTCGCAAAGCCACAACTCACCCCCTGCCGCGCGTTCCTCTACCGGTGCATGTACCCAACCCGGACAGCTCCTCCAGCGAGGCAGCAGCACACGTGTCAAGGAAACTGGCCGCGAGTAGGAACGTACTGGGATGTCGGAAGATGAAGTCCCCTGTGTGTGCGCAGCCCCCTGCCAACCTCCCAGCATCCGCCCCGCACCCAACGACACACCAGAACCCCCCCTCGAGGTGTTGGATCGGGACTCGTTGCTACACTTATCATCTACTTCTCCCGCCTCCCTCAACCCACACCACCCCACCTCGCCGGCCCAGTGCGGCCACACGGCACTCACATGCGCTCCAGCGGCAGCGGCGGCAAGAGCCTCCCGCGCCTCCTCCCACTTGCTCAGCTTACCGGTAGCTAATCCCACTTGCTTTAACCTCCCGCTGACCCCCGCGCTGCTGCGCCCCTGTGTCGGCCCTCTGCGGCACCGCCAGCCGCACTGCAGCCAGCCAGCCAGCCCCTCCCCCCCTTGCTTTGCCCTAACCTGTGGTCTCCTATGGTTTGGTACCTGGTCTTTGACTCCCCCCTTGCAAGCGTGGTGCAACCCAGGGTGGAGTCGTGTCACCCGGGGTTACTGCACCTGGCTGCCGCTCTGCCTCGCAACAGCAACCCTTCACAGCAGCCCACGCAGGCCGCCCTCAAGCCGACCCGCGGGTCACACGACGACAACGACGACGCGACCACCCACTAGCCAGCCAGCCAGCCCTCTCCGCGGCACGTGTGCGCAGCCCATGCCTGCCTCCTCAGTCCGCCCCCCTTCCGCAGCTCACACGAGTCATATCACCCCGGATCATCGCACCCCTGAGATAAACTAAACTAAATGTAATACGAAGCTATGGCCAACAGCTCCCGGGGCCATGGGGCCATGAGGGGGGGTGAGCCACCACACGGCATCCGCCCCCCCTCCCCTCCCCTCCCCCGCCTGCAGCACCCCTCGAGGTATTGTATACGACTGCTTGCTCACGACTGCAGCGGTGGGTGTCATACATAGAGGGCGTTACAGGGGGATTGCGCCGACGGATGCCCTCTTTAGCCCGTCCCAACGAGCAACCGACCCGACTCACTGACGATGAATGCCCCTCTACACTCCCCCCCCTCTACACTCCCCCCCCCGCAACACACGTCGCCTCCGCTCCAACACACTCCCCTTCCCCTCCCTCTGGCCGCACCCTACTCCCGGCCCACCTCCACCCCCCCCCCCACTCCTTCGCCCCCTCCCACCCCCACCACCCCCTCCTCCTCCCCGCTGAACTCCCTGAACTCCGCCCCCAGCGCCGCCTGCATGACGACCCGCGGGTCGGCGTACCTCAGGATGCCCGAGTCCACGTGTTTCAGCAGCAGGCTGGTCCCGCTGAACACCAGCGTGCCGCCCTGCTGAGTCAGCAGGCGGGGGTCGGGGGGGGCTAGGTCGCCCCCTGCAGGCGGGGGGAGGGGGGAAGTGGGTAGGGAAGGGAAGGGGGAACTCAGGGTAACAGAGGGGGGAAAGTTTACAAAACATGTGGCAAAGGCAGCACATGCAGCAACACATGTGGCCACCGCGCGTTGCGTCATGGGGGGAGGGGGCGACCAGGGAGGAGCCGCTCTGCCCCCCGCCTCAGTCCCGCCTCGACCCCCGCCACCACCCCACACCTCCCATCCCCCTCCCCCCTGTCGCCCCCCCCCTCACATGCCGGCAATATGCCGCCCATGTTGAACAGCCGGCGGGTGGCTAGCTCCATGGGCCGCAGGGCGCCCGGCCCCCCCAGCAGGTCGAAGGGGGAGGGGGAGGGGAAGAGGGCGGGCGCGGAGGGGTCGCCCGTGTAGCCGCGGAGGACCTGGGGGGGGGGGGGGAGAATTATACAGAAATGCAGCAAATGAAGTCCCGAGGGAAACCACACCGCATTGATCGAACAATGAAACCAAATGTTAAGGCATGGCAGGGACAAGAGCGGGGTGGATGCAGGTCCAAATTGTCCCACCCCTCCCCCGCCTCCCCCCACCTCCCCCGCCTCCCTCTCTCCCCCCACCTCCTGCAGTGTGCCCGGCGAGCCCAGCCCGGCCAGCATGGGGAGCAGCTTGAGTGCAGGGCTGAGCGGCAGGTCGGGTGCCAGGCCGGGGGAGAAGCCCAGTGCGCGGTAGAGGTCGGGGGAGGGGCAGGCCAGCAGGCGGGAGGGGGGGAAGGAGAGGGCGCGGGAGAAGGCCTGCAGGGGAGGAGGGGGGTGGAGGGGAGGAAGGCGAGGTGAGTTGGTCGCATGCCGGCATGCGGTGCTGCAAGGAGGGGTATGTGAGCTGGGCAGGGGCAGCAGGCGGGAGGGCGGCGGGCGGGAGGCGGGAGAGCAGGGGTGTGGGTGTGGGTGCGGGCGGGGGGGCGAGGGGGCGGCCGGGCAGTGGCCAACCCTCCCCCCCCCCGCAACCCCCCCCCCAGCCCACCACACCTGCGGAGGGCTCGCCAGTTTCCTACTCTTTACCCCACCTGTGCATTGCCCCCCCAACCCCCCACCTGTGCATTGCCCCCCCAACCCCCCACCTGTGCATTGCCCACACTGCCTAGCCCCACCACCAGCACCCGCACGTCGGAGGCCTCCAGCGTGGGGAGCAGCTGGGGGGGGAGGAGGGGGAGGGGGGGGGGTCAAAGACCATACCGAACCATAGGGAGGGAGGAGGGGGGGGAGGGAGAGATGGTGGCAGCGGCGCTCCTCACATGTGCGACATGGTTCCAGGCAGCGGCTGTGTATCTAGCGTCTCGGTCCACACTGCCACTCGGACCTCAGCACGGCAACACCGACTTGCGGCAGTTGGCCATGTGCCGTACCGCCCCACGCGCGCTGCGCCCACCCGCCGAGCTACCCCCTGCTCCCCCTCATGTGAGGGCCTGCCAGCATGTTTACCACTATCACACCACACAATGGATGTTCTTCACCCCCCCTGATGTGCGCCACCAGCCCGCCCCTCGCATGTGCTACCCGCTCCTCCTCCCCCCTGACGTGCCCTCCGTGCCCCGCCCCCCTTCAGTTCACCTTCAGCAGCTGCTGCGCGTATTCCCAGGAGGAGAGGTCCGCAAAGTGCGTGAGGAAGGGGATGACAGCTTTGGAACCGGAGGATGCCTGCAGGTTAGGGCGGACGATGTGAAGAATTGTTACAGAGGGCGGGCTTGAGTATCCGTCGCAAGGACTTTGCCAAAGGGCAACAATTAAAGCGTGATGGCCCTTGCATGAAGCAGTACTCACGTCCCATAGAGATAGAAGTTCGACGGGCTCTCCACTTGATGCCTTGTAAACCGTTTTTCCTCTGCCGTCAGGCACGTTGGGCTTACATGTAGGACTGCAAAGTCGTGTTGTTGTATGTTGCGCCATGTTACCTACCTGAGCGTTTCATACTCAGCGCTTGCCCTCGCCCGGACTACACATCTTGAAGACCTATTTGTCACACGAGCACTGGCCGCAGGGCGCACCTGAGGCCCAGATACTAACATTCTTACTCACAATCCACGCCCAGAAGCAAGGCTTCTACAAAGATCAGGATGCGCTATGCAATCACGTAAAACTTTAACATATGTAAGCGGTCATCTATAGCTCATTCATCGCTTTGGTAAACCCAGGCATCGTACACCGTCGATTGGTTCTTACTGTTCGTTCTTTGGTCCAAAACCCTGTCCATTTTGGTGCAACTATCCCATACATTCTTACAGCTTTACTCCGCAATACAACAGTGATAAAGCGCTTGTAGGATTGGAAAATTCCCAGGGGGTAGATAGGCTCATTGCCTAGTCCCTCGTTGCTAGCCACCTTGCTTGCCACTCGTGTAGTTGACAATTCTATATTAGCCAATCTTTCTGTGTAGCTCTCTTTGAGTGATCGCAAGCCAAGTCTGGGACTCCGTCCCGTTTCCTCGTCGTCGAGCTTCAGCCGAGCCATGAACGAAGCCAGCAGGTAGGCTCCTACACATTTTCGCCCTTTTTGCACCAAATCAATCGTGGTATTTCCTCGTGTCTAAAACTCTGACGCTTTCCTATAGTCAGGGAGCGAAACCGACGTTCAGTTTTTGTCCATCGATGCCAGCAGCCGCTAGTCCCACGCGTAACCTTATCCCCACGCCTTCACCTCAGACCCCTAAACCAAACCACGATTTTCCACCTTCAATCCTCCACCTTCTCATTTTCCCTTCAACTGCCATGCCAACTGCAGCCAGCTCCCATGCATCGCCTGCCTGCCCGTCCTCCCTCTCTCAGGTGCTGGGGCAGCCTGCCCTCCGACGCGCTGGCCCAAGTGGTCAACGCGCCCTGCCTGGCGCCTGCTGACGTGGCGGCTGTGCGGCTGGTGTGCTCCCACTGGCGCTCCACCGCCTGCAGCCACCTGCGCACCCTGGCGCCCGGGGCCGCCTGCAGCAGCCCGCAGCGGCTGGCGAGGCTGGCGGAGCGCTTCCCCTGCCTGACCGCCTGCGACCTGTCGAGATGCGATACGAGGTGGGGGGAGGAGGGGAGAAGGAGGGAGGAGGGAGGGGGGAAGGGCTGCAGATGGATGAGGAATGCACTGCTGTGAACGGAAAAGGCAACCGGGGAGGGAGGAGGTGGGCGGCAGCGTGCGAGGAGGTTTGAGACCCCTAGCTCTACTTAGTTGCAGACCGCTGCGATTAACCCCAAACACATTACCCTCCCTCCCCCCTCCCTGCAGTCTGGTGGGGCACGCCAGCCTGTGCTCCTCCGCCCGCTGCCTGCTGGCGCCGCTGCTGGCCTCCCTGGCGCCCCTCCGCTCCCTCACTCGCCTCACCCTCTCCGCGGCGTTCAGCCAGCAGATGGGGCAGAAACACTGGGCGGCGGCGCTGTGTGCTGGGGTGGGGGCGGGGAGGGGTGGGGGTGGGGTGAAGGGGGGGACAAGTAAGAAACTGGCAAACTGTATCACAGGATGGGGGAGCGGGGGGGGGAGAGGGTGTGTAGGGGCTAGGAGGGGTGGAGGGGTCAGGAAAGGGACTGCAGGGGCCCTCCGCCCCCCTCCTCCGCCCCCCTCCTCCGCCCCCCTCCTCCGCCCCCCTCCTCCGCACCCACTCGGTTGCTCCCTACACCCCCCCCCCACACACACACCCCATATGCGTCATGGCACTCGGGGTCTGGTGCTGTGGGGAGCTCTTCGTGAGCCAGCACACCAGTCCATCACCTCCTTTTACCCCCCTTTGTGTGCGCCGGTTCTTTGCTCCGGATCCCCCTTGTTTGTACTGCATGTCGTACATCATTCCATGTCCCACTTTTCATCCCACGCACCCTTGCATTCCAGTCATTAGTTTACTAGGTAGCTTCCGGCCGCGCTCACGTGTGTCCCTAATTTTCCATTTGCCCTCGCATGTCCTTCCGACAACATTCTTCGGTACTGACTACTGGTGTGTTCGCTGCTGGCTGCTGGTTCTCCCTGCCTTGCAGGTCAGTCTACGGTAATATTCGCATACGCACATAGTGGTCCTGCACTTGTTTTTCCTGTCCTGCTTTGCTCGAGCATGCACTGCGACGTCTTGGCATCACCCCTGCTTTTACCCCTGTTCAGCGACAGCTACAGCTTCTCTACATCCAGTTTACACACGACAGTGACGGTTCCTTATACCTACCTACTTACTACTCCGGTCCTTAGGTCCGGTCGCGTTACGACATTGCTATTACTGCTTTACACTGATTCCGATACTACTCGATAGCTCTATTCCAACATAGCCAACGGACTTCACTTCACCTGTGGCGTTTTCGGTGGGAGGACTCCATCTTTCGGCAATCACAGTACGTTTCGCCTCGCGGCCAGTTATTACAACACACCCCACCTCCCCCGCAGGCTCTGCCCGACCCGCCCAGCCCCCCGACCGCCCCACCTGCAGCAGCTGCAACTGCAGCAGGCGGAGGGGCGGCAGGGCCAGCAGCGTCTCTGCCCTCCTCCTCCTCACCGCCACCACCAGCCGCACCAGCACCACCGGCACCGGCAGCAGGCTCGCCCGCGGACGCCCTCGCAGCAGCACCTCCTGCAGTGGAGGCGGGGGCGGGGGCGGCGCACCCCGGCCCCTTCGTACCGCCACATGCGCCCCCGCCCTCCGCAGCGGACCCGAGTGGTGGTTCCCCGCCGGACGAGGCGCGCAGTGACCCGGGGGTCGGTGCCTTCACCCGCTCCCTCGCGCATCCCGGTGCCGCGCTGGTCCCCGTGTACTGGCTGCCCGACTGGGGGGCCGGGATGCCAGGTGGGGGGGGGAGGGGGAGGGGGGGATATAGATAATTGCATCAACAGAGTCCCAATTCCGTGTGGGGGGGGAGGGGGGGGAGGGGGCTGCCGAGGGGTGCAGGGGTGAGTCTGCCTGCTGTCGCCGAGGGGGCCGAGGGCAGGCTGGCCCCCGGGGGGGGGAAGCCTCCACCACCGGCTCCTCGCCCCCCGCCTCGCGGCCCCCGCCCCGCCGCAACACGCAGGTGTATTGCCGCCACGACAACCCCTCCCTCCCTCCCTCCCTCCCTCCCGCCCCACTCCCAGGCCTACGAGAGGTGCAGCTGGTAGGTCCCTCCCCCTCCCCGCCCCCGCCCCACATCTGCCCCCACCACCCCTCCCCCGCCCCCCTGCTGTGGTTGCATGCGGGTCGCACTGCACCGCACCTCGCCGCCCTCTCCCTCACCCGCGTGCCACTGGGGGGGCTGCCGGAGGGGGTTGGGCTGCTGGGGGGACTGACGCGGCTGGAGGTGCAGGTGCGGGGGGAGGGAGGAGGGGTGCTCCAAGGGGGGGGAGGATGAGCTGCTGTGACGGGGGGCGAGGGGGCCCTGCGAGTCATGTGAGGGGGTCCTTGTCACCCGCCCTACTCCTTCGCCTCCCCTCCCTCCGCCCCTACAGGACTGCTCCCTGTCCCACATCCCCCCCGGCCTGCTGGGGGGGCTGAGCCGCCTGCAGCGCCTGCAGCTGGGGAACAAGTGAGGGGGGGGAGAGGGGGGAGGGGGGGTAGTGAGGCGGGGGGAGGGGGCAGGGGAGGGGGTAACGTCAAAGGGGGTATCCGCCAAGGAGTGGGGGTGGGAAGGATTGGGGAACTAAAAGAGCAGGCAGCACACAGCGTGTGAACCAGTCACCGCACCGCCCTCGGCACCTGCCGCCCCCTACCCACCTGCCCCCTCCCCTTCCTCCCCCCCCAATACACACACAGCGACCTGGTCACCCTGCCCCCCGACGTGGGCCTCCTCACCGCCCTCACGCACCTGGACATGAGGGTAGGGGGGGGGGGAGGTGGGGGGGTAGGGGGGGCGAGGGGGGGTAATGTGTATGTGTATTGGTTTGCCGTACTCGCACCCATGCTGCCCGGTACAGGCGGTGTGGGGGCGGCAAACCAGGTGGCCCCCCCCTAGCTGCACCGCCACTGCAGGGGGGGCAGGAGCCCCCCCCCCCGTCGAGTTCTCCACCACCACCACCCGGAGTCCCCCTGCCGCCGCCTGCCACCCCTTCCCGGCTCCCCCCACATGTCCCCCCCCGCTGCCCCCCCGCCTGCTGCCCTTCCTCGCCTGTTCACCTGCTGTCCCCCTCCCTTCCCCCCCTCCCTTCCCTCCCTCCTTCCCCCCCATGCAGCGCAACCGCCTCTCCCAGCTGCCCGCCTCCCTCTCCTCCCTCTCCCGCCTCGCCTGCCTCCGCCTGTCCCACAACCAGCTGCGCCTCCCCCCCGGCCCCCTGCCGTACCTCACCGCCCTCACCCGCCTCGACCTGTCGTACAACTGGTTGGGGGGGCAGCTGGGGGGGATGGGGGGAGGTGGAGGAGGGGGGGAAGCGGGCCCCGGCAGTGACATGAGGAGCAGCAGCCCCGGCAGCGGTCCCAGCAGCGGCCCCAGCTGGCTAGGCGGGCTGGTGCGGCTGCGGGTGCTGGAGCTGGCGTGTGTGAGCGACGTGAGGGGGCCGCTGAGGCTGCCGGAGGTGTGTGGTGGGGGGGGGGGTAGGGGGCATATGGATGCAGCTGCGGGGTGCGGGGCGGATGCTGCCGGAGGAGTTGTGTCCCCTGGAGCACTGGTGCAGCCGGTTGGAGGCGAGTGCACCTCCCCGCCCTGCGCTGGTGCCCTGCCCCTGATCGCTGTTTGCCGTACCCCCCACTCACTCCCCGCCCCCCCTTCCCTCCCCCTCCTGCAGGACCTGTCCTGTCTCACCTGCCTAACCCGCCTGGACCTGTCTGACAACAACCTGGAGGGTGGCGAGGGGCTGGAGGGGGCAGGTGGGGAGGGGGCAAAGACCGTACCATACCATAGGAAACCACAGGCTAGGGCAAAGCAAAGGGGGGGGAAGGGGCTGGCAGGCTGAGAGGCTAGTACGATGCACAACTACGCTGAGTACGGTAGTGGCGGGGGGCAGACAGGGTGGCCAGGCGGCTGCTGTCTGGGAGGGGGCAGGCGGACAACAGGGGAGGGGGGCTGCCGCTGCCGCCCCGGTGGGGGGCGGGGGCCTGGGGCGGGGATTGAAAGCCCCCTCGGACCGCCGTCTGCGTTACCAGCACCGCTCACCGCTGACCTCCCACACCCCCGCCTGCACCACCCCTTGTCTCCTGCTTCATTTCTACTCTCTACCCTCTCCCTCATCTTCATCCCCACCTCCACCCCTTTCCCCCCCCCAGGCCTGCTCCCCTCCCTCCGCTGCCTGGGTCTGCGGGGCTGCGGGCTGCAGCAGCTGCCCCCCACCCTGCTGCCTGCGGGGGGGCCGGGGGGGCAGCTGGGGGGGCGGCTGGGGGCGTTGAGGGAGCTGCAGCTGGGGAGAAAGTGAGTAGGCGCGAGGGTGTGGGCGGGGAGTGTGGGAAGGGGAGTGTGGGAAGGGGAGGAGGGGAGGGGAAGAGGGGCTCACACGCGCCAGCTGCCTTGCCCCGCTGTGCTCATACCATGTGCGCGGGAGCTGCTCCGCCGCGTCTCCAGCTGCCTCCGTGCCGCCTCCTCCATCCACCCCTGGCCCCCCTCCAACCCTCCCCACCCCCCGCAGCCGCCTATCCTCGCTGCCCCCCTGGCTGGCCGCCCTGCCGCACCTGCAGCTGATCACACTGCCCGGCAACTGCCCGCCACTGGGGGAGGGGAAGGGGGAGGGGCAGGAGGAGGAGGAAGGGGAGGGGGAGGGGCAGGAGGGGGAGGGTGCTCCCGCGGTGTGGTTGCAGGTGGCGGAGGAGCTGCGGGGGCGGGTGCGGGCGGGGGAGCTGCGGCTGGTGGGGGAGGAGGGGGCGGAGGAGGTTCGGGAGTGAGTGTGGAGGCGGAAGGCTACACTGGGGGGGGTCCAGGGGGGGGGGAAAGAGGAATAACCAATGATTGGTGTGATAGTGGTAAACTAGCTGACAAGCCTTGATGGAAATCCGTGAGTCGAGCCGAACTGGTGACTGGGTGCCTGGATCCCCAGGGGGGTGGGTGGGTGGGTTCCGGCGGAGGCGGCGAGTGGCCCGGATGGTCGGGCTGGTGGTTGCGAGGAGCCGCACATGGTGACAGCTGCTGGTGCAGCTCAGCCCCAGCAGGGAGGGGGAGCAATGGGTGGGATTGGGTTTGGGGGTAAGGACGTAAGGTGGTCCGACCTTGCAGGCGTCAGGCTGCGCAGTAAGGTGTGAGATGACCTAGCACGAGACACCGTGAAGGGTGGTGGGTGGGGTTGACCGGGTTCCCGCGGCACGCCGGAGTGGAGCTACCTGGCTGGCGTGTGGAGGGGCGGGTGCACGCGCAGCCAGGGCCTTACGCGCTGAAGTGGGAATCCGAATATGCGTTGTGTGCACGGCCCGCTTGCCTCAAGCGTGCAGGACAATGAGGTGAAGGGGGCGAGGATACAGCAGCAGCAGTTGACGACGGTTGAAGGACTCCACAGTGTGTTGGAAGCATTAGGGCTGGCTACCAGCAACTATGCACTGCTGGATATGGATGTTACCTCTTAGTCCGTTGGAGCTGATGTCCGCTTACGACCTACCATGCCGTATGGATTGCCCGTACACAACTGCCAAGGTCCTAGCACAGAGGTCCGCGATGCGCAGTAAGGCTTAACCTACGTACAGTTACATATCGATAGGCGTAACCCTGACGTGCAGCAGAATGGAAGTTGTTGCGCCTTACGCATCGTGGGCACTGGGTCTCCTTTCGCAACTTAGTCAGCAAGCTTCTCCGGCTTCAGTAGCTGCGACCTCAGCACCGGTTGTTAAAACAGCTATACCTAGCCCGATGTCCTTAGGCCTAAAGATCCTGTTGGAGCCAACAGCCGGCGGTTTGGTCTTCCGCGCTGCGAGGTGAGCTTTAGTAATAAAGGAAGTGCTGACAGGTTGTTTCTCCTTTGCTGTATCGACCTCGTTTCCCTCTAGCCAGTAGTTACCTGTTGACCAACAACCATCGAAAATAATCTCGGGCTGAATTTGCAGCAACACGCTGGCGATTGTGTACCCCGTGTATGCGAGCGCCAAGGCTATCGAGTCTGAAGGCTCAGCCGATGACGTCCAGGTAAACAGGGGAAGCAGGAAGTCCCTGAGGGCATGTTTTAGGGTTCCTGTCCTCGGGATTTCAGTTGTAGAGCCTTCTGGCGTTGTAGAGCCAACCCGAAACAAATTATGGTTATCGACTGCTCTAGCATGAATGCTAGTCAGGGTAATCGCTGTCATAGTCGCCTGATGGGAGTGATGTTACTCATTGCCCAGGAACTTTCTCACAGACCTGTCCCACTTCCTGCTGCTACTGCGAATTGTCACATGGGCTATAGCGTGGTACTGCCTGTTTCCGTCCGCGTCAATTCTTGCGTCGCCGCCCTGCAGTGGCTAACATACTGGACGCTGTATGGGAGCATCATCCTGGCCGAGCATGTGGCGGACAAGGTCGGTGGGGCCTGCAGCGGGTTGACGTGGCTTTTGCTCGAGACTTGCGCCAGGCTCACCGGCGCTGCTACAAGTCCTCGCCTGAGCTCTCCTTCCTCCTTCCCTCTCCTTCCCTCTCCTCGTCCCCAGGTGCTAGGCAGGGTGCCGTACTACTACCACGCCAAGTTCGCGGCGCTGCTGTGGCTGCAGCTGCCTCAGACGCGGGTGGGCGGGAGCATCTGATGAGATGTGTGATGTGGCAGGATGGGCACGGGGTTCAGGTCAAGGACTGATCTGGGTCAGGCGGGCCGTCACAAGCTTCCCTGGCCTTGACCTGCCTGCTGCATATGCGGTATAGGGGGCATGTTCCCATGTGCCATCGTGGCCACCTCTTGCCTCCTCCTCCCTCCTCCCTTCACATGCTTCACTTCTTCCTTTTCCTCCCTCCTCCTCCCCCCCAGGGTGCCACCTACCTCTACACGCGCTACTACAAGCCCGCACTGGCGCGGTACGGCCCGCGGATAGACGCGGTGCTGGCCAGGGGGCAGCAGCTGCTGGTGGGTGGGGGAGAGGGGGAGCGGGGTCTGTGGGGGGGTGGGGGGGTAAAAAAATATATATGATGAGACACTGACGAAGCAACTGACGAGCTGGGGGGGTGGGGGGGTGGGGGGGTGGGGGGGTGGGGGGTGGGGGGGTGGGGGGGGTGGGGGGGTAGCATATTCCCCTACATCCTTTACACGTGTTGGTGTACAGGGCGGTGTATCATCCGGCGACACAAATGAGCCCCCGATGTCGAGGGCCCCACAGCCCTGCCAGCCCGGGTCCTGCCAGCCGGGTACCGCGGCAGCAGCAGCAGCCCCCATACCGCAGCAGGCGCTGATGTGCTCCCCACGAACTGGGTCGACGACCTTCAGGGACGACGTGTGCCCCTCTGCGAGGCCCCAACTGCGAGGCCCTAACCCAGATCCCGGGTATCACCGCCATGTGACCCTCACTTGCATCTCGCTGCCTTGTTGCTGCCCTGCTCGCACGCCGCATGCACGGGCCCACACGCACCGAATGCGGATGTGCGTGCGGCCGGCTGCCTTCGTGCATCTGCGTTTGTACGCGCTTCGTACTGGTCACGCAAGCCCAAGCCCAGCGTGTGCCCCCTCACCGCGCCCCTCTCCCCCTCCCCTTTCCCCTCGCCCCCATACTGCGCCCCTCTCCCCCTCCCCCCTCCCCCATACTGCGCCCCTCTCCCCCTCCCCCCTCCCCCATACTGCGCCCCTCTCCCCCTCCCCCCTCCCCTCCTCCCCCCCCGCTGTCCCCTGCTCCCCCTTGCTGCCGCAGTCGCTGCTGTACTCCACCTACCGGCTGCCCTTGGAGGCCTCCCTGGCGCTGCTGCTGCAGGTGCGGCGGCAGGCGGGGGCGGCGCTGGCCTGGCTGCTGGCGGCGGAGGAGGGCGGGAAGGAGGGGGAGGAGGACGAGCCGGCGACCAAGGCAGCGGCAGCGTGAGAGGGGAAGGCGCGCGGGAGGAGCAGCGGTGGATGGGGGAGTGGGCGGTGACCTGATGGAAGAGGGTGTGAGCTGTCTTGTTTGTTTGTGTATGGGCCGGGTGCAGCTTGCAGGTGTGAGGTAGGTATATTGGATGCGAAGCTACTAATCGACCTTGAGAGTCCGTGAGTGCGGCGTTTAAAGAGAGCACTTGGCTGCACAAGCAGTGAACTGGGTTTGCAGGCGTTCGGACCCGCTCGTTAACTGGCATCTATACGTCTCATTATGACATAGAGGTAGCGTGGGGTAGCGGCGGCACGCCTTACCGCTGGGGGCATTAATAGCAGCCTGGCCGGTGTGTGTGTTTTGCTGTGTTGGCCCCACCTGGGCATGACACGCTGGGAGGGAGGGATGCATTGCGTGCGGGCTCTAGGGCGGACTGTGGGCCTGTGGCATGGGAGACATGCATGGCGTGGAGCGCTGACGTCACGCGGGCATATGCTAGCTACCTTGATTTGATTGGATCTGCTCCACCGTTCAGGTGTTAAGGACATGAAGACATGGATGACAGGGGTATATGCTTGGTGGTAATTAAGAGGTGGCCGGCCCACAGCATGCCGCAAAGTGCTGATACTTGCTTGGCGTTGGTCCGCGTAAGCTGGCAATCACGTGGGACATCAAGCAAGTGTATGTGCTTGGGTTTGGTGTACTTGGGAACTGGCTTGTAAGGCTACCGAAGAAGATAAGATGCAGAGATACGTAGCTGTGTTCAAGTAGTAAAACGCCCCCGAAGTTTACGCTATACGGAGGATAAGACATTCGGGGGAAGAGAAGGGTCAGTCAGGAAGAAAGAGCACATTAAATTGCAAGATAAGCCTGGCGCGTTATTCCAAACGCCAAAGGGATTTTTATCTTGCGACCAGGAGAGATAGGATACGTGCGGCAAGGAAATATCCTCTGGACGTACGGCGTTGGCCATTGCAAAATATCTGGTACGCCGTGCTGATTTGAAGTCCTTGGCGCTGCGCCTTCCATAGGATAGCCTTATTACTCTGCTAAATACTTGTCCTCAATAGTCTCTGCGCCAAGGTGGTACACGGAGCTAGATACTTTGGCAAAATATTTCCCGGCGTACGACTTGTGGTCCTAGGATATTTTCTCTGACATCGACCGCCTCATCTGGTAACCTTGCTTTAGCACCACGAGCTCTCCATCCTTTACCTTTTCACGTAATGCTTAGGTGCCTGTCAGTATTTTCTTGTTTGGCCTCCCTACTCTTCCGTCGGCGCGGGTCGGCAAGTGCCGAAGTATAAAACCAGCACTACCAAAGCCTGGCTGTCTGAGCGTCCCTATGACCTGGTGCATACGGCGGTTGCTTTAGCGGCGTGGGGTTATGTCGCTTAGTCGCCGTTGAACGCTCGAGCTGTCTCCCTGGCGTCAATTTACAGGCAAGACTTCACAGATAGTTCCATACGTGCCTTCAGAAGAGCTTATGTGTTCGGTGCAGTCAATTATGCAAGCCGTCCTGGCCAGTAGCAGCTCCTCCGCAAGTGCGCATGGACCGCTATGGGGCACGCACCAGCAATTTAGGGCCATACTAGACATCATATTGCACGTCAGACTATCGTTTTCTTACAAGACTTGGATGTTTACCTGCAGATTGCTGACTAGGCGAGCCTTTGGGTACGCTCGGTACAATTGAGACGCTCTTTGCAAACATACTTTCGCCAGTTTCGCTGATCATTAACTTGAAAAGTCCTTGTTACGCTACAATTGCCATCGCAGATGGTCTTTTGGGATCCGGACGCGTTGGGAAGGTTTGGAGTTGGCAACTAACCGCGCGAGGGACCAACTTACGGCGTCCGTTCTTGCGTCGTGCGCCGCTTGCAGCCGCGGGAGCATACCTAAAATTCCACAAGGTAAAATCCACCTATATGGAGCCGGAAGTTGCAGAGGAGGAGCACCACGACGTAAGATGTCTACCAATCTCACGGCAGCAGCGATACAACCCAGCTTCAGATGCGCCAGCGGGACCACAACTGCCCCTCTCAACCGGCTACCTACCGCTGCCCGGAGCCCGACCAGAGGGCGCGGTGTCGCGACCCCAGCCCGCGGACCCGCACCAGCACCAACACCAGCAGCAGCAGGCTCGCCTGATCGCCCACTTGGTACAAGCGCAAGCGCAGGCTCAGCGCAGCGAGGGTGAGGACGCGGCCACCGCGGCTGCCCGCGCCATCCTCGCCCTGCTGGGCCCCTCCCTGGCCGCCGCAGCCGCCCTGCAGCTCTCCCTGCCGCCTCCCTTCCAGACACGCACTGAGCGCGGACCCGAGGGCGCGGCTGCCTCCCCGCCCCGCGCCGGGGAGGGCGGTGGTGTGGGGGCTGATGCGAGCCAGGTTGCGGAGCGGGACGCCTGTGGGGGTCTGCTGGAGGGCTGCCGGTCCTGCGGCCCCTGCTCCCACCAGGCAGTGCCTCGCCCCGCCAAGCAGCGCCTGCAGCAGCCCTCCCCGGACCCCCTCAGACAGCTGCAGCTGCCCTCCCAACAGAAACCACCGCCGCACCAGCAGCCACCACAACCACCGCAGGATCAGGACCCCGACCAGCCACCTCAGCAGGGGCCGCAGCACCCAGGATCCGCCTCACCGCATGCCGCCCCGGCCCCTCCGGGGCTGTCCGCCGCCGCCGCCGCCGCCGTGATGGCAGCCGCCTGGCAGGCCTCCGTGGGGGCGGCGGCGGCGGCAGCGGCGGCAGGCGCCTCCGCTGCGGCTCCGCCAGCAGGTCTGGCGGCCCTGCCCGCCGGCCTCAGCCCGGCCATCTGGGCCGCACTGGCGCCCGCCGCCGTCGGTCCGCTGGGGCAGTTGGGGCAGCTTGCTGGGCTGCTGCTGCCGCCGCAGGAGCTAGGCGGGAGCGCAGAGGAGGCGGTGCAGCCGCAGCAGCAGCCGTCGTTGCGTGGTCCGCCTCGTCCTACGAGCCCGGAGCAGCAGGAGGGGGAGCCGCGGGGGCAGGGGCAGGAGGAGGGGCCGGCATTGAGTTCGGGCGGCAGTGGCAGCGGCAGCGGCAGTGGCAGCGAGGGAGCTGGCAGTGGTATGAGCGGTGGGGGCGGGTGCGGCGCTGTGCAGCGGAGGTCCTGCAGTGGAGGTGGCGGGCACAGAGGGGCGGAACCGGGACAGGGGCGGCGATCTGGAGGTGGTGGCGGGCGGACTGCGCCAGCACCGGGCAAGCTGGGCGGGAGCGGCTCGCAGCCCGCCGCACCGCACCTGCAGCGCCGCCGGGCATCCGAGGCTGGACGAATGCGCAATGCGGCAGCAGCAGCAGCGGTGGCGGGTCTGGAGCTGCGTCGTCAGGCCGCAGACCCGCCCGGGGCCGCTGGTGGGGGGGACGCTGACGCCGACGGGGACAGTGTCATGCGCGAGGCGGGAAGTGAGGCCGAGGCAGCCGAGCAGCAGCCGCAGCCGCCGCCAGCTGCTGCCGATGGTCCGTCTCACGGCTCGCAGGCGGACCCAGCGCAACCCACCACACGTCTCTCCCTGGTTCGACTACAGCCGCCCAGCCGGGGGGATGCGCCGGCTGCGGGATCCACTCCGCGCTCCCGGGCGCCCGGCGGCGTGCGTACGGCAGTCACGGCGGCGGCGGCGGAGCGCGACAGTGGGCGGGGCGCGTACAGCAGCGTGGGGTCGGGGGGGCCTGGAGTGGCGGGTGGGTCCGGCAGCGGGTCCGCGGCGCTGGCGGAGGTGTCGGAGGCGGCGGAGGGGGCCACTGCGGGCACCTCGGTAGTGCACCCGCTGCAGCTGCAGCAGCAGAAGGGCGGCGGAGGTGTTGGTGGCGGCGGTCAGAAGCGCGGGCTGCCGGGTACGGCACGGCGGCCAACAGGCAGCGGCGGCGGAGGCGGCGGCACACCTGGCGACGGTGGCGGCGGCAGCAACTATGGCGAGTGCGACGGCGGTGACGGCCGAGCCGGCGGGCCCAAGGTACGACACCTGGGCTCGCCCGCCCACCTCCGGCCGCCCAGCGGCGGCGGCGGCGGTGTTGCGGCGGGGCCGCCCGCCGGCCTCCGGAGCGGCCTCCTAGGTCCCAGCCGCCTCGGTCCCCGCGCCCCTCCTCCCGGCACCCGGCCGCATTCACCCCTCCCGCAGCTGCGGCCGCATGAGCCCCCGCCGGACCTTCGCGTCCAACCTCATCCCGGAAAGACAACCCAGCCGCAGCAGCAGCTGCAGTACGACAGCCCCGAGTACGGCATGGAGGAGTCCCCGGGTACGGCAGAGGCAGATGCTGACGCGGATGATGATCCCATGGTTGACGCGGCGAATGTGATGGATACGACGGAGGCGGCGGCGGAGGCTGCGGCGACGGAAGCGGCACGTGAGATGATGGGGGCCGGGGGCGGTGCGGAGGGAGCCGGAAGCCGCAGCGGCGACGAGGGCAGTCGCAGCAGCCACTGCGGCGATTCCGACGGCGGCCGAGGAGAGGGGCGCGCTAGCGGCGGCGGGCATAGCGGAGGAGGCAGCGGCGGCGGCAGTGATGGAGATCGCAGCGGCGGCGACGGAAGCGGCGGCGACGGCAGTGGCGCTGACGGCAGCGGTGGTGACGGCAGCGGCGACGGCAGCGGCGCCAGTCGCTACACGGTGGGGGTTGGCGCGAGCGGCGCCGCAGGGGTTCCGCTTCGCACGGGAGGGGAGGCCGGTGCGCACCCCCATGCGTCCCCCCTGCAGGCGCCGCGGCTGAAGGCTTCTGCAGGCGGTTCCGCTGCCGCCGATCTGTCGCCGCCGCTGCGGCCACCTCGCAGCGCCGCCGGGGCTGCCCCGGACAGCGCCGCCGCCGCCGCCACCACCGCCACCTCAAACGCATCCCGAGCCGCCGCCGCCGCAGCTGGCCCCTCTGGCCGCTTCAAGGCTGCCGCAATGACGCCGCATCGCTACCCACCGCTTCCCAGGCAGCTCCCGAGCAGCGGCGGAACCAGGCCGGCAGCAACGGACGGCGGGGACGACGGCAGCGGAAGCGCTCATACGGCGCTAGCCGGCAGTGAACAGGGGCCGCTGCTGAGCCGGGGCTCACTGCAGCCGCCGCCGGCCTCCCTGCTTCGCGGCGGCAGTGGTCCGGGTGCTGCTGCTGCCGGCGGCGGCGGAGGCCCTGCAGGCGACGCAGCAGCAGCCGCCGGTGGCGGCGGCGGCGGCGCAGCTAGCGCGGCCGCCCTCCTGCACTCCACCGCCGGAGCCAGCAGCGGCGTGTTCGGTGGTTGCTTCGGCGACGGGAGCGGCGGCGGCGGTTGCACTCGCGGCCCCAGGCGCCCCCGGCTGCTGTGGACGCACGAGCTGCACTGCCGCTTCATGGCTGTGGTGGCGCAGCTGGGCGTGGAAACGGCGGTTCCCAAGAACATCCTGCAGCTGATGGGCGTGGAGGGGCTCACGCGCGAGAACGTGGCCAGCCACCTGCAGAAGTACCGCCTCTACCTGCGCCGGCTGGCGGGCGTGTCGGCCAGCAGCGCCATCCCGCCCCACCTGCTGGACGGGGTGCAGCTGCAGGCCATGCGGCAGCACATGCTGAAGCACCAGCAGCAGCTGAGTCAGGCGGCGGCGCTGCAGGCGATCAAGCCGCAGTTGGCGGAGGGGGCAGCTCAGGCGGCGGGAGGCGAGCAGGCGCAGGGGTCAGAGGCACTGGCGACGGCCTCTGCAAGTCCCTCCCAGCAGGGCCAACAGCAGCAGCAACAGCAGCAGCACAATAACCAGGCAGCCGCCGCCGCAGCAGCAGCGGTGGCGGCAGCTGGACTGGGGCTGGGACTGCAGCTGGGAGGGGTGGGGCAGCCGTTCGGTTTCGGTCTCTCGCCGCATTTGCAGCTGGCGGGGCTGGGCGGGGGAGCGGGCGGTAGCCCAGCTGTCCTCGCAGCCGCCTCGCAGGGCGCCGTCGCCGGTCTGGGTTTTCCCCTGGCCAGCCCCTTCGACACCTCCGCAGCTGGCGTGGCCGGCTTCGCGGGCCTGCAGGGCCTAGCCAGGGGGGGGCCCATGCCGGGGCAGGGCGGGGGGGCCGCCGACGCCGGGTTACTGGGTGCTGCGGCTCCCTCAGCTGTCATGCAATCCGCCGGGGCCGACCCTGGAGCCCTGTCCGGCTCCCTGGGGGGCAGCAGCGGGGGCCTGCCCGAGCAGCAGCAGCAGATGAACCACGGGTCGGCGGCTGCGGCTCTGAGCCTGCAGCAGCTGCAGCAGTGGCAGGCGCAGCAGCAGCAGCTGGCGGCGCTCATGGCGCTGGCGCAGAGCCAGCAGCAGCAACAGCAGCTGCTGCTGCAGTTCCAATTGCAGCAGCAGCAATGGCAGCAGCAGCTGCAGCAGTGGCAGCTGCAACAGCAGCTAGCGCAGGGCTTCCCCGCAGGGCCTCCCCCAGGTGCCGCCTTCCCGCCTCCCTCGCATGGACGCCCGTCAGACCTGGGCGCTGCTGCTGCTGCCGCTGCCTCCGAGGGGGCTGCTGCTGCTGCCGCTGCGCTCGGGCAGCAGCCGCATCAGCTACTGCATGGCTCCCTCGCCTCCCTAACTGCCCTGCACCAACATCAGCAACAACAACACCAGCAGCAGCAGCAGCAGGAGCAGCTGTACGGCACAAACCACCCCAACGACGCCCTCCGGCAGCAGCTGAGCGCCAATGCCGCATCCGCAGCCGCTGAGGCGCCCCGCCCGCCGCCCCCTGACGCCGCCTCTGCCCCGCTGTCCGCCTCCCAACCAGCGCTGTACGGCCTACTCGCACTGGGTCTGGGCGGAGGGGATGCAGGCGGGCCCCAGGCTGCCACCCTGGAGCAGCAGCAGCAGCAGCAGATGGCTGCCGCTGGCGGTGCGGGCATGGGTGCGTATGGGGGACTCGGGCTGGGGCTGCTGGGGGGTGCGGCCGGCGGCTCCGGACTGGGGGCCTTCGGAGGTGGAGGAGGTGGCGGAGGTGCTGCTGCCGGCGGCCCCGAGCAGGCAGCTGTGCTTCAGCAGCTGTATGCCCTTCAGCAGCAGCAACAGCAGCAACAACAGGTGCAGCAGGTGCAGTATCTGCTGCAACAACAGCAGCAACAACAGCAGCAAGCGCAAGGGACCTTCGCTCTCGGCGGGTTGCAGGGCCTACCGGGGCTGTCAGTGGGTGGCGGGGTTCTGGGACCGGGGGGCCTGCCGGCGTCTGCGTTCGCAACCGCGCAGCTGCCGCAGCACCCGCACTCGCAGCAGGGCTTGCTGCTGGCGTCTCCGCAGCTGCCCGCCCCTGCACCGGCACAGCAGCAGCAGCAGCAGCATGCAAGGGCTGCAGGGGGGGACCAGTCGGGAGCTGCATGGGGCCTGGGCTCCGGAGTGGGTCAGGGTCTGGGGCTGAGCGGCGCCGGGGGCGCTGCCGCCGGGGTGCTGCCGTACACGCTCGGGGGCGGCGGCGGCAGCGGCGGCTGGGGCCAGCCCGCTGCGCTGCCGCCGTACGGCATGTCGTCGCCTCCGCCACCTCCGCCGCTAGGTTCCGCGGAGCTGCAGCCGCAGCACCGGCTGGCGGGGGAGGCGGCGCAGCAGCAGCAGCCACCTGCAGGGGGACTGCTGCGGCCCAAGCCGCATGTGCGCAGCAGCGGGGAAGCGCTCGCCGAGGGTTTGAGGAGCGTGTTCGCTCGGCCCATCGGGGGCCGCGGCGGCGGAACCGGCAGCAGTGGCGGCGCCTCCGGTGGCGCTGGCGGCGGCGGCGGCTCCTCTAGTGGCAGCGGCAGTGCGGGGGGTGGCGACGGCGGTGACGGCGGCGCCCCCGAGGCCCTGAGCAGCGGTTCCCTAGACTTCCAGTTGCCTCACCTGGCGCAGCTGCTGCAGCCCCCTGGGGGGGGTGGAGGGGGGGCGGGGGCGGGGGGTGGCGGGGGGCACTGCACGGCTAGCTACATGATGGGGTGAGGGACGGGGTTGCTGCCTTCGCATGGGTGGATAGGTGTGAGGTGGTTTGCGAGTCTGCGGCGGCTGGAGCTGGATGTTCCGGGGGGCGGGGGGTTGTAAGTGGCGCCGGCAAGCGCATGCGTGTTGCCTTGCAGTGGATAGCAGATGTGGCCAGCATAGATGAAGGCGTGGAGGGTGGGGGGTCAGCCCAGGAGGTCTGGACGGGGGTGGGGGGGGCACACGGGCCTGTGAGGGAAGCATGCAAACGCATACGCACATGCAAGATAGCCTCACCTGGTGCGGGTGACTAGTACCTTTAGCTGATTAGGAACGGCCCTGGCACGCCATGCGACGTCCTGCTGGGCCACTAGGTTGCTTGGAGGAGTTACGTTGCTAGTAGGGCGCGTGTCCCGGTTGGGAACGATAGACCTTTAGATCCTACTGCACCGTACGGTGGGGGGGGACCTCGGTCCCCGCTTGCATGCACCCACGCTGCTTCACTGCAGCCCTCACTTCGCTACATACATTGACATGTATGTCGAGTCGGGCAAAGGACGGGAGCGCATATCGTCTGCATGAGAGGTTGAGCAGTGGAGGGAGTCAGGACTCAGGAGGGGCGCGCCACACACAGGGCGACAGCATTGCCAGTCCCGGCCCGGCGTCGTTAGGGGTGCGCAGCAGTTTGGAGGGGTGCAACGTGACACGTGCGTTGGTCAGGGAGCGCGAGACGAGGGCGGCAATCAGCTGGTGTGGCAGGTACTGGTACCCGACAAGTGTCGAAGAGGGAAGCGAAGATGGTCGGTACATCATTGGTGTGAAGGACGGTGTCGTACTGCGGCCGATGCATGGGGTTATCGTACCTTCGGTGCTGCGGGTGGTGGTGCCCTGTTACCGTACACAGAGTGATACCGAGCAGCAGGGAACCGTGAGAGGTCTGAGGACCGTTGTGGCGAGGAGGGAGTGCGGAGGCGCATGGACTGCGGTCCCCACAGAGCGAGGAGCATGAGCGTCACAAATAAGCGTCCCTTCTTTCCTGGTTTTGACGCCCAGGTCCGTCCGTGTTATTGAACACACTGAGCTCTGTGTATGCGTTTTTTTTCCCGATGTGGACTGTTACAGAGGAAGGACAGGAAGACCACCAAGAAACCAGCGTGTGTTTTGAGAAGGCTGTTTGGTTTGCGTTGCTGGTGTTGGTTGTTCACCTCGAGGCAGCAAGGCGAGTGTGCTGCGCAGTCCGTTTGCTTTGCAGCTTGACACTGAGCGGTGCGGAGCGATGGTTGGTGGCGTGAGGCCCCCGGAAGAGGTGTGGAGGGTCGAGGTGTGAGGTCGCTGGTGGTAGGAGAGTAGACGGGGTGCCCCGATGTGGCAGCAGGCGCCAGCAGGCTGCGGGCGAGGTGTGTGAAGAAGATTTGGCCGCGAGGAGGGGACGTACTGGATGGCTCCGAGGGGAGAGGTCGGAGCGCATTGAAGGAGCGAAAGTGGACACGAGGGTTTCATTTGGTGGTTGGTTGGTTTGTGGTGACGTAGTGGTGGTCGCGTTGTGAGCTGATGACTCCCTGGATTCCTTCGTGGCACCTCTTTCATGGTAGAGTGGCGGACAGCGCCTTTTATGTTTCATTGTTGGACAGCGGAGACGCGCGAGTCGCAGATTGCTCGGGTCGATGGTCTATATTTCTATACTACGTTATCTGAGTTTGGTATGTTTGGTATTCGAGTTTGAAATGGCACGCGAGTCAAAAGTACTTATCCAGTGGGTGTGTGTTTATGTCATGTTGTGTCGTGTTTGAGGTCTGTGACCGTTTTTCGGCCTGCCTTGATTGAGACGTTTGTGACAGCTGTGGCGTTTCAATAAAATGTTGGAAACAGAGTTTTGCGACTGGTGAAGTCTGGAGTGTCATGTAAGACCGGCAACATTAGGGTTTGTGTGTGCGAGTGCGGGAACCTGTCGTACAGGCACATTCACTTTTCGTACGGGAGTGGGAGTTGTCAGAGGAGGAGCATTGAGCGAATGGTGTTGCCGCGAAAGAATTGCATATGAGTGTGGGCGGCCGGCTCGGCGCTCTGCTTTTGCGTTTTTATTTCGTTATGTGTACGGCTGTTGTGTTTGCGTTTAGCCCACACGCGTGTGGACTTTCGCTGTTTCCCCGCATCCCACCTTCCCCTCCTTCACATCTGCACGCGGTGCGGCTTGTAACGAGTGGGTCACACCGCCGAGCAGCGGCTGCATGTCATGGGGGCAGGCAAGCGGTTGACCATGCGAACGGACCCAGGCCAGCGGGAGGTAATGGAGCCTTTGACAACCACGCCACCGCCATTTCTGATTGAGCAGGCATTAATGAACCCAATGCCTGGGACCAAACACCACCCCAACTTCCAAGCAACAACGTTACAAGGCCGCAGCAACCTGTGGCCATAACCCCGACCTTGCGTGTGGGAGGAGGCTCACGCACACCGGTACACTCACTATGAACCAGGTTGCAGTTTGCAGCGCCACCCACGGTTGCGTTGGTGGCGCTGCGGCATCAAGTTGCGGTCCGAACATCCGACGGGCAAACCCCCGTGTACTGCCAAGCAGCGAGCACCGCTGCAAAGGGTGCGGAGGTATTGCGTACGACGCCATCTATCTCAATGTGCGCCGCCGTCCCTAGCCGCACTCCCACACCCCAGGCTGCACTGTACGGCTGCACCCCGCCCACTGCTCCCCGGGCAGCCGCCACTGCATGTTCGCACACGCAGCGTATCTCCTACCTGGTAGCGCTGGTGGCCTATGGTAGGAGGACTATGACGTCATGTACTTCGTATGTACGGTTTTATTGCAGTCCTTGTCCTTGTGTATTGCTCGACCCAACCCCGCCGTGCAGCGTCCCCAGCTACACCGGCCCCGCCCGCTGCCTCAGCTGCGCCCGTAGCCGCACTCCCCCTCCGCCCCCTGCCGCCTGCTGCTCCCCCGCCCCGTCCAGCCACAGCACCAGCACATCCCCCACCCCCGCCTGCCGCCGGATCAGGTACGGCCGCAGCCCACCCAGCTCACACTCGCACCCGCCGCCGCTGTCACCACCACCTCCCCCGCCCCGCTCTCCTCCCCATCCTCCCCGCAGCAGCAGCGACCCCTCGTACCCCGCTCCACTCTCCACCACCACCTCCGCGGCAAACTCGCACCTAGGCGAACAGCCCCGCCCCCACCTCCGCCCCGCAGCGCCCCCCACCTCGCTCCAGCCCGCACCTGAAGCCACCCCGCCCGCCGGCAGCTGCGACTGCTGCCGCAGGCCCCCCGCGGGCGGCCCCTGCGGCAGCAGCGCTGCTGCCCAGCTGGCGGCTGCGGGCGGCAGGCGCAGCACCACTCGCTCTGTCAGCAAGTCGTGCGCGGTGAGAGTGCGGCTGGCCAGGTAGCGGCAGCCGGGGGCGGGTGGGGCAGCGGGCAGGGAGGCGGCAGGCGGGGCTGGCCCCTGCTGCTGCTGCTGTAGGGCGGGCGGCCGCAGCGCTGCTAGGGGCTCCGGGCCGCGGGGGGACAGGGGGCTGGCTGTGCGGTGGCGCTTGCTGCTGGGGGAGTCGAGGGGCGGGCCGGGCGCGTTGCGACCAACGGATAGCCCGGACTTTGCGACCGCTCCGGCTTGCGGCTGGTTCTCCTGGTCTTCTTGGGCGTCATCAGCGGCCAGCACCGCTGCTGCGGGGTGGTGGTGGTGGTGCTGGCCGAAGCTGCCGGCCCCCGCTGCCCCTGCTGCTGCAGGACCTCCCCGGCTCCCGGCCGGCTGCAGTCCGCTGGTGCAGGCCGGGCCGCCTGGGAGGTTGCGCTGCGGACCGCACCTCACCATGTGGGTCAGCTCTCCCCCCTGCTGCTGCTGTTGCTGCTGCCTCCAGGGCGGCAGGGGCCGGTAGCCGGTCATGACGCTCCTGCCACCGCCTGCCATCTGCTGCCCCCACGGCCCCGCCCCACCACCAGACATGGCCGCCAGCTCCCACGCCGCTGCCGCCGGAGACATGGCCAGCAGCTGCTGTCGGTACGGCTGGGCTCCTGCCGTTGCCGGTTGCCGTTGCCCGGGCAGCAGCCCTGGCGGCGGCGCTGGGCCCAGTGGCACACCGGGGCTGTAGCCGCCGTCGCCGCCACTGCCTCTGATAAGGTCGGGGCGGTGGAGCGGTGCACCGCCTAGCCCCGCAGTGTTCCCCGCCGCAGCTTGTCGCTGGCCCTGCGCCTGCAGCAGCAGCTGACGCAGCAGCCAGGAGGGGAGCGGCAGGGCTCCGGAGCCGCCCGGCGGCGCTGCACCCAGCCAGCAGGGCTGCTGCTCCGTCCCCGCCTGCGGAGCCCCGCTGCTGCGGCCCCACCAGGGCTCCTGACCCACCTCCCCGCCCTCCAGCCGCTCCTCGCAGTGCAGCTGCGGGCGGGGACCCGGCAGGGACGACGGCGGCTGCTCCGCCCCTCCGCCACCTCCCCCGGCCAGCAGCCGCTGCTGCTGCTGCTTCCCCCAGCCGCCGCTGCCCAGCAGCTGCTCCGCTGCTTCCTCTCCCGGACCAGGGACCGCCTCCGAGTCAAGGTCCAGACCCATCTCGCACACCGCAGACGCCCCCACGGGGGAGGCAGGGGGACTGCTGCGACCGCCGCTGCCGCCGCCAGCAGCACCCGCACCAGCCGGGTCGGAAGTGCCGAAGGGAAAGGACACCAGGCTCGTCCCCGAGGCGCTAGCGGGTGTAGGCTGCGGAGGGTACAGCTCCGAAGGCCAGCTACCGCTGTCGGTTCCAGCCGCCGCTACCCCCGGTGGCGAGGGCGGGGGCGACTCCGGACCGCTGCGGACGCTGAGCGGGTGCCGCTTCCCCGCCTGCGCGCGCAGCCGCGCCTCGAAGCGCTGCCGCATGCGACTGCCAGGCGCCGGGGGGGCTGCGGGCGGTTGCTGGGGCGAGCGGGGCGGCGGAGGCGGGCTGGGCGGGGCGGGGTGGCGACGAGCCGGCGGCGGTTGCTGTGGCTTCTGCTCTTGCTGGGGCTTCTCGGGGAGCTTCACCACGGCGCCTGAGTCATTAGCGGGCGCTGCGGCACAGGCCGGTTGGACGCCTACTGCTGACACAGCCGCTGCGGTGGGCTTTGCCGGCGCAGCCGTGGAGCCGGTCGGCGGACCCGCAGCAGGAAGATTGGAGCGGTCCTGCAGCGGCAGCGGGCGAGCGGGCCCCGACACCAGCGCGGGGTTGGAGGCGGAGGCGGCTCCTGCTGCTGCTACTCCAACTGCCGCCGCCGCAACAGCGCCCTCTAAGGGGGGCTGCGGAGGGCGGTTGGCGGGCGGAGGTGCTGGCGGGGCTGCTGGGGTCTGGGCGGGTGGGGGCGGCTGGGTGGCGCCGGGGGCGGGGCTGTTGCGGGCCGCCAAGGCCGCTCGTGCAGCTGCGATGGCGGCCTGCACGTCCTCCGGCAGCTGCTGCCGTACGGCCAGCCTCTGTACGGCAGGCAGAGGGGTTGGGGGCACGTAGGGATTAGCGGCGTAGGGACACACATGGCTGCTGCTCAGTTTCAAGCCGGTCAGCGGCGGGTTGTCGGTTAGATTGCGCATGAGATAGCTAGCTGGCTGGCTAGCTAGGTAGCACACGCACCACGACATGGTCCTCATCTGCGTAGAAGATGAAGTAGCAGCCGGGCCGCGCGCCGTGGGCCTCGCAGAAGGCACCTGCATGAAGGGGTTGGGCGTGATGGGGCAGCCGGGACAAGGGCATTGTGTGGTGCGTTCGGCGTAGCCCAATTAGGGTAATTACCTATTCGCGAAAGGGCGTACTGGCCGCCCGTGCAAGTGCACATTAACTCCCAGCAGCTCCCTTCCTCGTCCAACAAGACCTGCAAGACGCATTAAGAGGTTACGGAATTTGCAAAAGCACGCCATGGCTGGTTCGTAGCAGAAACAACCGCAGCCAGCGGCTCACAATGGACTCACCAATGAAGTTGCTTGGCGATTGCGCAGCTCTCCAATAAAGAACCGGGCGTCAGCCCTGGGAAGCTTAACTGACTTTGTCGTGAACCCATCACTGATGGTCAGCTTCTTGACGCACAAGAAGCGCTTGACGTGTTGAATGCACTTTGATGCCATGTTCGACGCCGAACACCTGCTATCAGCATCCAGCATGTAGGTCAATTTGCCCCATTACTTTAGCAGTGCGCTAGGAAGTAAGCGACGCTTGAGCTACTAGGGGACGGCGGCAACCCGCTGACTCCGAGACAGCCAGCAGCTAATTGGAGAAAGGGGTATTCACGTAAGGCCGTCGCATTCCAAAGCCGAAACGGCATTGCCCCATTAACCGAAGCGGCTTACTATCCTATTGACGACGAACGGCTTACTAGTTCAGCGATGCTCCAGCTGCTGCTTGCGCCTTCCCAGTAAGCGACGACCACTCCTGCGGTGTTATGCTTGCTTGCCTACAATATTCAATATCCTTCGCTATACTGCGGAACAGCCTAAGCCCACAAACGCCAAGAATTGGGCGACTGCTAGTCAATAGACAGACGGCAGGCAGCTATCCTAAGGCTACATCTACCTAGCAGATGCATATCGCTACTGGCCGGATACGTAACCTTCAACGCATGATGCAATTTGCAAGCGGAGTTGGTGGGTTAGAATCCGACGGATCCAGTTGTACGACGACTATCTCTTGACGCTTGCCCACGGCACTAACGCTTAGGACGTACAACTGTAAGTTACGGCGCTTATAGCACATACAGCTGACATCATTGAGGTTTATTGGCCGTCTAGATTGTAATCCATCAGTGCACCCCGAACACCAACGTCAAGCTGTGAGCTCGCCGAACCGAACTAAAACCCATTCCAACTACAACCTCTGCAGCTACCGCTGCTTTGCATACAAAAATATGCGCGATAAAAACTTAGGACAGCATGTACATCTGCTCGCATTTAACATGTCTTTGCAACACAATGAAGCACATGCGCCTTCCTACTGAGCTCTACGCTGGGATGAAGGCATCTATACATCCGACTATTGTACCCTTCTGCGGCGTAAAAACCAAAAGAAGCAAAATCGCTGCCGTCTGCAAGCCCCAACCCTTCAGCACCCCCAGCCCGGCCCTTCATCCACGCGCCGGAGCACTTGACATGAACAGCAACCTAATTGCAAAGGCTGCAAGTCCCCCCCCTCCCCCCCCCCAGCCCCGGCCCACCGCCCGACTGGAATCGCCCCTCCTCCAGGCCCGGGGTTGGTATCAACCCCCCGGGCCCCCCACCATGTCACCATTGCGTATTCTTCTTTTCCCCCACCATGTCACGCCCATCTGGCCCGCCGGCAAGCCTATCCCCACTCCCTCATGTGCTGCCCTCTGCCGAAATGGACTCCCCTCCCCCGCCCCCTCACGCGGTGCACGCCGCCGCCCCCGCCCCCGCTATGCGCCCGAACACACAGCACTCCAGCAGCGAGTTGCCGCCCAGCCGGTTGCGGCCGTGCAGGCTGGGGGGAGCCGGGGGGAGGGAGGGGGGGTGGGAAGAGGCAGGGGGGCGGGGAGGGGGAGGGGTTGGGAAAGAGCGGTAGGCAGGCATGCGACATAGGCGGGGGAGGAATGATGCTACGCAGGTAGGGGGGAGCAGTTACACTGAGCCGCGGAAACACTGACTGGTAGGGGGAGGCAGGAGGCAAGACAGCGGGCGGGCGGGGGGAGGCACATCTCCAGGATGGGCCGCGGCTGCCGTTGCGGTGGTGTGCGGCACGGTGGGGACTGGGGAGGAGGAGCACCCGGGACCCCAAGAGAAGGGAGAGGCAGAGGAAGAGGGGGAGAGGGGCGCGGGTCACCCGCCCAGCTGCACGCCGAGTAGCAGGTTGCCTTGTGACCTTTGCTTGCCCCCGCCCAGTCCCACATCTCCCACCTCACGGCAGCCCGCCACGCCTGCTCCCCTCTCCCTCCCACCCCCCGTCATACAGTTCCTTCGTTACCCCCACTCCCTTCCTCCCACCTCCCACTCCCTCCCTCACCCTCCAGACACCTCCCCGGCCGCATACAGTCCGCCCACCACCGCCCCCCCGCCGCCCCCCGCCCGCAGCGCCTCCGCCCGCTCGTTGATGGCCACACCGCCCATCGTGTAGTGGACCTGGGGGGGGAGGGGGAGCCAGGGGGGGGCTGGGGGGTGAGGAGCAGGTGAGGAAGGCGGGCAGGCGACATGGGCCCGGGCCGGGTGCTGGCCAGCGCAGTGCAATACCTGGAGGCATCAGAGGCGGTGGAGGGCGGCGCGGTGAAGGGCAGCGCGGTGGAGGGCAGCGCGGTGGAGGGGCTAACAAGCAACCATGCAAGCTCCTCCAACGCAGGGACACTGCATGCACCGGTGACACACAGACCCCCCCCACGAAGCGCTCCCCTCCTCATTCACTCCCCAAAACCCCTCCCCCCCCTCCCCCCCCCCATCCCCCAAAACCCACCACGGGTGTCACCCGAGCCAGGTACAGCGGCAGCTGCTCCTCGGGGTGCGGCGGGTGCGGGAACACACGCTTGCCGTACGGGTCGGTGCGGCCGTCCCCCTCCCTCCCGCCCTCCGCCTTCCCCCCCCCTGCTGCCGCTGCCGCTATCTCCACATACCCCCTCAGCTCCCCCCGCAGCTGCTCGGGGGGGACCGACATGGCGGCAGCGGCCTCCTCCAGGGTGGAGGCCTGGGGGGGGGGGAGGTGGATGGATGGGGGGGATTATAGATGCATGGGAGGGGGGAAGAGATGCCCAGGTCTCGGCGCGGCGCAGTCTCCAGGTGTTGGGCCGCCCACCCACATCGGAAAAAAACAACCTGCACCCTGCACCCCCCACAGCAACCCTTCTCTCCCTGGAGCCCCTTACCCCCCCACCCCACCCCGCCGACCCTCAATCCATCGTCCACACCTCCCCGGCCTCCTTCTATGTTCAACCGACTCATGGTAAGTATCACAGTTTGGTAAGTGCTTTTTGTTTCTCAGTTAGACTACTTCGGGTAGGGTGGGATGGACCGGCTACCATGTTTGCACCCCATGGTGAAGCCGTGTCATACAGCTCGTCAATTGCTTCGTCAGTGACTCATATTGTTTTTACCGCCCCACCCCACCTGATTGGGATTGGGATTCGTTGTTTCACCTATTTAATTTTTCACCCCACCTTGCGCATGAGCCCCTTGCTGCAGTAGAACCCCACCGCCCCCCCGCCGTACTCCTCCGCCGCCCCCCGCCCCAGCAGCAGCCAGGCGGTCCGGTCGGGCAGCGCGGAGAGGGCGGACACCACCGCGTCCCGCCGAGCTAGCTCGTCCACGAAGCGCCGACCCTGGGGGGGCGGGGGGGTGGGGGTGGGGGGGAGGAGGAGGGGGATGGGGTGGGGGGAGCCTGTGTTGGGTTGGGCTTGGTGTGCTGGCGAGTTGGTTCGCTGTCCATCGGTTTCCGCAACCACACCGTTGCTTTGCACATCCCCCCCTCCCACCCCTCCCTCCGCTCTTTGTGTGCCTAGGTACGTGTTTTATCATGTATCAGTCTGTGTTGTTTTTTATGCGTGCTCGTGTTGTGCTGTTCCTGCTGTTGGCGTATGCCCCACGGCGCGGTGGGTCTCCAGCTCACCTTCAGCAGCCTCCACACATGCCCAAGACTATGGTAAGGTTGCTCCATACTTGGTAAGTTCGGTAAGTTTCGCTCGCATTGCTTTAACCACCTTTTCGGCTCGACTCACGGTTGATTCCACCAGGGATTGTCAGCAACTTGTATCATTCTCACACCACACTTTGGATTTTCTTTTTTACCCCTCCCACCTGGTCGTCCAGCAGCAGTCCGCCCACCCCTCGCAGCTTCTCGGGGGCCAGGAACTGGGGGGGGGGAGGGGGAGGGGGGGGGGGGCAGTGAGGAGTGTGGTGGAAGAATGGGTTTGGGGTGGCAGGGCAGCCCCGCCGAGCCCCTTCCCCTGGTTCTGTTGGCAGCCCAGATTGAGCACCTGGAACGAGAGGCAAGGGAGGCGGAGCAGGCTGTTGAGGAGCTAGCCTCGATATCACGCCGCGTAAAGCGGCGCACCCCTCAGAGGAATGTTTTCGCGACTCAGGGGCGAGCCACTTTAAGCCTAAATCCTGCCCTAGGACCTTCGATGTCGCTGCTGTTGCTATGTAGGGCCGTGTGGCGCCGACACCCTACACTTTGACCACACTACCTCTGCCCCTATGTGTGTCTTTAAGGCTGCTAACGGGGCTGTATATCGAGACTTGTAAGCGTGTGGAAGTAACGTAACAGGGGCTCCAGTATATCCAAGTACTTACGACACCCGCTGAGGCTTAGGAGGTCGTAAGTACGTAAGTACTTGGATATACTGGAGCCCCTGTTACGTTACTTCCACACGCTTACAAGTCTCGATATACAGCCCCGTTAGCAGCCTTAAAGACACACATAGGGGCAGAGGTAGTGTGGTCAAAGTGTAGGGTGTCGGCGCCACACGGCCCTACATAGCAACAGCAGCGACATCGAAGGTCCTAGGGCAGGATTTAGGCTTAAAGTGGCTCGCCCCTGAGTCGCGGCTGGTGGGGCCAAGGGCGGCCCCTGCCTCCCACTTCCCCTCATGCCTGGGGGTTTTCGTATACCTTCCCCCCCTCCTCTCATGCGGTTGCAGTTGCTTCCTCTCCCCATGCAAACCATGATGACGCCTTATCATTCGTCGGTTGTTAGTTAGTTGCTTCCTCTCCCTCCCCCCCACCTTTGTCCCCGCCCCCGGCTCCCGCGGGTCCACGAAGCCGGTGGGGTGCAGCTGCACCGCCCCCAGCCCCACCAGCGCCGCACCCGCAGCGGCGGCCAGCTGCAGCGCCTCCCCCCGCGCCCAGGGGCCGTTGGTGGTGGCCAGGGGGGCGGCGGAGGGGGCGTAGGTCTGGGGGGGAGGGAGGGGGGGAGGGGGTTATGTAGGAGAGTACCAGGGATAGCGGTGAGGTTTGGGAGCAACAATGGGGAGGGGTACGACCAATACCCCGCCCCCGCCGCATTACACCCTGCTCCTTCCGCCCTCTCCCCCCACCCCCCACCTGCAGCATCTCCTTGTTCGCCGCGAACCCCCCGGTGGCCAGCACCAGCGCCCCGCACGCCACCTCCACCTCCACCTCACCACCACCACCACCACCACCACCCTCTCCCTCCTCCCCGGCCGGCACCGAGCCGTCAGGAGCCGCAGCCGCCAGCACCACTCCCCGCACCCCCCCGCCCTGACCCCCCTGACCCCCCTGACCCCCCTGACCCCCCTGACCCCCCTTCCCCTGCCCCTGCCCCGGGTGTGTTATGATGCGGCGCAGCGAGTAGCCCTCCACCACCTGGGGGGGGGGGGGCAGGGGGGGAAGGGGGGGGCAGGGGGGAAAGGGGGGGCAGGGGGGGCAGGGGGAAGGGGGGGCAGGGGGAAGGGGGGGCAGGGGGAAGGGGGGGAAGGAGGGGCAGGGGGCAGGAGAGAGGAGCTGCTGAGATGAGGAGGCAGGAGGGAAGCAGGTGGAGCGCTGTGGGCAGGGGGCAGCTGGGTCGTGCAGTGCCCCAGTGGCAGGCTTCCCCCGCATGGCTCGACTCACGGTTGATTCCACAGCAACTTGTATCATTCTCACACCACACTTTGGAATTTCTTTTTTTCCTCCGCACCCCGCCTGGGGACCCCCTCTCTCGCACTCTCCCCTGCCCCCCCTCCTCCACCCCCCCTACCCGTATCCTGGGTTGCGCCCGCACCGCCGAGGTGAGGGCGGACATCAGCACCCACCCCACGTTGGCGCCACCCACCACCGTGCGGGTCCTGGCAGGGGGGGGGTGGAGGGAGGGGGCGGAGGGGGTAGGAGGGAGGTGGTAAGAGGGAAGGCGAAAGAGGGAGCCGGCGGCGATGCAGGAGCAGCGGGCACACGTCGGCATTCGCTCAGCTAATGCTCCCACGTTTTTGGTGAGACCTGCCCACACCCCTCGCCTGCCCTTGGTGCAGCTCTTTTGACCACATCGTTAGCTGCTGTTATTCCCCCCCCCCCAGGCCCCCCCTCCCCCCCCCACCTAGCCACCGAGTGCCCCCCCAGCCGGGTGAGCCCGGGCAGCTGCACGCCGTGGGCGGACAGGAAGGACAGCGCGGCGGGACTGTCGTGCTGGGGACACACAAGGGGGGGAGGGTGGAGGGGATATGGGAAGGTGTTGAAAGGAAGCGTTAGCTGCCATGTCGTCGAATTCGCCGCTGCAGGGCGGGTGTGTCCGCGGCACACCAGCTGCCCTCGCAAGCAGGTGCCCCTGCAGCGACCTCCTGGTGCCTGCATCGCTGTAAGGCCAAGGCCTGAAGCCCCCGCCCCACCCAGTCCTGGTCCTCCGCAAGCCAGGTTTCCCCTTCTCAAACCCCACCCCCCCCATCGAACCACCTCGTCAGTGTCCCATAGGAACGTGCTCCACCTCTTTTCCTCCCCCCCCCTCGCCCCCCTACCCACCACCAGCCGCTCCACCAGCCGCGGGTCGCTGTCGCCCCCGCCCGACTCCTCAACGTCCCGCACGAACAGCTCCTCGCTGTCAGCCTCCCCCGCCTGCTGACCATCACCCGCCCCTCCAGCCCCCCCTCCCGCCTGCAGTATGTTGATACCCGAGGAGGCCTTGGCGCTGTTGCCGCCCAGCCGCGGCATCTTCTCCACCAGCAGGATGTCCACCGCGGGGGAGGAGGAGCCGTTGATGCTGCTGCCGGGAGCTGGGGGGGCGCAGGAGGATGTGGTGGTGGTGGTGGTGGTGGTGGTGGGGCAGGCGGTGGGGCCGCTAGCAGCAGCAGCAGCAACACCCCCCGCCCCCGCCCCCGCTGCTGCTGCTGCTGCCTGGTCCATGCACTCAGCGGCCTGCAGTGCCGCGGTGAGGCCGGCCAGGCCCCCGCCCACCACCACCACACGCGCGGAGGCGGGCAGCGCGGGCTTGTCGCCCGGCTGCTGCTGTGGCTGTTGAGCGGACATGATTGTGGCTGATATGGCTGACGAGGACTTGATTGTTTGATGCGAATTTAGAAGGTTGGTGTCGGGATGGTTCTTGCTAGTAGAGTCGTTGTTGTTGTCGCCGGGATGGGAAGAGGTTCCAGAAGAGTGATCGCTGTGTTGCAGAGGTTGGTGATGGGGCTGTTGTTGCTGGTTAGAATGCTTGGTGGAATTGGGCAGACGCGTCCAGAAGATGGAGAGGAAGACGAAAGCAACGAAGGGGACCGCGAGCAATGCGAGTCGACGAGGGCTGTGGCGCAGGCCAGATGCTAATCGGAAAGACACGTTACCGCGCTGTTGTTGTCTGCGCATGCAAATTGAGGCTGTGGTATCAAGGAGTTCCTTGGGATCGCTGTTCTGCACCAGGCCCGAGACCTGTTGCATAAAAATGCAGTTGGGGACTACGGAGAAACGGAGAACGACCAGACCTAGCGCATACAGCGTGCAGCTTTGTAAGCTTCCTGGGATACTGATCTACAAGTGCTTGCGCGCGATGGCATGTTTGCTCCGTACGCGGGTCGTCCGCTGGAAGTTGAGATGATGGGCTTGCCTTTGCAAAGTTAAGTTTAGTGGATACGAACTGGTCCTTTCTTTGCTTACATTGGGATTGCAGAGGGGCGCCGCTACCTAGCCTGCATCACCTGCGGAAGCATAGTTACCAGAACTCGCATTACAGGTTTACTGTTGCTTATACAGTAGGACACTTTTTCATGAATGCTTGCAGAGCTTAGGTCTTTTCCAAAGTAGCAATAGGCAGGATTGGTGATTATCCTTGACATAGGAGCGGAGACACCATGGCGGCGCCGCTGCTCGACCCGCTACTTGCAAAGATGCAGCAGACAAAGCTAACGGCTGCCAGGGCAGCTGGTGTCCTGCGCGCAGCATTTCCGGCGGAGCGGGCGACCGAAAACAACATTGCAGTGCAGCTGCCACGGCGGGATGTGCCTACTTATGTCTTACCAAACAACAAAGCGCAGCCCTGGGAGCTGCTGCCCATGAAGGCAGCAGCGATGGCTGAGTACCCAAACTTTTTCAACAACAGCTGCACGTTCTTCGGCAGCATGAAGCGTGATATTGTCAACGGGCTACCGTTCTGCTTGCTACGCCCATCCCGCCTTGCAATCGACCTGTCAAAGGTAGTCCGGAACCTAGGCATCGTCGATGGCTTTGAGGTAGTCCAGCGACGCCGAAAGCTTGGCCAACACGACTTCGTCTGGACCAGCGACCAGCCGGAACCAGACCACATCTACGATGTCGCGCTCTTCAAGCAGCGGCTCATCCGCCTGCACCTGCGCACCGACCTCTACAGCCTCAACGCCACCAGCGGCTCCTGCGCAGCCACCCCGCTGCCTCCCTCCGCGCAGCTCGCCCCTGCCTTCGGCCTGCTGCCGCTGTCCGTCAAGAACGTCAGCAAGGCCTCGCAGCCCGTGCTCATGTACCCGCGGCAGCTGGAGCAGGCGCGCGAGCGGCTGCCCGCGGGCGTGTTCGTGTGCTACCACCACGAGCTGGGCCTCATCACGGACGCGGTGGCGGAGCTGTACGACGTGCCCGCGCTGGTGGCGGCGCACGTGGGGCTGCCGCTGAGCCAGGTGGTGCAGATCCGCGGGGCGCTGCGACTGAAGGCGAAGGAGGAGGCAGGGCGGCCGCTGCGGCAGGTCACACCGCTCAAGGTGGGTGGAGGGGCGGCGGACGGGAGAGGGTGGCGAAGGGAAGGGGGGGAAGAGGGGGAGGGGGGAGGGGCTAACTATGTGGCAAGGTCTAGAGGGCGGGGTAGGGTGGCGGCAGGGGTTTCTGAGTCGATATGGTGTACGGTTGGGGGCATGAGGGGGAGTACAGCAGCCCAGGTGTCTGTGACGGGGTGTGCGGTGACCAGCTCCCGCATGCTTCAAACCTCTGTACTGCCGTGTTCCAGCCTTAATGCTGCCACGTGGCTTGATTCTCATGCGCTGGCTCACGCCCTCCTCCCGCTCCCCGCTCTCCCCATCCCCAGTCCTGGAACATGGTGGAGGCGGTGCGGCGGCGCATGGTGGACCGGCTGGCAGTGGCGGAGCAGCCCGCGGAGGTGGAGGCGGAGGCGGCAGCGGAGGCGGTGGAGGGGTCGCTGCAGGCGCGGATGCAGGAGCTGCGGGACGCGGCCAGGCAGGAGCAGCAGCAGGTGGGGGAGGAAGAGGGGGGACGGTAGGGACTGCTGTGTGTGCTGTTGCGGTGCTGTGGGGCTAGGTCGCGGAGGGGGCTAGGAGGCTGCGGTGGGGACGGCAGCAGGGCAGAGGGCATAGGACCAGCCAGGTGAGCCGCCTTTGCGGCGCTGGTGGTGGCGGGTTGGCTGCGAGGGAGGTTGAGGGAAGGGTTCGCCCGGGGGCCAGCCGAGCTCGCCACCCGGGTTGCGCTGCACGTCCCGTCCGTTCGTGTGCCGCCACACCCAACAGTGGCACGAGCACCGTAGATGCGTACCGTAGTAGCATCTAGGTCCTACGAGGCGGCAAGTGGGAAGCCAAGTTAATCACAGACGGAGAGCGCCTGACGTGCGCATGGCCCATTCTTGTGCACCTAACCAGCCTAACCAACACCCGCACCTGCCCCCGCCTTCTCCCCCCCCTCCCTTCCCTCCCCTCCGCAGGCCAACAAGCAGCTGAGTGCGGCGCTGTCCTCCGCGCAGGAGCTGGAGGACGGGCTGCTGGCGTGGCGCGTGCTGCGGAGCGGGGTGCTGCGACAGGGGGGCGCGGGGGCGGCGGGCGAGCAGCAGCAGCAGCAGCCGCAGCGGCAGCAGGAGGGGGAGCAGCGGAGGCGCTGGCGTTAGGGGCGGCGGGAGTGGTTTGACGGGCTGGCAGGTTATTGATGTCGCGGCTGTGTCGGTGGAAGGGTGCGTGAACTCCGCGTGATGTGGCGTGCTAGGGTGAACAGGTGGCTTAGCGGACGTGGGGCTGCGTGGAGTTAAGAAGCATGAGCGGAGGGATGACGCGTCCTGGGTTACATCTTGACGAGGGGGTGCCTGAGCGGGGGGGCACTGCGGACTGCCGTACAAGCACAATGTAAACCTCGAGAGGTTTACGAACTTCCCTGCGGAAACCCCGCACACAGAACTACCGGTATGGCTGAGGTACCCAGCAGCCGCCGCCTTGCCAAGCACCTGCTAGGCACTGTTGGTAGAAAGAATACATGCGCACATGCATCAGCCCACACGTCCCGCGGAGCACAGCGCTCTTGTCGTGGGGCGGCATGTGTCGCTGGGGTGCGCTACCTCTGCAATGGAAGTCAAGCCGCCATGCGCCCCTTAGTGCCATCACGCGCCGCCGTGCGCCCCTTTAAAGCGACCTATGTCTTTCGGCAGAGCAATTTAATGAAGGTTGGCTAACTCTATGCCACGCACGAGTTCACAGCATCGTGTTCGTACATCATTGCTGTGCTTAGTGCTTTGTACGGACTGCTTGGAACGTGTAAACATTCCGTATGTCAAGCGCTAAAAGCCGTGTTGAAATTCGCTTGCAAAGTCATTTATTTTCGTCCGTTACAAAGCACCTGCGTGTCTTTTGCTCGCGGCTACAAATAACCCGCGATGCGGGCCGAGGCCCGTTCGCACTGTCTGTGCCGTTTCAAGGATGCATCTCTCTCACACTCGATCTCCCCTCACGTGCCGTGGCGTGCTCCAGTGCGACCACCCGGCCTGTGTCACATACAGGCCTCAGGTGCAGCACGACCAAGCGATACACCATGCGACACCCACTCATGAATATCTCGCTCACATGCACGCCTACTGCCTACCTAACCTAATCACCGTCCCAATAAATAAGGGGTGTATGCTCCTAGCACCTAACGTCCCAGCTGCTGACAATCCACTCCCTGCCAGCAACTCTCACCTAGTCCAGCTAGTGTCCACCATCACAACCCATCCTACCCGCCTCAACATGCAGCGCGATGCATCCGACAAGCTCACTGTGCAAACATCGCTGCCGCATCACTGCCTGCCGCACGACGAAGTTCAGGATGGGTAACTCAATACGCCAGAAGACGCTACCACCTCAGCACACGCGTGGGATCACCTCCATTCCCCGAATCACCTTGGGGCGACACAAAGAGAGCTCTCGACATACTCTCCTTGCCTACCTAGCCCACGCCAACGTCTTCCTAACTAGGCACATTCTAATTCCAGGGCCAAGAGCCCCGCCATTGCATACCACCCCTGGGACGGTTGACCCGGTGCCGGGCCACTAACGGGAATAATCCACGAGACTGCAAAGACGCGCAGTCCCCTGCTAAGCCCCTAGGAGCTACCACCACCGCAACAAAATACCTAGCGCATCATTGATAAGACAGTACATCCGCACATCCGGCTCACGCCGGCAGCACTGCACTCAATCCTGCAGCGCCGACCCCTGCGACACAGCGCACCTCGCACAGGCTACATCCCTAGTTCCCGGATTCCCCCAGGGTCCCCCAGGGGTCCTAGGTCCGCCGGTGCCGTCACCGCGCTGTGGGTGTGGTGGCGGTGGGGCAGCACTCCTTGCCCGTGTTGAAGAGCGAGTACGTGCAGGAGCCGCCCCGGCAGAACTTGTCAATCGTGTCGCAGGGCCCGTCGCGGCGCAACTCGATACAGAGCTGCTTGGGCTTCGAGGCAATGTCCAGCGGCGAGTAGTTGAGCTTGGTGAGGCGGAAGGTGCCGCCCTGGTCCCAGGTGACCTGCGCGGGAGGGGGGAAGAAGGAGGAGGCGTCAGTTTGGCTTGCTGGAGTCATTATTAACGAATAATAACGCTTAACAACAAGTACATGACGTCTACTGCCTAAAGGAGGAAGGTACGGCACTCCCAACCCCTACCCAGAAGAATCAAGAGCTCCTTAAGACAAACCCAAATTACCCAAGTTGGCCCTTCGCACCCCTGTCGCACGGACCACCTACCGGGTACTGGATCTTGTCAATGTACGCTCGTACACTGCCCCGGCACGTGTCGTAGCTGCTCCACTCCACCTTGAGCAGGTTGGAGGCGCAGCACATGCTGCTGGGGTCGGCGCAGGCGGAGGAGGCGAGCGTGAAGCAATAGAGGTTCTGCCCCGAGGGGGAGCGGCTCAGGGTGGGGGCGCCGGTGAGGGTGAAGGGCATGGAGCCGGGAGTGCGGTCACACCTGGGGAGGGGGGGGGGGAGGGAGGGGAGGGTGTTAGTCGCCGTAAGCCAAGTTTTGCGGTGGAGGGTGACAGAGTACTAAGGCAATACGGCCGAGGCAAGCTGCAAGAGCAGAAAGGAGTAGCAGTAAGGTCCATATCCCGGCTTCGACACGAGAGCAGCAGGGCCTCACAGCCAACCAAGCATCCATGCACTCACCCGTTGGATGGGAAGACCCCTGTGTTGCCCGGAAGGCGGTGGTGCTCCGACTGCGCTGAGACGACATGGGCGGCGCTGGACAGCAGGCGGTGGGTGGCGGGGGTGGCGACGGAGGCGCTAGGCTGGCTGGGCGGCGGCGGCACCACCCCCAGGGTGTTCACGGGGCAGCACCGGTGGCGGCCCGTGGACTGCCCAATGGAGTAGGTGCAGCTGCCGTCGCCCTCGGGGCACAGGGCCGCCAGGTTGGGGCAGGGGTCGCGCAGCGTGATGCAGATCTTAGCGCCGGTGACATTGGCGGTGGTCAGGTTGAGGCGCGGCAGCTTGAACAGCGCCTTATCGCGCGAGGGGCCGTACAGCGTGAAGGTGGGCACGGGGGCGGGCAGGCCATTCACTGTCACGGAGCGGATGGCGCGCCGGCAGGTGGGACGGACCCGGAGCTCGAGCTTGTAAAAGTCGGCCTGGCTGCAGCAGGGGTTGCTGGGGGGGCAGGGCTGCACGGGGGCGCCGGTGAAGCAGACGCGGACACCGTTGGCGGAGGGAGAGGTGGTGTAGGCGCCCTCCAGCTTGTATGGGCTCAGGCCTGGGTTAGCCTGGCACTCGTAGTCCGGGAAGGTGTTGCCCGTTGAGGTTTGGAGCAAGGCCCTGAGGGGTTGGGGCAAGGGCGCAGAGAGAAAGGGCTGGTAAGATAACCGCGGTACGGTATGATGAGGCCATGGAGTATGTAATGCTAAGGACTCCGACCCATCCATGGACAACAGCTGGGCCGTCAAGTAATGATATGACTAAGCTTGCCATCGCATGAAGCTATATCAGTATCTAAAAAAGCTTTGCAATCAGCAATCCTTACCTTCTGGCGTGTGCGCCTTGGGTGAAGAGCGCAATCGCACAGAGAAGCGCGACAATCGCGAGTTTCTGCATTGTGGCTTTCTCAAGTCTCAACCTGCAGGATGAAGGTAGGACAGACATCACAAGCGACCTCAGTGTAAGTCGACTCGTAACCGCCCGCGGAATGGAGCAATGGCATTGCAGGCAGCAGAGACCTCCGACCAAATAAACCGCGAACATGATCACACATTCAACAACCGTAAATTGAATTCCTTTAACAACACAACCAGCGCAGCGGCGTCCTTACCAAGAAAGGACGCGCAAAGGAATGATGGTCGCTAGTGCTTTTGAGGTATTTGGACTATTCCGAGGTACCCTGATACGATACTAGGCCTGCTGTCGTTGCTAGGATATGGGTTGTATTAAGTGGTTGCTAAAGAGAAAGATTTGGCTATGGATGGCGAAGGCTCCGTGAGGGTCGAAGCTATTTGATACGCCGCAGGAGGGATGGATGAACCCCCTGGCAATTGTATGTTGTTGTTTGGCCTCTCCGGCAGTGGCGGCTTAAACTTTCCGGGAACTTGTACCCGTAGCGGTAGTTTGTCGTTTAGACGAGCATCACTACTGAAGCCCGCCATAAACCCCTTGTATTCCCTTTCCGCGCTCCTAATCCCATCAAAGTACAGGACTTCTAATAAACGATACTATGGAGTTATAGAATTTCCCGGAAATTTGCTCCGCAACGCTCATCGCCTACCAGCCGCTTACCAGCCAGCCCCCCAGCCGGCCCAGCCAGTATATGTTACTGGCTCCACCAAGCTGGCACTTTACCAGGGAACGGTCTTTTATGGCAAATTGCTGCACTCCAGCACAAAAGATGAAGGCGGCGTTAAGTTTCTCGCGTCGCCTTCCAATGGATCGGCAGGAGAGCCGGAGGTTATCAGCTTCCCGAGGTTGCTGAAAATTATGTATCATTTCCACACATACTGAGCGCTTCTGTAGTGAAGCGGCGCCTGCCCTTTCAGCTTCACGTGAAAGGAAAGGCGTTTGCTCGCGCTGATATTGCAACTCTCGCATCTAGCTTCGTTCCATATATGCGCTGCGATAGGTCCGCTACATTCTTTTACGGGCTGGGCTTCGGGCCTGTCTAAGTACACTTGAAGGCAAGCTAAACGCAAGTGCGCATATGATGGCTCGACCACGTTAACCGCTTGCAGTCAAAACCGAAGCACGGAGCCTTACACACTAGCATATTCCGGTGCATGCGACTCCGGGCAAACGACAATTAATGCCTATGTATGCAGGGGCGTCTCCGCCCCTGGCGCCCCGTGACCCCAGGATTAATGGCAGGGATGTGTGTAATAGGGCCCTTAGCGGTGCTATCAGCATACATAAGCACCATACAGCATAAGTGCCTACTAGCTGACAAAGGATACCGCACACTTGCCTGTCATTGCCGTCTGTGCCCATCTGTGTTGGAGCATGAAAGTGTCGTTCCGTGCCTCAACCGGACAGATATGATGGTCCACGTATATTGGACTTGTCTGGGCGATGGAAATGTATACTCTCAGGCCGACCCTAGCTGGCCGCTGGGCATGCTCCCCTTACTTGCTGGCTGGCAACGGCCTTGTCGCATTCCGCAGAGCAGCTCGCCTATCGAGAGGATGGCAGAGCAGCTTCAAAGCACGCCCAGCGAAAAGTATAGCTTGAGGAACAGTAGCGAAGGCGTAAAAAGCTGCGTGCGTAAGCGGTCGTGGGCTCGTATCCGCTTCGCACAACAACACACGAAGTTCCGTCCTAAAACCATTTGTATTAAGCGCTGCACAAAGAGCTGTACAAAGAGCTCCCATCCGGTCGTTGCTATTGTCGCGCAGGTAGGCAAGCGCTCTCCCTGTAAACAGCGTTTCCTTCAGTACATGAATGTCGTCCGTTATATGTATCATTGTAGCCGTGCTCGGAAGATGTTACTATCCTATTCGCTAGGTCCATATGTGTCTCGTCCAATCCCGGCTGACTAACACCTAAGGTTCAACGATGTCGCACTAACTAACAATGAGAGACGTATGTTTCAGGCAGATATATATATATATAACCTTAGAAACTATTGCTACTCATTGTTGTGCGGTCAGCTAGATACCTTTCCGAGCGAACGTGGAGGACGCACGTTGCATACGCTGTTTACACAGTCGCTCACAGACGCATTATGGGTTCGTAATATAGGAGTTTGCTAAGAAGCCCATTACAGGCTCAAAGCTGCTATCCAAACTTGCTGCTGCTTGCAACGGCTAGGAACCCATTTCGCAACCACCGACTACGCTGACACCCAAATGATAATATACATTTAGTGTGAAAAGAAGCTTAAGTCGCGCTATGGCCGCGACTGGGATGACGCCCGTGAGCCCACGCCCATCGAATTGCTTCCATCCATCCACCTCCGGCGCTGCACCTCCAATATCGCCAGTGGCTTCGCCAAACATAATACGACATAAACAATTACATCATCTACTTGGCCCCTCGACCCGGCGCTCCTCACAAGCTTGCTCCGCTTTACCATTTGGCTTCCCTAATTTCGGCCTGCCATCCTTCGGTTTCCTTGCGAAGTTCGACAGCAGCAAAAGCGACCTAGAAAATGGCTCAAACAGCAGCAGCGGCAGCTCTAGGCTTCATACACAAAGCGGCGACGCCGCACCCTGCGACCCCGCACATGCCGATTCCCAGCTGCCATCCTCTCCCCAGTCGGAGCTATCCACCGGGCCGGCAGGGCCGCAGCCGGGGTCTGAGCGGCGCCTCAGCCTGCCGCCGCTGCCGACCCGCCTGCTGCCCGATGGCGCAGCGGCGGGGGCCTGCAGTGCCGCCGTGGAGGAGGCATGGCAGCAGCAGCAGCCGGGCAGTGGGCCCAGGGCGCTGCAGCAACGCCCTGGCGTGGCAGCTCGGGAGGTGGAGGAGGAGGCCGGCTTGGCTGACTCGCCCGGGTCCTACGGCGGGCAGTCGGGCGGGACAGATGCGCCGCTGGGGCTCAGCCAGCTGAGACAGGTGGGGCGGGGCAGATAAGATCATGCAGCCAGAAGTAAAGGCCATCAGGGAATCAAGCTCCTGGTAACCACCTGCAGGACTCCATGCACGCGCCTTCATCCGCTGTCGGGAGCTGTTCTCCTCACAACACCCCTTTCATGCCCCTGTTCCCACCCGTACACCACCCTACCGCATCTAACACCCTGCCGCCCCCCCCCTCTCCAGCTGCTGGCTGACGTGGCGGACCAGCACTGCACCCCAGCTCCCACCAGCTGCGCCGACACCAGCACCAGCACCAGCACCAGCAGTCCCCCCTCCGCCGCCCCTCCGCGCCCCCCGCTGCCGTACCTGCAGTACCAGTCAGCACGGCAGGCGGCCCGGCGCCGCGCGGTGCTGGTGTCCCGGCTGCACAGCGCGCTGGCAGCGGGGGCGCTGCGGCCGCGGGAGGTGCTGCGGCTGCCGGGGCTGGTGGGGGTGCTGGCGGGGGAGATGCGTGCGGAGCTGGGGGAGGCGGAGGCGGAGGGGGAGGGGGTGGCGGAGGTGGCAGGGGAGGCGGAGGCGGCAGCGCACCTCGGGGGCATCAGCAGCCGCACCAGCCTGGCCGTGGAGTGTATGTGCACGTGAGTCGGGGAGGAAGGGGGAGGAAGGGGGAGGGGGAGAGGGAGGGTGAGAGCTAGGGCGCTTGTGGCGGCTAACGGGATGGACGCGCTGTGCGGGCTGAGCTGCATGCACTGTCGTACCCTCCACACTGCGGTGTGATCCCAATGTTACCCCTCCCGACCCTGTTCCTCTGCACCACCCAACCCCACTTCCACCCCTCCCACCCCTCCCAACCCCCCTTTCCCAGGCTGCTCTCCGAGGACCCCGCACCGCCCCACACCCTGCCCCTCCCGCAGCTGCTGCAGCCCGCGGTGGCCGCCGCAGTGGCGGTGCTGCGAGCCGTAAACCTGTCGCCGGCGTACGGCAACAGCAGTAGCAGCAGCACCAGCGATAGTAGCAGCAGCAGCACAAGTAGCAGTAGCCGGCAAGCCAGCCGCGGCGCCCTCTTCCCTGCGTCCTCCCCATCCTCCCCACCGCCTCCACCTCCTGACGCCACCCCCGAGGGCGCCGGCTGGGGCGCCGCCGTCAGCTCCGCCTTCTTTTCTGCCAGCCTGCTGGTGCGGGCGGCGCGGCACCCGACGCTGGCCGCTGCTGCGGTGGAGGGCGGGGCAGTGGAGGCGCTGCTGCGGCTGGCGGGCTGCCTGCCGCCGCTGGTGGCGCAGATGGCGCTGTTCGCCGCCTTCAAGCTGCTCAGGCAGCCGCTGCAGCCCGCCGGCACTACCAGCAGTACTGCAGCGGCAGCAGGGGCGCAGACACAGCAGCATGCAGAGGTGGGGAGCGAGGGACGGCAGCAGCAGCTGGAGCAGCAGGAGCAGGAGGGGGCCTTGCAGGCCCGACGAGAGGCTGCGCTGCTGGCGGCTGCGGAGGCGGGCGGCATGGGGGCGCTGTGCAGCTGTCTGGAGCAGCTGGCAGGGGGAGGAGGGGAAGGAGGGGGCGAAGGAAGAGGGGGCGGGGCGGCGGCGGACATGGCGTGGGGGCTGATGTTGGACATGGCGGCGGTGCGGGGGGCGGGTGCGGCGGTGGCGGAGCGGCAGCACGTGAGGCCGCTGGTGCAGCTACTGGCGGGGGGCGGCGGCGGCGGCAGCAGGGGGGAGGGGCAGCAGCACGGTCCGGGTCAGCAGCAGCAGGGTCAGGGTCGGGGTGGTGTTGGGGGCGAGGTGGCTGTGCGGCGCATGTACGCGCTGCTGGTGCTGGCTCGGCTGGCCAGCCAGTCGCCGGAGTGCCAGATGGACGCAGTGAGGGTGAGGGGGCGGGTGAGGGCGGGGTGAGGGTGAAGGTGAGGGTGAGGTGAGGGCGGCGACGGGGAAAAGGCGGGGCAGGCTGCAAGGGGGAAAGGTTGGGGCACTCTTGCGCAGCGCTGCCTTTTCCTTGCCGACCGGTCGGAAGCAGCCGGGGAGGAAGCGCCGCACTCACTGCCGGCCTGCCCTTCACTCCCCCCCCGCTGTCCCCCCGGGCAGGAGGGCGCCCTGCCCCCGCTGCTGCTGCTGGCGGCCCGCGGCGGCCCCCAGGAGCGCGCGCACAGCTGCCGGCTGCTGGCGCTGCTGGGGCAGGCGGCGCCCACCCACGGCAGGTTCAAGGAGCTAGGGGTGAGGCGAGGGAGGAGGAGGGAGCAGGAGGGGGCGGATGGTTGGCCGGGGGGTTCGGGCCGGAGAGGGACACGGGAGATCAGGAGGTCTGCAGCCTGCTGTGTCTGCTGCCAGGAGTCCCTGCGGATCCACAGGAAGGGGCATGCCTGCACGCTGCCTGCACTGCAGCCCCTTCCTCTCCCAGCGGCCGCCCCTGCTTCTTCTCCCCCGTTTCCTTACCACCCTTCCCAACTGCGCTCACCCGCCCTCCCCTTTCCCCCCTCCCGCGCCCTCCCCCAGGTGGTCGAGGCGGTGCTGCCGCTGCTGCGCTGGCCCCCCGCGGCCCCGCACCCGGCCCACCATGCCCCCGGGGGCGACCCAGGGGTCGGCGAGCACGCCGCCAGTGTGCTCGCCGTACTGGCGCACAACCCTGACATGCACTTCCACATGGTGTCGTGCGGGGTGGTGCCGGCGCTGCTGCCGCTGCTGGCTAACGGTGGGTTGGGTTGCGGGGCTCGTGGGGATAAGGCAGCCGCTGCGTGGGAGGACACCGGCTTGCGCATGCAACCTTTTCCGTCTTCTTTCCTTATCCTGCCCCCGCGCTTCCCTTTGCCCTTATCCTCCAGCTCCCCCATCTCTCCGCCTCAACCCCCCCCCCCCCCCGAACCCCACCCCACCCGCAGGCACCTCCCGCTCCCGCGGCTACGCGCTGGCGTGCCTGCTGCTGCTGTCGGAAGGCGACCAGCGGCACGCGGCGGTGGTGGCGCGGGCGGGGGCGCTGCAGCCGCTGCTGAGGCTGGCGGAGGCGGTAGCGGAGGATGAAGGGGCGGAGGAGGAGGAGGGCGAGCGAGTGAGCCTGCAGGCTGCAGCAGCGGCAGCGGATGGCTCCCCCATCCCGCGTGCCGGCGGCTCCTCGCGCAAGGTTCAGGAGTTCGCTGCAGCGGTGCTGTGCAGCCTCAGCAGGTACCTGGAGCTCAAGGTAAGGAAGAACGGGGGGAGGGGGGCGTCCAGAGCTTATGTGCCCCTGCACTGTGCGTGTCCTGTTGCTGAGCTCCTCCGCTGACTTTCAACATGATACCAAGCACTCGGCAAACCATAGCCCCCAGCAGAGGCACGCCCCTTCCCAAGCAAAACCACCGTACTGCTGTTCCCTGTTCCTCCCCGCACCCAACCGCTTCCCCCTCCCTTATACAGACCGAGTTGGCCCAGTTGGGCGCCCTGCCGCCGCTGCTCAGCTGCCTGTCCGGCGGCTCCCAGTTGGCCGCCACCTACGCGGCGGAGGCGCTGGTGCACCTGGCGGCGGGGGAGGCGGGGGCCAAGCGGCACATCGCGGCACATGCCCCCGCGCGGTCCGCCCTGCAGCGGCTGTTGCGGGCCGGCGGGCCGGGCGGCACCTACTGGGCGCTGCAGCTGCTGCGCACCCTCAGCACGGAGGACAGCGCGCTGCGGCGGGTGGCGGGGCTGGGGCGGGGGCGGAGGGGGACGGAGGAGGGAGACGAGGAGGAAAGGTGTACGGCATCAGACGAGGAGGAGGAGGGGGCGGTAGTGGAGGAGGAGGAGCAGGAGGGGGAGGGGGAAGGGGCAGGCGGCGAGGCGGAGGATTTGGTGGCGGCGCTGGTGCGGTTGCTGAGCTACGGGGAGGAGGGTGGGGGAGCGGGGTGGGAAGCGGGAGGGGGAGGGGCCGGTGAAGGGGAGGTGGGTGCCAGCTGGCAGGAGGGTCGCTGCCGAGTGCTGGCGGGGTGGCTGCTGGCGCGGTTGTGCGGGGAGGGGCAGCTGGCACCGCTGCTGCTGGCGGGCGGGGCGGTGGGGGAGCTGCTGGGGCGGCTGGCGCGGGAGCCGCAGCGCAGGGGGGGAGCGGCGGAGGCGGGGGCGGGGAGAGCTGGGGATGCGGGCAGCAGCGGGGGCGCTGTGGGGTACCCCAGGCGCACTCGCTTTGACAACAATGCGGGAGCTGCGTGCAGTGCTGCGCTGCTGGCGATTGTGCGGTCGGGACCCGCGGGTCGGCGGGCGGTGCTGGGGGGTCTGGTGCTGCGGCAGTGGCTGGGGGCGAGCGTGAGGCTGGAGGGGCTGGAGGATGCGAGCAGGGAGGGTTGAGGTATCTGTTACTGCGTGCGAAGGGTTGATGGAGGCGTGCGCTGCGACTGCGACATGCCTGCGATATGTCTTGCATGGGATGTGTGAGGCGAGCGATATAGAACCATGACCAGGCATGTGCATGAAATCCTGTTGACGGCCGAGTCCCCAGTGTTGCTTTTGAAGATGGTACCGTCGTTGGATATGTGAGGGCCCTCGCGTTGGATGTGGACCCTCTACCCACTCCCCTGCCCTCCGCGGACGTCGCAAAGCACTGCAGTAGTTGTTCTACCGACGTTGCATGCAACGAGGGGCGACGGCGGGTATGTAGCTGACTGGCAACGGGCACGTCCGTGACGCGCTTTTGTTACAGTGCATGTGTACAACATTGCGCCATTGTCATTAATGTTGGGCGTACGACAAGATTCGTGTCTTGACCAAGGTGAAGCAAGAATCCCAACTAGTAAACGCAAAGCCGTGCACTGTCTGTGTAATAACAAAAAGTCGACTGACAAATTCTGCAAAGGAAGAAACATGATGAAACAAAACACACCCTTTCGGCGATCGCCAAAAACAAAAGTCCCACCGCGCCTTGCCGTCATAGACTCATAGTTAGCAGACCTCGCATCCCTTTAGCTTGGTTTCGAATAAAACATCCACGCGCTTTCGAATACACAGCGGTACCGGCGCCTCGCACCAGCGCCCGCAGCTCACAGGCACACCCTCTCTCGGCTCACACTCGCACATCGCTCCAGCAGATAAAGTACACAATCACAGCTCGCGTGGGGGCAAAGCGGCTAATAAGATCACGTGGCCTCAAACCTAATACATAAATACCGCCAACTTGCCATCCCAAACACGCTCCAAGACACCATGCATAAGCTATAAGCAAACACCCTTGCATACTTGTTCACCATGCCTAGGACGCAAGACCCGCCGCATGCAGGGGGCATAGTACAGCGGGACAGCACCCCCGACACCCCAGGCAACTCGCCGAGCACCCGGCAGTGCTAGCGATTTAAGACAGCATACAACCTCGTCCCCCCCTCTTTCCGATTTAACCCAGTTCAAGCCTGATACGCTAACGCCCACCAGCCCAAGATGGTTGGGCAGTATACGGTTGGAGGTCGAATATCAAGCTCCACTCAACAAAACGGCGCCTAGAGGCACCTAACCCTGCAAGACGCTGTCAAAACCAAACCAGCGGCGAATATGAGCGGAGATTTGGAATTAATGCCTAACACCCTGCTGGCTCAATGGTGGAGGTAAGCCCGTTGAGCCGCAAGCCCTCGCAGTACCGCTCGGCGTTCTCCTGCGGACACGCCACCACCAGCGCTACACCCGTCTCGTGCGCCTCCTGCGTAGTTCAGGGGGACAACAAGAAGAGGAGGGGGGGCAGCGTCACGGCAGCGTCGTTGGTTAGCAGTGACAGACAGCAGGACACGGCAACGGGTAGGTAGCCGGTATCCTCGCCGTTTACGGCGGCTATCCCTCAAAACGAGCGACGCATGAACCCTTTCCCTTGAGACACGCAACCCACCTCCATGACGGTGACCGCGTCGTCCACTGATATTTGCTCAACTACTTTTAGAAGCACCTTGACGACGTACCTGCGCAAGAAACAAGTTACCATGAGAAGAACGTTGGCACTTGCGTCGCCAAACAAACACTGCTTACTCGCGCTTGTTGTAGTTGTCGTTATGCAGGAAGACTTTGTAGATGGGCGGTCGCTTGTAAGAGCTCTCCGTGCTGCGAGCACACGAGAAAACAGGTAAAACGCTACCGCTGAGAAAGGCCCGAACCTTGTGACGGAAAAGTGGAAACAAGCAAAACGCAAACCCCGCAATTGACATGCAAGCAAAGTCGTTACAATGCATTCTATACAGCCGCACGCTACAAAGAATCTATGGAACCTTAGTAGGTGAACAATTCTATGCATTTTCAACACAAGCAGGGCTTACCCTTGCTCAGGCAGGGACGTCGTTGTTGGCGAGTCCAGCAGTCCTGGGCCTGCAGCTTGCAGTTTAACGCAGTTCCTCGAAGCCTTGATTCTTGTATGGCCTACATTTTTGAGTAAGGGCCGCGTTTAGAGGAGGTGGATGCTTAACAGCATGGTGAGCTGTGAAAACCTACACCCCCAAAATATACTTCGTTTTACAGGGTTCAACCTACCGTGGCGGCACCCCTGCCATCGTGAGGAAGACGGCCTAGCAAAATCAGCCTGTGTCGTGGAGGGATAGTCAGCGTGTAAGCCGTGTGCTTTCCTTTCATCCTTGTCCTTTAGTCCTCTTAATAAAACTGCATAAAATGCGAAGGCAGTAGGCAAAATGCTCACTATGGACGTCCTCGTGGATTGGCCCAGAGCTCCACAGCGATGGAAAACGAAGGCAGCCATCGGCGTTAGGACACTCCCAGGCTCTGACTACCAGCCGTGGAAAGAGAATACCCTATCGGCCAAATCAATCTTTTGCAAGGGAAGAAACCTTCGGTTGGGGCCTTCGATGCCTTATTTGCGCCATGCATGGACATCAAGGGTACGAACACCGTACCCTTTTCAACACAGGCCGATTAACCAGTTACCTGCCGACCCACTTCGCCAATCCATTCCTGTCGCTAGGCGAAGCTTACAAGATGGATGACATATTGCTCAGCGCACGCGCTGCGCTGCAGCCGCTGTTGAGCGTTGAGAGCTTGACTGACTTGTATGCCGTTTACAAATCAGTACCTTTCAATTATGCCCTCGCGGGCCACTGCTTGTTCGTGGCGGCCCTGGCACCCGACTTCCGGCGGAATTTCTTGATGCACTTCTGGGTACGTTCAGTCGTGCGTGCAAAGTGAGGAGGGTCGCATCTGGCTATCACGATCATCAACATACAGACCGTGATTGAGCTTCACAGATGCTACTTGTTTGCCGCTGCACACGATCGGGCGCGACGCTGATGAACCCATCCAACAGGTTACCTTCCTCGCTGGCTTTGGTGGGGGCATCGTGTCTTCGTTGCTCATGATGGTAAGATCATTTATTTCCGGCATCGCCTCTTGTCGTGCGCCTTGCGGCTCCTCTGACTATCCTTGCATGCATGCGTCCCTGCTTGCCTCCCATCAGGACCCTGCAAGGGCGCCAGTCAACATCCTTGCTAACAATACCGTTGGGTTGACTTGGGTGGCATGCTGGTAAGTTTGGACTTGCCGGGAGGTGTTCGGCGGTCAAGGGAAGGTCCTGTGCGGAACTGCCTGACTGCATCCTCCTGCACACCATGCAGGTGGCTGATGGCATATTCGCCGTTCGACATTGTCAACCGCGTCCACTCCTTCCTGCCGTTCCGGGTGAGGTGCAGAGGGGTTCGGGTCAACCGGGATACGACTGCCCCGCCTTGTCCATTGTACGGCTTGACGCAGGGATGTTGCTGGCAATCCTGGTGCAATGCACACCCGCCCGTCGGAAGCCTTGAACAGTCCTCCTTCCAACACCTCACCCGCCCAGCTCTGGATGCATGTCCACGCCATATCACTGCCCCCACGACACGATTTCCTCTGCATTTCCTAACTGCCATTACGTCGTTTCACCTTCGTTGTCCGCTGCCACTCCTCATCATGCACCTCCGCCCGCCCCCCGCCCCTCACAGATGGTGACCAAGGCGTGCGTCGCCTTCATGCGCGCGCAGCTCATCATGAACCGGGTGAGCCGGGCAGCGGGGCGGGGCGGGGGCGGGGCAGGCCGGCAGCGGGCTGGGGGTGGGCAGACATGGGCACATGCGGGCGTACGTGAGTCCAGTTACCGGGTTCCGCTGCCCTGCTGCGTCGTGCGCCGTGCACCCACCCCAACCCACCCCCCATCCTCTCCTTCCTTCTCGCCTCCCCATCAGGTGGACCTTGCCGTCTCCCTCTACCCCGGCGTGCTGCTGGCCCCCCTCATCCTGGGCTCGATAGCGGGCAGCGGCGGCAAGCTCATCACGGACGCCGTGCGCGCCTGCTGGGGCCGGCTGCCGGGGGCTCCCGAGGCGGCGGTTCCCTCCTTCGTGTGGCGCAGCGCCTTCCTGGCCTCCGCCGCCTACTACGGCAGCTGCAAGGCAAGCAGCCTGCTCAGCAGCCAGGAGGCGGCGGCGCTCATCATCACGGTCATGGTAGGACGGGGGGTGGGGGGAGAATACCACGTTGTTCACGGTAGGAGGGTGAGGGGAGGGGAGTTGGTGTGGAAGGTGGGCGGGAAGGGTTGGGAGGCGTCGGCTCCCATTGCGACCTCCTACACAATGCGCGGCGGTGCTTGACGCAGCAGTGTACCTAAGCTCCATGCCGCCGTAGCCCACATGTGCCTCACCAGTTGCCGCATCTCCCCTCCGCCACTCCTACGTCCCGCGCCTTACACCACCCCGCCCCCCTCACCCAGCTTGTCCACAGCGTGCTGAGCGACCTGCTGGGGGCGGCCCGCACCGACTTCACCTACCCGCTGGCCTGGCTGCTGCACAAGATCAGGTGCGGCGGCTGGGGGCGGGGGCGGGAAAGGGGGTTAAGGAAGGTGATACCAAAGTGGGAAGGGGGCCGGGAAGGGGGCAGGATGCGGAAGCACCTTAGCCGTTGCATGCTGTGCGGGTGGTGAGGTGCCCAGCGGGGGGTTGCGTGCGGGCTCTATCCGCGTGACTTGGCTTGGCGGGACCTCAGTTCCGCTGTCGTACCATCTGTCAGCCCGTACCCCTGGCTCCAACACCTCCTCCTGCCCCCTCCCCTCGGATTCTGTTTCCAAATGAACCCCCTCCCCTCGCTGTCCCTTGCCCCCTCCTGCGCCCATCCCCTCGCTGTCCCTTGCTCCCTCCTGCAGCCTGATCCCCATGCCCTCGGACAGCCCCGCCCCCGCCGTTGCTGCCGCCAAGCCGGCCAAGCAGCCCAGCCAGGCGCCCAAGCAGCAGCAGCCGCAGCAGCAGCCGCAGCAGCAGGCGGCCAAGCAGGGTGCGGCCAGCCAGGCAGCCCCCGCCGCCACCTCCAAGCAGCAGCAGCAGGCAGGCAGCGGCACGACCGCTCCGGGCAGCAAGTCCGCGGCTCAGGAGCCCGGGAAGAACGGAAAGGTGAGAGCGGCTGCCCGCGCGTCTGGGTTGCGAGCATGGAGAGAACCACCGCCGGCTGCATCTGCGGGATGGCTTGTCATGGGGGTGGTGGCAGCTAGGGGCCGCGGTGTGCTGCATACCGTTGCCTGACAGCGCTGTGCTTATCTTAGCCATTCGGCCTTGTCACAACCTACCTACCTGGTCTCCCGCCCCCTCCCGCAGGCCGCCGCAGCGGCTGTCAAGGCGGACAGCAGCAGCGCCGCCTCGCATTCGGGCAACAAAAAGGGGGAGAGCAAGAAGAAGCGGTGATGGGGGGGGAATGCAGAGGGCGTTCGAGAAGGAGGGCGTTGGATGCGGTGATCGGATGCAAACGGACCGTACGGATCGGACCTGGTGACGCCGCCTGCGTTGCCTATCTTCAGACTGCGATGTGATGTGATTGCATGGACTAGGTGCTGCTTGACGTTGCCGGTTAACGCTGTGTGTATGGCATGTGGTCTTCAACATCGAAATATCAGTGGTTGCGGAAAAGGTTTATAAATCGTGCAGGGGTTCAAGTGGGGTTATGTGGACTCCGTCCGAGGAGGGTGCGCCGCTAAGCTAAGGGTGTGTCCGGTGGCGATGGGCGGCGTATTGATGGAGACAAACCTGGGTTCCTTGCGAGCCGGTGATCAGGCCTGTTATTGTTAGCTCTCCAACGCTTCGCCTCACATGAAGGGCCTCAGGCTGCCTCATGCTACCGGAATAGGTGGTAAAGTAATCACAATACTGGGAGGCGATAGCGTCATAGCAGTACTGCCACAGGCCCTCCGTGCTAAAACATCGTCTGCGGTTCGCAACGGGCTGTGCATAATGTACGGCCTCCAAAAGTATTTCCCCAACGCATCAAAGAGATGGGCTGGTGGTAGCTCATGCTTGGTTAGATTTGGAGACGTCTAAATACCGGAAAGCTGTGTGTGTCCTGCTTGGCAAGGGCGTCTGCCCGTTAGGGAGCGCATCGCGTTGGCGCGCCGTAGATGGATAGCGCAAGCATAATAGCAACTCCAGTATAACAGACATACATACGTTCACAGCTTTGCTGAGGCCAACGTTGCAAGTACCAACCAATTTCCTCGTGGCCAACCACGATAGTTGCGATCTCTGCATACTCCCCCGCTGCCACATCGTTGCAAGAGACGAATAGAACACTTTATACAAGCAAGTGCGTCAGATCATAGGCAAGCACATAAGCAGGGACGCAAGCAGATCAGCTCATCGCCATCTTTAGGGGCTCAAGTTAAGTTATGGAGTCTACACAGCTGTCAGCATCAGCTCCTATTTTTGTTCCTGGACCACTAGGACCTGATATCACCGGCCGCAGAGGTCGGCATCACAACAATTTTGGCACGGGACGCCAGGGACAACGTTTAGAGGGCGATGATGGCAACTCGTCAGTTCCCAACACAGAACCTCCCTCTGGCACCGGAAGACCAGCGCATTACGGCCGGCGCCAGCGACGCACGGATGACGCTTCTGCCTCCACATTGCCAATGCGAGAGGGCGACGAGGTAGCGTTTCGAGATGACTCGAATACAGTATCCCATTCCTATTCACGCCCTCAGTCAGGGCCAGGGCGTGGCGGTGGAGGTCGCCGTGGCGGCAGGGGCCCGCCATCCTCCCAGCGCCGGCCCCGCGGCGAGCAGTTTCACGCGGCTGATGGGGCAGCCGGAGCCGGGGATGGTCCAAGAGGGCCACAGGACGGGGAGCTGATCTCTGCGCCCCACCCTGACGGCCCTCCTGGCCCTCCAGGAGCACCCGATGGAAGCCGGCGGCAGCAGCAGCCACGGCGGCGACAGCGGCACGCAGCTCAGGGGCAGGAAGCGGCTGCAGCTGCCGCAGAGGGCGATCAGGGTGATGGTCCAGCCGCACAGGCGCACCCGGAGCCCCGCGGCGACCAGCAGGCAGCTGCGGACGGCAGCGGGGCCGCTGCGGACGGTGGGCAGCCCGGTGCAGTGCCGGTCGCAAGGGGCGACAGGGGGCGGCGGGGCGGCCGGGGAGACGGAGGCCGGGGCCGGGGAGGTCGGTGGCGGCTTGAGGTCCCTGGCGGCGAGGAGGCTGGGTACGGCGGCAGCGCTGGTGGGAGGGGCGAGGAGGGCCGCAGAGGGAGGGGCCGGCAGGGGGGACGCGGCGGAGGCAGGCGCGGTGGCGGCCGACACGGCGGCGGCGGCGACCCCCGTGTGGGCGCCGCTGACGCCGCCGCCCCCGCCGACCTGCCGTACGACAGCGCTCCGCCCGCCGGCGAGGTGGGCGGCAGCGGCAGCGACAGCGAGGGTGAGACGCTGACGTGCGTCATCTGCTGCGAGGAGGTGACGGCGGTGGCGCTGGGCGCGTGCGGGCACAGCCACACCTGCGCGCGCTGCTGCCTGCGGCTGCGGCTGTGCTACCGCGACCTGCGCTGCCCGCTGTGCAAGGCGGAGAACGCGGAGGTGGTGGTGGCGCGGCCGCCGCTGCCGCCCGGCGCCTCCTTCCACTCGCTGGCGGGGCAGCGGGGGGCGCTGTGGCAGCAGCCGCGGTGGGCGCGGGGCGTGCTGGTGTTCGAGCCCAGGGAGCAGCAGCAGCCGGAGGGGTCGGAGGGGGCGGGCGGGCGGGTGCGGCGGGGCCGGCCGCTGCACGTGTCGCTGCAGGCGCTGACCTCGCGCAGCTGCTGCGTGTGCGACCGGGGGGGCAGGCGGCCCTTCGCCAGCATGAAGCTGCTGGGGGAGCATCTCAGGTGGGGGGAGGGGAGGGGAGGGAGGGTTGTAAGGGGGGAGGGGGAGGCAGGGGCGGTCACCGGAGGGGCTGGAGGAGGGCTGAGCAGGGTAGAGATGTGTTAGGCCGGTTAGCCCTATCGTTGCGGTGGAACTGGCCTCTCCTTCATCCCTTGCACCTCCCTGCAATCTGCCCTACGCGCCTCCTCCTCCTCCTCCTCAGGTCGGCCCACGACCGGCAGCTGTGCGAGGTGTGTGTGGGCGCGGGCCTGCGCTTCCCCACCGAGTACCCCGCGCTGGACCCGGCGGGGCTGGCCGCGCACCAGGCCTCCGAGCACCCGGTGTGCGAGTACTGCGAGCTGCCCTTCTACGGGCGCGACGAGCTGTACGCGCACATGACGCAGCGGCACTTCACCTGCCACGTGTGCTCGCGGCTGGGGCGGCACCACCTGTACTTCCCGCATGCGCGCGCGCTGCAGGTGGGGCCGGGGCTGGGGCAGGGGTGGGGATATGGGGATGGGGAGGGAGGGGGGGGGGCGGGACGAAACAGGAAGAGGTTGGAGTCGAGTAGGTTGCCCGTTGGGGGAGACGAATGACACGTTCCAAGGTTACACTATTCCCTTTGTACCCCCTGCCCTTGCTGCTACCACCCGCACCAACCCCCTCCTCCCCCTCCCCCCACTTCCCCTCCTTGCACCCTCCCCTCCTCCCCCCCCCCAGGCCCACCTGTGTGACTCCCACCACGCCTGCGAGCACCCCGACTGCGCGGACTGCATGATCGCCTTCGCCACCCGCGAGGAGCTCAACAGCCACATCCGGGACAGGCACTCGGCGTACATGCCGCGCTGGGACCAGTCCAGGTGAGGGAGGGAGGGGGGAAAGGAGGGGGGGAGGCGCAGGAGGAAGAGGGAGAGAGCGCGGCAAGGGCGGGCTCAGGGTGCTCGTCAAGAAGGTGCGGGATCGCAGCAGCACTCGCGCCAGGGCGTCAGAAGCGCACCTGGAGGTGGGGGGTCATCGCGCCCGTCGCCACCCTGCTCCCCCTTGTTGCCACCTCCTCCACCCCCCACCCCACCCCCCTCATGCAGGGCCCGGCCGCTACTACTGGACTTCATCGCCCCGCGGGGCCCCGCAGCCGCAGCCGCACTGGCAGCCGGGCCGGGCAGTGGCGGTGAGGGGCGCAGCGGCTCGGGAGACCGCCAGCAGCAGCAGCGGGGAGGTGCAGGCGGAGGCGGGCGCAGGGGGCGCGGGGAGCCGGGGGGTCCCTCCGCCCCCTCCGCTGCGGCGGGCGGGGCGGGGCTGGGGGACACCGAGGCCTTCCCCTCGCTGCCCCCCACACAGCAGCCGCAGCAGCCCCCGCCTGCCGGGCTGGGTGACGTGTACGACACGGAGGGGGGGCTGGCGGTGATTGATGACGACTTGGGGCTGGGTGCGGCGGCAGCGGGGCAGGGGAGGGGTGCGGCAGGGGGGGCCGCTGCAGGGGGGAGGGAGGCGGCGGCAGGCGGCGGTGCGCCCAGTCCTGGTCCCGGCGCGGGTCTGAGGCTGGCCGGGGTGTGGGCGGGGCGGCAGCCGGGCAGCCAGGCGTTCGGGTGGGTGCGCGGGGGGGGGGGGGGGCAGGGGGGGAGGGAGGGGGGAGGAAGGGAGGGGGTGCCGCAGGTGTGTTGGACAGGGGCGCCGCAAGCCGCTGATGTGATGTGGGGGCCTTGCCGCAGGGTCGGAGCCGCCAAGCGGCAGTCCGCCACTGGCAGCGGGCACTGTACAGCCGGTTATTCTTCCTGATCTTTCCTCCGTTGCTGCACTTATCTTTTTCCCCACCCACCCACCCACCCACCCACCCACCCCCCTCACCGTGCAGGGAGGACTTCCCGGAGCTCTCCACCGCTCCTGGGGCGGCGGGAGGAGGCGGAGGAGGCGGGGCGCCCCGCAGCGCCTGGGGGGCAGGGGGCGGGCAGTACCAGCCCCAGTCCTCCCTCTCCCTCTCCCAGCCCTCCCAGTCTCAGGCGCTGCGCAAGGCAACGGTGCGCTGCCCGTGCGGCCGCAGGGTGGAGCACCTGGCGCTGCGGGGGGAGGAGCAGGTGGGGGGGAGGGGGAGGAAGGGAGAGGAGGAGATGAAGTTCTCAACGATTGGGGAGACAGGGAGGGTGTGGCTAGTGGGAGTGCGGCTTCCGCAGTGTCTGAAGCGACCAAGGGGGCGTCCACGGTCTGCGGGGGTGAAGGGTGACGTGCAGGCCGCTGGTTGCGCTGCTGGTCTTGGTCCGTGTCGCCGCCCTCACCCCGTTGCTCACTTACCATATATGTTCCCCCCTGCCCTCACCCCCTGCCTCCCCCCCCCCTCCAGGCGCCCTCCCTGTCGTGCGACCGGCACTGCCAGGCCGCACAGCGCCGCGGGCAGCTGGCGGACGCATTCGGAGTGGCGGCCCCGGAGGCGCACGTGCCGTACTGGGACCGCCACCGCACACCTGCATACCCGCCGGAGCTCATACTGGTGGGGAGGAGGGGGGCAGGGGGTCGTGCGATGCGCTCCTGCCCCACCATGTCTCCAACCATGTCTCCCTGACCCGAGGTCCTGCGAAGCGCCTGCATGCCCCCCACTGAGGACCTTCCATGCCCCCCCCCTCCTCGTTGTTTCACATATTTAATTTTTTCCCCCCTCCCCTCAGGCCGCCCACTCTGCGGGTGTGGAGTGGGTGGCCGCCCTGGAGTCCTCCCTCGCGCGCTTCCTGGCCGACCCCGCCGCGCGCCGCACCTGCCTGCCCCCCGGCATGAGCCCCCCGCAGCGGCGCCTGGTGCACGAGCTGGCGGGGCACTACGGCCTGGCGTCGCACTCGGCAGGGTAGGGGGGGGAGGGGGGCGGGGAGTTGGGACCCGCGGGTCGCTGCGGTGGGTGGGTCAGCTCCCCACTCCCTGCGCATGCATGCTTGTATACACTTACTAGCGTGGTGCGAGTTATGCTCCCGCCATGCTTGATAGCTGGCCACCCGCAGCCATACTGATCCTGCGCTTGCAACCCCCACATACCCCTGTCGCTTCCCCCGCGTTTCCCCCCTCACGTCCCCTCACCGCTCGCCCCCCTCTCCCACCCCCACCCCCCTCCCCTCGCAGTCACGGCTCCGCCCGCGCCGTGCAGCTGCTGCGGGGGGCCGCCAGCGGGGTGCCCACGCGGCTGCTGAGCGCGGTGGCGGCGGCGGTGGGGCCGGAGGAGCTGGCGCGGCTGGCTGCTGCCGCTGCGGGGGGTGCGGGTGGCGGGTGGGTGTTGCGGCTGGTGGACGTGGCGCCCGGGGCCAACGTGCACCACTACCTGAGGCCATGGGAGGGTGAGTGGGGCGGGGCGGGGATGGGTGGGGGGTGTGCGGGTGTGGAAGGGGGGTGGGGGACGGGATGAGGACAGGCTTGCATCCCCACGTCGGCGCATTCCTCTCCTTCCTTGCTCTCAAGCCCCTCCTCACCTCCTAACCTCGACCCTCCCGCGCTGCCGCCCGGACACCCCCCCCTCCGTGCAGGCGAGTACACCCTGACCCCCGCGCAGCCCTCCTCCTCCTCCTCCCCCTCCTCGCTGCTGCTCACCTTCACCCGCGAGGCGGCCTTCAAGGACTGCTGCGCCACACTGGGGGGCGGCGTGCGGGGAGTATTCAGAACCGCAGTGGAGAAGCGCGCGCCGGCGCCGGCAGCGGCAGCGGGCTCCGGAGCCGCCCCCCCGCCCCCCGCCCCCCCGCCGCCCGGCTGGCAGGTGCTGCGGAGCAACAAGGCGGCAAGTGCGGCCCCGGGGGCTCGCAAGCCGGTGGGGGCTGGTGGGGGTGGAGGTGACACGGCTGCTGCGGTGCGCTCGGCCCTAGCAGCGGATGCATGGGACTCGGGGGACGAGCGGCAGCCGGGGCGCAGCAGCCTGCAGCAGCAGGTGGTGGGGCCAGCCGGACGCAGCTCGGTAGGGGTGGCAGCAGGCGGCGGGGGTGGGGCGGGGGTGGGTGGCGGGCCGGAGGTGCGGGTGCCGGGTCGGGGTCCTCCGCTGGATCTGGGGGGCAGCACGCTGTGGTCGGCACTGAGCAGCGAGGAAGGGGAGGAGGGGGCGGATGGGGCGGGAGTGGGGGAGGAAGGGGCGGGCAGCGCTGGGGTTGAGGGCGGGGCGGATGGGGGTCGCAGGGCTGCAGAGGCGCGCGAGAGTGCTGGGTGGGAGGAGGAGGGCGAGGCGGAGTGGTAGCTGTGCGGGAAAGCATCAGGCGGCGGGGGGCTAGGCAGGGATTGGCGCAGGCTGGGTCGACCATGCCGCTGGGGGTTGCGGTGGAGGAGTGGGAGGGACGTGTGGGCGGTGTGGTTCTGCATGTCCCAGGGAGGTGGACGGGTGTTAGCTCACATGGTTGGGGAGGGGGAGGGAGGGGCAGCAGTCGTCCGCGGCCGCACCTGGGGCTGCATTGTAGTGCAAGGATCATGGCACGTGCCGTTGTACGGGTGGTGGCCGTTTGTGGGGTGTGTGACCCTGCGGTGGTTGCCCACGCGCCTTCGATAGGGGGTGTCAGCTCAGCTGGTGTCATGGTTTAAACCAGGTATCGTCTTGCCGGTTGTCAACATACGCTCCGTCCTTTCCCAGCTTTGAGGAAGCTGACACCCCCTGTCCTGGTACGAGGGCATGAACAATCCGAGTGGGAGGCTTGTTTGAAACCCTAATGCAGGGGTGGTCTTCCGTCGGGGAACCTTCCCCGGCATGGACCTTGTGTGGATGTGTGAAGGTATTCACTAGGGCTCTGGGGTGTCGGGCCTTGGGCGGGGAACGTGCGCGTCAAGTATGAGGCAGGAGGGGACACGTCCTAGAGCAGGATTGTACCTGAGAAACGGCTACGGAGCAGCGTCAAGTGACGCTACCCGTTGTCTGGCTTGTTCCGGCTGTTACAGGGTGGGGCGACAGGCTGAATTAGAGCTCCTAGACTGATCCCGGCTGTGGGCCTGTCTAGGCGTCCTATGTGCCCATGTGCTCGTGTAAACCTATGCATGGGTTTCCTTGTCACCGGGTTTGCTCCCATGGTGCTGTAACATTGCTGTTCAAGGACTTGGCAGCAAGGCATGTTTCGGTGACGTTGCCAACAAATCTCATGCCAGAAACGCTTTTCCCACGCAGCGGAAGCATCCTGACCAGCAGTAGTTGGTCCGCCCTAGCTAGTCAGCTTGTACCTGGCTTTCCTTTGATCCCCCAAGCTCCCTGATCTGCCACATCTCCGCAGCGAAACTGTCTGCCTCAGGCACAAAGCAGGCGGATGAAATTTAACGACTACGCCCTTTCTTTGGTTCTCGTTCGGCCAGCAAGGCAAAAGGTAAACCGTAGTGTTTACCAACTGTATTCTAGTATGAGTCCTGCTCTTAGGATATGCATCTTACTGCTGCCTCGTTCCCGGATGGTTGTCACTGTTTAGAGTGCTTTGTGTAAAGGCGCAATACATGTGCAATGTATAATATGCAATTGAGGACCGAAAAGCTTCCTGCGTTTTTGGATGATGGGGAAGGAGAACAAAAGGCCCACAAACCCATGCCTTCTATGCCGTCTCTTGGCAGGAGTTGTTTCTAAAACTTCCAAGAACCCTACCAATCTAAACGCTCTGCGCATTGTTTACAACGCTTGACAAGCCTGTAGTTCGCCGCGCTTCGGGGCGCGCATGGCCCCGAGTCGAGAGCGGGGCGGAGGGCCGGCTCCCGGCCAGCAGCGGCCGCAGGGCCAGGCTGCAGGTGGTCGGGGTGGCGGCCGGGGTCCACACGGTGGTGGCCGCGGCGCAAACCCAAATGCTTCGGTAGCCAAAAAGTAGGTGTGGCGCCTCCTGCTTTAGTATATCGCAGCTCTCCCTGAGACTCTCTCTGATCTTTTGCAGGTCTCATGATAATGGAAATGCCCCTCAACAACAAACACAGCAAAGTCAGGGCGGAGCAGCTCCAGCGGCGGAACCTGCCAAGCAAGGTGCGGCCGCCTCGTTCGCGAACATGGCCAATGCCGCGGTCAATAGTCATGAGCTGCGCCCCTCTTCCACAGGCGGCTGGGGTTCCGGCACATCATTTAAGGACAAGCTGATGGCTCCCAAGCAGGAGCCTGTGCCTGCTCCTGCGCCTGTTGCTCCTCCAGTTGCAAAGGATTCCGCCGCCAAGCCAGCGGCAAGTGGTCCCGATGCTACAAAGCCGGCTGCTGCAGGTGTGATCTTGTCTTTACAATTGGATATCTATTAGATAGAGGATTTACGGGGCTTTTTTTTGCGGATATGGCGGCGCAGATCCATTTCGCTTTACCTCTTTCCTCTTTGTTCCACGCCTTCCTTGAGCAGGTGCAGCCGCACCCGCACCTGCCACTGGGCCACGCCCATGCGCAACTGCGGTAACTACGGCGGTTGCGGCTCCAGGTCCCGATGCCAGCGACATTCAGTTTGGCAGCTTTATGGATGGCGAGGTTGCGCAGGGCAAAGAGGTACGCGCTTCCCACGGGGTTCGACCTCCTGGTGATGAGGATATCCTCTTTTGCGTCGCCATAGACGCTGGGTTGGGCTGGGGTTATGGTGCTGGGTGGGCAACACGCCAGGTATATACGGATGCGGGCTTGGTGGGAGAGGGTTTTCTATTGGGATGGGATTTGACAGCAGCCGCCTCCCTTCTTCAACCTGTGACGCGCAGCAGCCGGCGGTGCCACAGGGTCCGCTGCCGACCGCTGTGCCCACGGCCGTTGAGGCAGTCCGCCACCAATCGCGTCAGGTTATTCGAACCAATAGTGCGCCTGCTTCGGCGAACCCGGCACAGGAGGGTGCGCGTGACGGGCCCATCTTTGTGCCCCATAAGATGGAGCGCAGCAACCAGCAGCCCAGCAGGATGGCAGCAGCAGCAGCGGCTCCGGTTGATGTGCCCCAGCCTAGCGCAGTGCAGGAGGTTGCAGTGCCCGTGATCGTGCCCGCAGCAGCTCCCCCAGTCGTGATCGCACCCGCCCCCATTCCGGTAGCAGTTCCAGTTCCCGCACCGCGTGAAGCTCCTCCTCCGCAGCGGCAGCAGCAGCAGCAGGGCCCCCACGCTGAGCGGCCGCACGGGCGCCACGACCGGCAGAGCCACGGTACCGGTCCCCTGCCGTACGCGCACGTCGGCGGCGGCCCCATGCCCCAGGCGCAGTCCGGCGGCCCTGTTGGCCCTCACCACGGCCAGCAGCGGCACCAGCACCAGCACCACCCCCCGCCACCGCCGCCGCAGCAGCAACCCGGCTACGGTCCCGGGCCGGCTGGCCAGCCGCCGCAGCCGCCGCACCACCACATGCAGCAGCCTGGGGGGCCGCGCGGCGGCGGCCGGGGCGGTCCTGCCCCGCAGCAGGTGCCCATGCAGGTCGCTGTGCCCGTGCAGGGCGGCTACCCGCAGCCCGCGTACGGCATGCCGCCGTACGGCCACCAGGCGACTGCGCCCATCAACATGGCTCAGCAGCAGCACGGCTACGCCGCAGTGGCCGGGCAGCACAGCCACGGGCACGTCGCGGGCGCCTCCCCCGGTCAGCACATCCCAGCGCCGCCTCCTCCGCAGTACGTGGTGGGCAGCCCCAGCCAGTACCAGCACCCGTACATGCAGGCGGCGCCAGCCTTCTTCCCACCGGGCACTGTGATGGGCCCCGCGCCGGTGGCCGTGCCGCTGATGGTGCCCATGCAGCCGCACCCGCACCCGCACCACCACGCGCCCGGGGCCCCGCATGGCGCCCCCACGCACCTAATGGCCACCTCACCCCCCATGTCAGTTGGATTCCACGTCCAGCCGCCGCAGCAGCACGCGCCACCGCCTCCCGCGTACGGCCCCGGGCCCTCCGGTCCGCAGCCCACCCCCATGGCTATCCCCATCCCACCCCCCAGCGCTAGCGCCGGCAGCGGTGCCCCCAATGCGCCGGTTGCCGCCGCCGCGCAGGCAGCCATTAACGCAACCAATGCAGCTGCTCCTGTGTCCGCGGTGCCCGCCGTGGTGCAGCCCCCCCAGCCGCCACCCCCGCATGTGCCCACCGCTAGCCCTGCGCCCGTGCAGGCGCCTCCGACCATGCCACCCGCGGCTGCGGCGACCGGCGGCGCCCCGGCTCAGCCCCCGGCTCCTGCGCCTGCTCCGCCTCCTGCGGCCGCCAGCGTGACGCCGAGCAAGCCGGTGTCCACCACGCCAGGGCCGCCCAAGCGGGTTCTGAAGATCATGGACCCCTCGTCGCACAAGGAGGTCAACCTCGCCACGCCGCCGCCCGCGGCTGCTGCTGGGGACGCCAAGGCCGCTGAGGGCGCCGGTGCCGCCACGTCTGCGGCTAAGCCGGTTGTGGCTCCAACTGTCCAGCCGCCCACGCCGCCTCCCAAGAAGAAGGTGCTGGAGATTAAGGACCCCAAGGTGAGTGCTTGCAAGGGCGCTTTACTAGCTTTAACAGAAGGATTAGGTGATGTTTTATGTTCATTCCTCTTCGGAACTGTCATCACCCTGTCGCGTTCTTTGCTGTCATGTTCATGGGCTAGGCTGGCTCAACTGTCGCTGCGAAAACCCAACGCTCGCGTCTCCGCCGTGTCCCTTGTGCCTCCGCAGCCGAAGCCGGCTCCGGAGCCCAAGCCGGCTGAGGTCAAGCCAGCTGAGCCCGCGAAGGCGCCCGAGCCCACCGCCGCACCTGCAGCCAGCGAGGCGGTGCAGCCGGCGAAGCCAGCCGAGGCGGCCGCCGCCCCGCCGGCGGAGGCTGCGGCTCCCGCTGCGGAGGCTGCCAAGGCCGAGCCCGCTGCCGCTGCTTCGGAGGCTCCTGCTAGCGCCCCAGAGGCTGCCCCCGCTGCGGCCACCCCGCCCAAGGAGCCGGCGTCCTTCCAGATCGATGTAGCCGACGAGGAGGAGGCTGAGGAGGCCAAGGTAGGCAAAATAGGGCAGCCGCTTTGCAGGGCGTTAGCGTTCAACCAAACTGTGCTTTTGGGCTCTGGTGAACCGCCATGGGGCATCGTTGCTGATAGGGTTACTCCTGTGCCGCAAATTCCTGAATGTGGCTCCGGTTCCCCCCTTTCCCCCAATGCAGGCCCCCGCGGCTCCGGCGGCGGCTCCTGAGGCCGCGGCCCCCGCTGCTGCACCGGCCGCTGCTCCCGAGGAGGCCCCCGCTGCTCCCGCGCCCGGCACCGCGTCCGGCTCGGGCTCCGGCGACGACAGCTCCGCCCCCGGTGCCGGCGGCGCGGGTGCGGGCAGCCGCAAGAAGAACCTGAAGCAGGCCATCCGCGACGCCGAGGCCAAGGGCGCCAACAACGACCTGCTGTCCGCCTTCCGCGAGCCGCCGCCGCCGCCCAAGCCGGAGGCCGCGGAGGCAGCCAAGACAAAGGAGGTGAGGCGGTGTGAGACTGGTGTCGGGGGGCTGAGGGGAACATGGCTGTGAAGCAGGTGTCTTGGAAGGTGTTGGATCCATGCCTTGTTGTTAAGTTGCAAAGTTAGTTGAGTGACCTAAACTGCTGGGTAGTGACGTTGTTATCGCCCGCCGCCCCTGCAGGCGGCCCCCGAGGAGCCCAAGGCCGCCCCCGCCGCCCCCGTTGAGGAGGTGACGGAGCACTGGGAGGAGCGCGCCGACGAGGAGCCTGTGGCGGCTGCCGCTGCTGGCGACGGCGACAAGCGGCTGCGCTACTCGCGCGACTACCTGCTGTCCATCGGCACGCGCGTGCTGGTGCCGCTGCCGCGCCCGCTGGACCCCTACCACCACCAGATGCTGGTGCTAGACAAGCCGCAGGACAACACGCGCATCGGGGCGGGCCTGGCGCTGGGCCGCGCGGGCAGCCGCGAGATGGAGTGGGGCCGCGGGCGCGACGACCGGGGGCGCGGCGGCGACTTCCGGGGTGGAGACATGCGCGGGGATCGGGGTGGCGGCATGGGCGGGGACCGTCGGGATCGTGACGGCATGCGGGGCGGCGGACAGGGCCGCGGGGGACCCGGCGGCATGGACCGCAGGGGCTCAGGTGCGGGGGGAGGGCGGTGCTAGGGGGTAGGTTGCCGTGATTGTACCCGGGCGCAGGTTGTGGGGATAGGGTAGCAGGCTGTCCTGGCACTGTGGTCCTGCAAAGTGATTCAACGCTGGTTTCGCCGCTTCGCGCTTTGTGCTTAGCATCCCCAGCCCGTTCGTCCAACCCTTCCCTTCCTCTCGCCTGCCTGTCCCGCCCCCCAGCGAGCATGGAGGATGCCTGGCAGCGCCGCGGCCCTCCCCCGCCGCCCTCGCCCGGCGGCGACATGCGCGGCGGCAGTCGGGGCATGTCGCGGCAGGGCTCCGGCTCCACCTCTGGCTACGGCGGCGGCGGCGGCCCGGTGAACCTGCACAAGAGCGACAACCGCTGGCAGGTGGGCGTGAGCACCGCCTCGGACCAGGAGGAGGAGAAGAAGCAGAAGACGTTCAAGGGCATCCTGAACAAGTTGACGCCCGACAACTACGAGCGGCTCAAGCAGCAGATCCTCAGCGTGCCCATCGAGGAGCAGAAGGTGGGTGGGGAGAGGGGCGGGGAGCCGGGATGTATCGGGTGGGGAGCCCATGTAGCTGCGGAGGTTATTGCTGACGTGTCTTCTGGCGTTTTTCGCGACTGGGCGATGTGCGTAGTAGAGGCTGGTTAGGCCTTTTCGGCTTCTGCAACGGAGTTCCCGCCTGCGCACACAATGACCACATTCCTCTCCCGCTCCCGCCCGCATGCGCCCCTGCCCCTCCCTCCTCCGCTTCCTCCTCCGCAGACGCTGGTTGGCTTCATCAACCAGATCTTCGACAAGGCGCTCATCGAGACCACATTCAGCGAGATGTACGCCAACCTGTGCAAGTGAGTGGGGCGGGGGGGGGGGAGCGGCAGCAGGGCGGGGAGGGCTCTCTGGAGATCAACAGACACAATAGTTAGAATGAGGGCGCTATACCACTACGGCATCCCCGGCTCGAGCAGGACGTCTGTGCACTGACCTCCCAACCTGGTCCTGTCCCGCCCTCTCGCGCGCAGGGAGATCCACCCCAACCTGCCCCAGTTCCCCTCCCCGGAGCCCAACTCCAAGCCGGTGGACTTCCGCCGGCTGCTGCTGAACAAGTGCCAGCAGGAGTTCGAGGACGGCGTTGCGGCCATGAAGAAGGTGAAGGAGCGCGAGGAGCACAACAAGGAGGAGGCGGAGAAGGAGAAGCAGGGCAAGGAGAAGACCGCGGCTGCGGACAGCGGCAAGGTGAGGACAGTAAGGGAGGGCGTGCATGCGACCTATTGTGCTGTCATTGCAGTCCGTCGCAACAAAGGAATCCTAGTCCCGCTGGGCTTTGTCTCAACCCGTTCCCCTGTCCCTTCCATCTTACACAGGAGGAGGGCGAGATCCCCGCCTCTCCGCCCGCCGCCTCCCCCGCCGCCGCCACCGACGACGCCCGCGCCAAGGCCCAGGCTGAGGCGGCTGAGGCCGAGCGCGAGCTGAAGGCCCGGCGGCGCATGTTGGGCAACATCCAGTTCATCGGTCACCTGTACAAGTGCGGTCTGCTGACGGAGCGCATCATCCACAGCTGCATCGTGGCGCTGCTGAACGACGAGGCCAACCCGCGCCCCGACGACATCGAGTGCCTCTGCAAGCTGCTCACCACGCTGGGCAAGCAGGTGGGGGCGGGGGGATGCGGGGAGGGCGGGCGCGTGGAGGGCAAGCTGGCACTGCATGAGCTTGCCGCGTGTATGACTTACGTGCAGTACGGTATCCTCCTGTTTACTAGCGCACACGGTAATCTCCTCCCCTTCCCCTCCCCCGCTTGCCTCCTCTTGCCTCCCCCGCTCCGCAGCTGGAGGAGCAGGTGAACAGGAAGGGCCCCGCCAACGGCAACCCGCTGGACGTGTACTTCCAGCGCATGGAGCGGCTGCGGAGGGGCTCAAACCTGGACTCGCGCATCAAGTTCGCCATCCAGGACGTGCTGGACCTGCGGGCGGCCAGGTGGGGGGGGAGGGGGGGCGAGGAAGCTTGGCAATCCGCAACGGACATTGCAAGAGAGGCTTGCGTGGCGGTCTGGGGGCTTGGGCAGGGGCCTACACACCTGTGATGCCCCAGCGGCGTGTGCGCTTCATCGTAAACATCACCTCCTGTCAGCCATCCAACACTCAGTACCTGCTCCGCTGCCGGCTGCGTTGGCCGCAGGTGGGTGTCCCGGCGCAAGGTGGAGGGGCCCAAGCGCATCGAGGACGTGCACCGAGAGGCGCAGGCGCAGATGGCGGCGCAGGCGTCGCGGGACCGGGAGGAGCGCTACGCGCAGAGGTGGGATAGCATTGGGGCGGTTTCGTCTCGGTGGCTTGACGCTACCCTTGTCTGCTGCTACTTGTCAGACTGCTGAATGCATAAGACGCCAGCTATGTACCTTCGTCGCATCTTGCCGTTGTCTGTACCACTGCAAGCAAGCTTATAACCAGCTGCGGCCCCTGTCTGCCGTGTTCGCCCCCAGGGGACCTGGCGGGCGTGGCGGACCGGGCATGGGCCGCGACGCCCCCCCGCCGCCCGGCCGCTTCGGCGGCCCCGGCCCCGCGGACGAGGCTCGGCTGATGGGTCGCGGCGAGGTGCCCCGCCCGCTGCGTGGGGCCGGCATGGAGCGGCAGGGCAGCGCCGAGGTCAGCCTGCGGCCCTCATCCTTCCTCACCAGCAAGCGGTAGGAGGGGCTCCTGGTGTTCCTGGTGTGGTGCGCAGAGAGTGATTGTGAGGATGGTATGCATTGCGGCTGTACTCGGGAGGCAAAGACGGTGTGTGGGCATCGGGAGTGGGGCGCGACGAGCTGTAGGTCGCACGCCGGATGCCGAGCTGCCACCACGCGGCGACCAGATGCGCACCCACGGGCACCCACGGGTACAGACTCGAGTCGCTGACTGCCCTGCTGACGCCCCGCTGCTGCTGCTGCTGGTGACCTGCAGGACCGGCAGCCCGGCCCAGCCCCCCACTGCGGCCGCTGCCAGCTCCCGTGAGCCCGCCGCGGCCGGCCGGCCTCAGCCGCCCGCCCCCGCTGCTCCTTCGGCGCCAGCTGCGCGGGAGGCGCCACCGCCGCCACCTGCGGCAATGGACGAGGCGACAGCAAAGAAGAAGGGTGGGTGCTTGAACAGAATGGCGCTGTATCTGCACTAAACGCTTTTCTCAATGACATTGTATCTACACCTGTATGCTGCGCTCTCCAACTGCGATAGCTCGCTTCCCCACCCGATCTGGAACGCTGCCTGACCTCCCTCCTCCCCCGGCTCCCCCCGCACCCCCGCAGGCGCCCTCTGGGTGAAGGAGCTGTACGAGCTCAAGGTGAAGGCGGACGCCGCGGAGAGCCTGGCCAGCCTGAAGTCCGCCGGCGCGCCCATGGGGGTGCTGCTGGCGGCCGCCATCCGGGAGGCCTTCGAGGTGCGCGGCATCGACCCGGCGGCGCGCCTGGACCTGCTCAAGGTGAGCGGGGAGGGGCTGCGGTCTCTCATCGTGTGTGCGCGGGGATTGGGCGGCTGCGGTCAGCAGCATGATCAGTCCTGCAGGGCGGTCTGATGTAGTGGGCTTTCGCTGCACGGTGGCGGGGGGTATGACCTGGGCTGACTGGCCTCCGCTGCCCCGCTCCCCGACCTCTGCACCCCGCAGGAGGTGCTCGTGGAGCAGCTGACCTCCACCGAGGGGGTGCTCAACTCGTCCATGCTGGAGGACGCGTTCGGCAGGTGGGTGGCTGGTGCGGCGCCCGGGCGGATCCGTGTGTGAGCCTGCCGGTAGCGAGTCCGGGTTGCACGGCCGCCGGGTCCCGCCGCTCACGTCGTGCTTGGTGCCGGTGCGCAGGTTCATGGGCGAGCTGCACACCTGGGTGGAGGACAACCCCAAGGCTGCAGGTGAGCGGGCGCTCTCGGTGGGGTGGCAGACGACGCTCCTGTTCATCTGTAACTGTGTTCCTCGGACGCTCTCGTCAGCCCCTGAAGGCTGTTCTTGTGCCTCTGTTTCCGGCTTTATGGCCCCCTTCTTATCCCGAGGCCGGTTTGCTCGCTCCTGCAGGTGTGGCCGCCAAGGCCATCGGCCAGCTGGGCGCGCAGGGGCACCTGAGCCTGGGCCCCTGCCTGCGCCCCGCGCTGGAGGTGAAGGGCGGCGGCGCTGCGGACGGGGAGGACGGCGGTGACGCGTCGGACCTGCCCCCGCTGGTGGAGAGCGGCGTGGCGGGGCAGGACATCCTGACCAACGTGCTGCAGGCGGTGAGTGGCGGTCGGCTCTTGGGGCGCATGCACTGCGTATGCAAGGACCGCCCTTGGGTGGCACTTGCCACAGGATGACCGCAAGGGTACGAGCTGACGGACGTATATATGACTTTTCCCCGCGCCCTCTTCCTCCAGGCGTGTGACGCGGGCAGCATGGACAAGGCGGCGGAGCTGTGGCGCGCTTCGGGTCTAGAGGCGGCTCGGTTCTTCGACATGGAGGAGGACGCGCAGGCTCTGGCGGAGAAGTTCGCTTTCCTCTCCGGTTGACTTAGTAGGGCCGTAGCAATACGGTGAAGCGTCCTCGTCCTGACATGCGCTTGTACTGCGTGATTGAAGTGGCGGGTTGCGTATGTCATGCGCGGCAGGTGGTGACGGTGCGGTGGGGAGGTAGTTTGTCAGTGTACGCAGCTGGGCTGTTTTGCATGTTGTGCGATGTTGTGCTCGGTGCGCTCCGTTTTTGATGTCGCCGGCGCAGGTGCAGCCGTTGCACCCCGGCCGCCACCACATGAGGGCAGCATTGGCATGCTTCCTAGTGCAAAGCAGGAGCGGGGTAGGGGAGTGCAAGACGGACGACAGCGTAGTTGCCTGGGAGGCTCCATGCGTGCGTGCGCACGGCATGGGCACGAGCACGGTAGTCGTGCAGCTTAGCAACGGGCATCCATCGGGGCATTTCAGCGGCAGTGATTGCTGGACGGCGGCTTTTCGATAGTAGCAGCATAGGGGCGAGTGCTATCGTAGGAACCAGGACACACTTATTTGGCTTGCTAGAAGGTTCACATTCTTATACTGAGTGGGGTCGTGTTTCTCCTTAGCCATGGCTGGTGTGGCTGTCACTGCATGCGGCGGAGATACTCCCCCATACCAGAATTGAACCCGTCGGCAAGCTAGCCAAGAATGAAATGGGCAACCAGTACCACGCATGTAAGCTATGTCCTAGTTGTTACCTTCACCACTCTCACCCAGGCCGCATCTTATGACCCCCCGACAAACCCCTAAGGCCAAAGCGTACAATGCACGAATCCCTATGCATGTCGTCCTTTGAAGTGCAAGTCGCACCTTCAGACCCCAGCCTGCCACCGTACCTACACATGTCACCCAGGGGCTCCACCAGACATGGACCGCTGTTCGTTCAGGGCACCCCGGCTTAGGCGCAGGTAGCCCCGCCCTGACCTACGGCACAGGGCGGCAGCTGGTGCTGGCGGCGGTGGGGGCCGGTGGTGCGCGGCAGCTGGCGGCACTGCCTCTGGAGGTCCTGAGTCCGGAGAGGAGAGCAGTCCGGCAGAAGAGCCCCCGCATCCCCCTCCTGACCCCGCACCAGGTGACTCGGGGGTGCTTTCACACAGCTGGCACTATGCTCCAACGAGCAGATTCATGATTCCATCTTACCAATCTAGTCTTAACGTAGGTGGGCAGGCAGGTAGGAGGTAGAAGGGAGCAGGGATTAGCACGTACAGCTGCAGGGGTCCATGGGGTGGCGGGTGGGGAGGCGGGGAAAGACGTACAACGCTCACATTACTGGTAGCAGCAGCGGCGACACTCTTTCACGCGCTCCACTTACAACCAGCCAGCGCCTCCGCCCCTCGCTTCCTCGTCTGCTTCCTCTCCCTTGCTTTCTCTGTCTTCTGGCCACCTCCCCAGATCGCAGCTGTCGCGCCCCAACAGCGCTTCTCTGTGCCCTCCCAACTTCCACCCTACCAGCACCTCCTAACTCCTACCGGCGCCGTACTCCTGCCGTACGCCCCCGCTTCCCCCCAGGACCTACCCGCTGCTGCTGCAGTCCGCCAAGGCGGGGGACTTCCACGACATGCTGCTGCGGGTGGAGCCGCCGGTGATGACGACACAGGTGGGGGTAGGGCGGGGTGGGGTGGGGGCCTGGTGCTGGTGAGATGCGGACCTAGGGAGGTAGGGGGCTGGCGGCCTAGTAGTGGGTCCTGTGTTGCAGATGCGAGGGAGGTCGGTGGAGGGAGGCAGCGAGGCATGGAGAAATAGTAGTGTGGAGAGCTGGGGTTCTGGTTAAGGGCCCTGGTCTTGCACCCGCCCGCCTGCCCCGTCCCACCCCCTCCCATGCAGAGCCCCAAGGGCGGCTACCGGCTGCTGGAGCGGCTGCTGAAGAGGTGGGCCCGCGGGCTGCCTGGGCGCGCACATGCATGTACTCCCCCATGCGGGCTGCTACATACCACACATTGCCGTCGTACCTCGTATGGTCTTCCCTTGCTTTGGATTGCCTCAAGCTAAGGGCAGCGATGCGGTACCTCTCCCTTTTCGATAGGGGGAGCTACCGGTAGCTGAAGGAAGGTGGGCGAGTGGGTGGGGTGAGGTGGGTAAAAGGTCATGCTGGCAACCGCCGTAGACACGGTAACTGTTATCGCCTTTAATTGAGTAACGCACACCACCCAGACACTCACACACCCTGGCGTTTTGGTGGGGACATCGCTTTCCGGCAATCCGGTACGTTCCCACTCGCGGCCAGTTTGGTTTACACGCCCCGCACCATCCCTTGTGCTTCCAGGATGACAACAACGCCCACGCGGCCGGTGGAGGCCCCCCAGGACGCGAGCACGACACGCCCGACCGAGTGGTGTTCCTGCGGGTAGGGGGGCACGGGGGCGGACGGGACGGAGGCAGCAGCGTTGGGGGTGGCGGAGCTGCATGACGGCGGCGGGGGTGCGTGTCGTACGGCGGCGTGGCAGTGCAGGGCCCGGGATGGTGGGCGTGGTGCTGGGAGGCCCACAGGTGCGCGGAGGAGGGCCCCGGGGCATTGGTTGCACATGGTTGCACATGGAAGCACCTGGCAGGTGGGGTGTGCAGCCGTGTGTCACCCACCCACCCCGCCCGTGTAGCCTCCACCACCACCCGCACACTCCTCCCCGAAACTCGCGCCCCCATGCAAGCGGACAGGGCACACTGCACGGCTGGCGTCTGGAGGCACACTGGA